CAGCTGTCATAGGTATATCGAATATTTATTTACAAACTTTAAGAATATTAGTAAAAGCTTTCGCTGTCGTATTATAACGTAAGAAGCGTTTGGAAGGATAACAAAATATTATAATTATTATTGGAAAGAAAAGGTAAACTTGCTAAATAATAAATAATGAAAAGCGCTAGATTATAAAAAATAGTAAAAGCGAAAATGATGGAAAGGGAAAAGAAGGTTACAACCAACTTTCGTTAGCATTTAAATAAAACAAGTATTATGATAAAACTATATTATAACTTTAAAACAAAAAACTAAAAAAGTGGAGGTATCGTATTATAGTCTAATAAAGAATTATTTATATAAGCAATTAAATAAACCAATTAAAACCGCGCCAGGCGCCAGCACTATAGATTGATAGCGCTGCGGCTACGGCTAAAGGGGCGCTAGGTGGCTGAAAATAGCCTCACTAGCGCAACGGCGCATATTAATAAGCAATAGCTATCATAATCTATCAATACTTTCGACTACTACTCTATTACTCTATTGTCCTATATCCTAGCGATAATACCCCTATACTTGTAACGGTTCGTCACAACAAGGTGATAGTAAGGCGGTTCTTATTGTTTAAAAAAATATCCGCCGCTAGAGCCTTTACATACTTACCTACTTGCCTTTTTATTCACAAGTTGCTAAAGGTAATGCCAATGAGACTGTTAGGAGAAGAACCAACTTACAGTTGCCATGACGTTGCATAGATGCCGCCATAATGTGTGAGAAATTGGAGCATTCACTTTGCCTCATCTGGGCTTTTTACAGAAGGAGCATTGCGCTTCTCAGAGAAGTACCATCATTGGACTTTCTACACACCTGTTCAGCTTTGTTTTTTATCGACACCAGAAAATAGGGCCAACGAGCCGAATGTAAAAACAACCAACTAACAACTGCCATGACGTTGGTCAAATGCTGCCATAATGTGTAAAAAGGTGGCAGCATTGTCTCTGCCTCATTGACCAATATGGCGCGAAAGAAAGCATTCCAACAATGCTGGAGAGTTCATCACAGATGAATATAAAAGGTCCTCCTTTGCTGCCAGATTTGGGATGTGTCAGTCACCATCATTAGCATCAATCACCGTTCCAGGAAAGCAAGCAAAGCAAGAGCAACAAGCACCTACCAGAAACGCAAGGTAAGAGTCTTCCCATAGAAAACTCCATCTCGCCCCAAACTAACTTGTCCACATCAACCCAGCTACGCGATACCTATCCACTGCACCTAGCTCAGCAACCCACGAAAAATGTGCGACTTCGACGAGCACGTTTATACTTGCGGCCATTCAACCTTCCGTCTCAAATCATACTGCCACCGCACCCGAAACGACCCCTACAAAGAATGCCATTTCGTTAAGAAGCTCCGGGATGTATGGGATCAGTCGTGGCCGTGCGACGATTGTAAAACACCAGCTCAAAAAGCAGCGGCGGCGGAGGAAGCGAAAGCGATGGCAAATGCGAGGGTGGAAAAAGCAGCGGCGGCGGAAAGAGCAGCGGCTGAAGCGCAGCAGGCACAGCAGGGTGACCATGAGATGAGCGGTTAATCCAACGCCTTGGAGGAGAAAGAGACTAGTCTTGAGGCCTAGAGGATCGAATGCGGAACTCGAAGGGGCCTTGGGTCTGTCATGATGTGTTAGGGGTACGCATCTTGGGGGATTTCATTTGTAGTTCCTTCTGCTGGTCAGTAGGCAAGTGGGAAAGGATATGGTATTTTTGCAGGATTTGGAGGTGATGGGATCGACGGGTGAATGGGGAAACCGAATAGGGGTCACTGGACAGGTCCAGGACCACAATAAATTGAAAAAAAGCCGAGCGTTTTTGTTCCGCCCATTGTTGCGCGACAACCAACATGCCCCTGAGAATTGTGAATGAATGGCACGTAGAAGTGGAAGCAAGGGAGAAGAGTTGAAGGAAATAAGATCTTCCGACTTTGAGGAGACGACGTCAGAAATGGAAGGTGCCAGATCGTTGATACGGCTCCCGTCCTGTGCGACCAGGCCAGGATGAAGACCGGGATGTCACAAACCGCAAATATTTCGACTTTGTGCTTGCTACATGTCAGCCTGCTAGTAGTCTGTTGGCGATTCTGTCGGGGCTTTGTGTGACGTGACTTTTTGTATGGAAAGCTTTGTCAGTGATGTTAGTCGACTTTGACCATTTCATCCATGTGACACGGGGTTGTGAGGTTGCAAGTACAGTACATACAGCGCCACGCTCTGCGTGGGTGCAGCGAGAACCCGTTGGTCGGTCCTACAACTGCTGGATCGACAGGGTGCCGTGTTTAGTCCACTTATGGTTTTTGAAATTGCAAGATCTCAGAGCCGCATTTGGGTTTCTTCGTGAAGGGAACGTTGCGTCGATGAAGGACGGCAATCTTGGAGGGGATTAGAGAAATGAGAAAACAGGCAAGATGAGTACTGTGTTCTTCGCGATTAGTGACATGTGGAAAGACTATATCTGTCTTACTGAAAGACACGAACCAACTGGCCGGAGAATATTTCTACAAGAAAATGCAAGCGTGCAAGATGCGAACAACAATTGGAAGGGAAAGAGACCGGGTGATACACGAAACGCCAAATGGGTACATCTGTAACACACACCAGGTTTTTGACAGCGGGAAGCGTTGCTTGTACCTCTTGTTCCTGGCTCGGCGTGGCACCACGAGACGGGAAGCGGATTTGTTCATGCGAGGACACGCGCGGAATTTGGGGCTCGCGTTGTTCCGCGGCCGTGGCGGAACGGAGAGAAGTGGGATGCGATGCAGGAATTTACTGGATGAGATTGAATACACGAAATGGTAACACAAGGTGAGCAGAGCGAGACATGAAGGACATGCCAGTTTTTGTGTCCAGCGTTGGGATGAGCATTCATGGGTGAGTGATGGCCCGAGTCTTTGCGTGGTTATCGGAGGTAGTTCACAGTTTTGAGCCAGGAGAGCCTGAAGAGGGTATCGAGCTAATATTGCTGGCGAGTGAGAAGATGACACTTGAGAGAAGGACGAATTGAGCAAAACCGAAACATGTATTAATGCGTCCAGACATAAATCCTTACTCCATGTTTGTAGCGCCCTCAACCCTGCCAACTACATTGTAGCGCTTGGAGAAGAAGGTGATCCAGTCGTTGAGAGTCGACTTTTCCTTGTCATCAAGGTCTTGCCAGTCTGGCCTGACATCCTCGGCCTTGGTCGAAGTCTTGCCGAGAGCGCGCGAGGCGTCCTTGCCAGCGAACACTGGAGCACGACAGGTATCAGCCATGAGCCAGCAATGATGGTGTTTGCCTTTGCCGCAGAGAAATGTCGTGATGAGGTGGCACCAAAACCTCAAAAGGGGAAGAGAAAAGACGTTAAAACTTACCGTGATAAGAGCCTCCAGGCTGGTACGCCTTGTTGCCTGTTACGTCGTAGACGATACCCTTGATGGCAACATAGCACTTTTCGCCATCAGCACCTGAGATGAAGATTGTTGTGAGTGTCATTTTCTACAGAAGAAAGGCTGTGAAGAGAACTTCTATGGCCGGGGTGATGAGTGTAAGTAGTCTTACCGTTCGCCTTGGCCAACTCCTCAACGGAAATGGGATCGTCCTTGGGAGGGTTCAGCTGAACAGGAACCTTAGGCTCAAACTTTCCAGACATTGTGAGGATGTAATGGTGAAATGGTCGTTACTGCCTGGTCATCTCTTCGTTAGCGCCATGTCTCATAAAACGACGTCTCTTGCAATCATTCACAAGGCAGGAGTCAACTGGATGACATGATAGTAATCTCCAGGTCATGCATGCACAGAGCAGGAACAGGTAACTGGCATGATTGCCCCGAGCTGTTTCATGCCATCCGGAAATTTCAAGTGGCCGTACCTGTGAAAGAATGGATGCAGATTTTGAAGAAACGGCAAGAGCTGGACGAGTGTCTGTGACGCTGGTGTTGAGTCTTGGAAAGAGCAATCTGAATCTCACTCGCACGCAATTCTTTGGTGACGGCGTCAACTAAACTCGGCCACAAGCGCCAAGCCTGGGACACCGCGGGCGGACCGGGGGGGTTCGTCAACCTCGGAACGGCAACGGCAGGAACGAGCAGGCAGGGACAGGGGTTGGAGAATGACTTGCAGTTGGCGACGGCTGTTGGAGAAGGTGGACCCCCCTGAACCCCCCCACTGCCGCACTGCGGGGGAAAGTCCACAGCAGTCCGCCAAAGTCGCCAAGCTTCCAGTTGTCGTCCCTAGGACGAGCTTGGACTGGCTGGGATTAGCTCCCCAAAGCTTCAAACGACATCCATCTTTTTCAACGTCACCTCAGAAAAGACGACGTCCAACATCTCGACCAATCTGCGGATGAGGATTTTGGATTGCTCCAAGCGACCTCTCAATTTCTCTGGTTGCCATCTTGTACTTGGTTGATACTTCAATTGACATTTTCAGAGCTCCATTGAGCTTCTCATCCCCCATTTTGAATATCGCTGCTCCAGTCAGCGCCCAAGGAACTCGACTACTCGAGGACACCCACTGCCCCTGTCACAGCACGCCTCCCGTCTCTACCTTACCTTTGGAGAACCGCGACCATGTCCCTCGCACGTCTTTCCGCTTCTGGATCCCTTCGCGGTACACCATCTGGATCTCCTCTTCTCCTCCGTCTTGAGCTCATCAGGCGCGGCCAAATACACAATGTTCGCCCTCTCGTCGCCCATCGCTCCGTGACTTCTCCACAATGTCGGTCCCTTCAAACAACATCGAGGACGTTGGTAGACAAGAACAACACCAACAAGAAGTTCTCGCCTCAGCCTCAGCCCGTTCCCCTTTCGCAGATCCCTCGTCTCATACTTGGGGCTGCTATGGAGAACCTCCGTGGTCTCAAGAGGAATTTTCGAAATGGTACCTTCAAGACTATGCTACGTCAAAACCCCGAAGAGCTAGTGTTTGCTCTTGTCTTGTACGTATATACAATGAGCCTCCCAGCGGGGTACTCCTCAAAGATGCTAACAGCCATTCAGGCTTGCTGCACTTGCTGTTGTCATGGTGTATATTATTCGCCTTTACTTCACCTACTTCTACTCGGAGCAGTTCACCAAATACCCCCCTCCTGTTGCCAAAGCTCTGCGCCGGGCATTGTACTACAGCAACTACCACCCCGATCAGCAGATGGCCCTCAAGTACTGGAAGCAGGCTCTTGAGCTGTGCGATGAACTTCACCTCGATAATTTCTCTGATGATGTCATGGGCATCAAGATTGAGCTTGCAGCCTGGCTCGAGAAGATTGGGAGCTACGAGAACGCGGTCAAGGTGCTGGAGAATCTCTCGGGCGACTGCAGGCGTTGGGTTGACCTCATGGAGAAGAACGTCAAGGATGGAGGAAAGATTCCACCATCGCTACTACCTCCTGTGGCACCCCAGGATCCAGCTGGCCAGTCTCCCGCCGCCAAAAAGCCCGAGCAGGAGGAAATTCCTGAGACGATTTGGGGAAGACGGACGCGCATTTGGGCAAGTCTGTCGGAATCAATGTCAAACTTGCCAACCTCTACTCCTTCTATCTCGCTAGGCCGGAGGAGGCTCACGAACGCTTGATCTGGTCCGTCGAAACCGCGCTCAACGAGCTCCGTAGACGGACTGTCGAGGGACTTAAAGAGGGAGAAGGCAAGTGGATGAGTTCGGAGGAAATCGGCGGTGCCTTGGAATGTGAGTGTTCCCAATTGTTCGCATGTTCTCTCTCGATCCATAATCCGCTAACGTCGAATCTTGCAGCCCTGGGGCACAGCTACGAGACCAAGTCGCAGTTTCATCTGGCCCTGCCGCTCTTTTTCCAGGCTCTTCGGTTGTCTCAACACCAATGCCACAGCGCCACTATCAGTAAGTTTCCACACGCACATTATCATCGTTCGCGGATGTTCGTGGAAAGCCAGACTAACAACGTCTTTCAGTGAACAACATCGCCATTTGCTTTGCGCAGCATCCTATTATGCCAGCTGGTCAAAGTCAAGTCGATACCCTGATGGGCGAAGAAGTGGCTTCCGCAACACCTGCCCAGAAAAGAACCGCCTATCTCGAGGCAGCAAAGCGCTGGGCAAAGAACGCTCGACAACACGCGAATGAGCCAAAGGGCGATGAGCGGACGCCCGAATGCGATCAGGCTTGCGCTACCTCGTTGTGCAACCTTGCCAGCATTGCACGCTTGACCGGCAATGTCATTGAGGCTCGTCGGTTGTTCGAAAAGGCAATTGAGATGAGCAGAAGCCTCGAGTTTGAGGAGGGCGTGAACCAAGCCGAGGATGGCTTGCAGGCGCTGTCCAAGTCGTCGTAGCGGAGCTGCGGTCCCAGTGTGCCTCTTTTCCACTGTTACATGGGATTAGCGGCTTTGCCAGCTCGGTAATATCAAGGAACGAACTTACATCGCAAACGTTGACGCCTGATATCCCGTGGAGAAACCTATAACATCACATTTTCACGGTACCCGAACCCACCTTCTGGCTAGGATAATTCGATTCGAAGAGGCTTGCGATACTGGCGTATCCGTTACGCCGAGTTCAGAGACGCCCATTCCATCAACGACCAGGTTGCTGTGGTGCTGGAGTAGGGGCTTCGGCTCTCACCTCAAAACCGTTCATGGCGAAGTTGTCTGGCGAGCCACCCGCTGTCGCTAGCCAAGAATCAATGATCTTTTCGATGCCCCATTCTTCGAAATTGTTAGCTTCACCGCTCTATTCCTAGGGCGCAAGCCAGTTCACATGTTGGGCTGTGGGTAGGGTGGGATCAGTGGCGTCTTCCGGATGCAGCTCTCCCATGGTGGGGAATTCCTCGGGGATAGAAGCTAGCACACATGAGGTGTGCGTGCCGAAGCTTTGAGCGTATGACCCCAGTGTCGCTCACCATGTACCAGTTGACGAATTCGAAAAGGCAAATCATCAAACTCGTCCGTTCTGTGTCCAAACATCGGAGTTGCTCGTTGATCGGATATTTGCACGACGAACTGTGAAAGTGATGGATGCCTCAAAACATTCGCCATGCTATCTCTGCGCCCTTTCAAGCTCGCAATCGTGATTGCAACTTGCTTTTCGACACAGTTACGCTTAAAGGAACATCGTCACAAGCTCTGATCGTATTTGGCTTTTCGAAGTGCCAAGAGCAGCCCGCATGATATGATATGTGTGACATCGGCAGTCTCTCCAACCCTCGATGATTCCATCCCGAATATCCGCTTGCTGGTGGTTCTCTCTTCTTTCCGTCCATTGGACGGACATCTAGACTTCTCCCGAAGCGTTGGTCACATCCCCTCCAATGCGACGACTGTCTCACCCTGATCCAACAGGGACGACTCCTTCAAAAATCGATCGCAGTCATGTGAAGTGCCTGAGAAGATAGGTTGCCATTACTGGCACATCATCGAACTCGAATTACGCAACATGCCCGGAATTCGGAAAGATTGGATTCTCTGCGTCTATCGGCGGGCCCAGACGGTTTGAAAGACCCCAATGCTGCGTCGACTTGTCGTTGGCTTGCGCCGTTAGAGTACCTTGGCCGATCAGTTCCGGAGTAGAGGGTCAACGTACAGACCATCCCACCATATCCTGAGACCAAAAGCTTGCAAAGCTTGTCCATTGGATTTCAGCACCTCTTTGGACCGGAGCCTCCAAAAAGAATATACCCAACCCTACGGAAGCCATGCTTCCAGGCAGGAACCTTCGTGGTACCCGGCAAGATAAAGAGCCGTAATAGACATCAAGAGAGTCGGCAGGCTGGGTATTGTTTCATGCAGTTGGATCACGGCATGCTTGTCTTTCACTCAAGCTTAAAATTAAGACTCTCAGTTGGTCCTCTAGCTGCAAGTCCGGCGATTCCCGGGCCTTATCGGCATCGATTGCTATTGCGATATATCACCAGGGCCGTACGTCAAGGGTCCTTCTCTTTTTAAGGAACACGTCGCCGTACCAATCATTCAGCAGGCTGAAGCCACCCTTTCTTGTTGTCAAGTATCAGATCTTAAATACGACGGATAAAGTTTAGGCAGCCAGTTTTCTTCCTAGCCAAGTGGTTCAACAGGATCCTCAGACACGGAGCTTCCTGATCGAACGGACCATATACCTTGCATTAAGTGCATACACACCATTGTTCCAATCCGATCAGAACGTTTCTCGCTTAGGAGCCATCGTCATATCCAGTTGTTCAATTCGCTTACATCTAACATTGTACGCTGTGCAATATCCTGCTTGAATCCAACGCCATAACCTAAACGCGCCACGATACCCGAGAAGCGCACTTTGACAAAGAAAGAAGCTACCTCACTCACAACACTCCTCTTTCAGTACCCTACAAGCTGAGCCAATAACCAATCACACCGGACTCGGACGGAAAGCAGCGACTCCATGCTGGTCCAACCCTGTATGTCAATATCGTTGGCCTCAGACCTGGATGTCATTACTCCCCCATATCACTGAGCGTACTTTTTTTTTTTCCGAATGTGAAAACAAGACCCAGACATCCTCTCGGTGACTCACCACTCACGAAGAGCACTGTGCTACCTACGTTACACGGGCCGCCGAGTGCCATGATTGCGGACAACCTCACCCCGTTTTATGGACGAGGCGGAGGCTCATTGATGCATGGAAATACTAGCTACATTTGATAATATCCTAAGATCCCGCAAACTCATCCCACATTCAGTTAGGCGTTGCAGCCCACTGAAGCAGTCGAACGTTAGGCAGCAGCATTCTTATCAACCTGTTTGGGAGCAGCAGCCAGATCGACCTTTCAGATGGCCTACCTGACATCGTCCATTGTCGGCTTTCACTCGGCCAAAACAGTCGATTAGACACAGTCTGACCTCACCCAATATCGTGCTAGATACATGATTAACCGACCATTCAAGAACAAGAACGACCCTCTCCATTCGATGAGGAAGAGCGGTTTCTCCCAATGCTTCTGGGAGTCTAACGGTCACGTCCACGTTTCTCCTCTTGTTGAAGCCCAGTCCTCAACTCACCCCTCGGGCATACCGAGAGGACTAGTAGCTCTTGGCATTTCAGCTCAAAAACAACGCAGCAAAGGTACATCGAAATATTCTAATGTATACCTACAACCACACGGCCATGACGGCCTAAGATCTGCCGCTCGGCTGCCGCCGCAGAGATGAGGATAACACATGGCCGCCCACCTCTGCCGCAGTGTCGTCCTTTAAGTGGAGGGGTGAGACGGAAAATCAACAGAATTGGCGAATAGAATTACAGAGAATAAGGCTGCCTGAGATGGGGTCGTCGGTGGCTCTTAGGGGCGCCCACACCCCATGTTCTTAGCGTGTCCAGGGCTAGGTTTCCCGCCGCGGATGCCGCTAAACCACAGGGGCACAAAGACGTTGATGCAGTTACGAACTCTCCAGACCTTCGAGCTGGGTTCTTCTTCTACGAAACTTCCCACACCACCTTTCAGGGTTGGGATATCTAACGCTGATTAAATCACCACAGGACTTTGTCCTTCAGGGGAACTCTACGTGGTGTTCTCGGTGACTGAGGGGTTTTCGTCTGAAAGGTCTCTGGTGTACTAGCCTTGTCTGCTATGGAGGGGCTGCGCCTGGTATTTGACCCGAGCAAGAACCTACCATAGGTCTAGAGCTGAAGTCTATGGCCAAGTTGCGGGTGTCTCAAGGCACATCGCCCACCGATATGCATACCGCCAGAAACGAAATGACACCCTCCAGCATTCCTAGTGTTGTATCTAGGCGAATTTGGGTTATCAAGCCGACTGCATCTGGATTGCTTCGAGAGGCGAGAATACGGGACTCTTTGACGACTAAGCAGATTTATTTCTAGAAATCGTCTTGGTCAGCATAGGACGTGACCAGATACCCTGGACTGGGCAATGGCAACCAACTGTTCATTCTCGCCCAAACGACCATCCGGTAATGCTATTGCTGCGTACTACCACATGATGCTGCACCACAGCCGGGAGGTACCGAAGACTCTTGCTTGTCATTGGATCACTCTAGGAGAAGACGGTACGGAAGTGCCATTTGACACACTGGTAATATGAGATCACACATATTTATCACGCAGAGAGGCACAGGAAACGTTACCGCTTTCCCTTAGCATGATCTCCTTGCTCTGTTTTCAATACGCCTGGGAAGCGTCGCCGCTGTAGGGCTGAAGCTGTGGGGCAGCTAGTACCACGACAATTCCCTGAGCAAAATTTCCTCGACCGGACATGTCTACCATCAGCAAGACACATCTGCATCGATCCACACCCATGACAAACCGGCTTTGCCACAGTTTTGCCCAAATTCCAAGGTCGACTTATCATACGGACGTTACGAACTTCCTTTCTGATCATGAAGTCAGCGAGACGCCCGGCTGCTTGGTGCTGAATTATGGAGGCGATGAAATGGAGAAGACGCCTCGGGGTCGAGACAGAAACTCCCATCGACACATGCCTGATACCCGTAAACCGTATCTACAGCGAACTTCAGTGAAGGCAATACCAAAGAGCCCCACCACACCTACCTGGAGGAGCTACCCAATGGTCTCACACCATTCTAGGTACACAGTGTCCGCATTTGCTTCATTAGGTGCAACTTCAGCCACTTCTTGTGTGGACTTGGCACTGCTTAAAGAAGCGGAGGGTAGTTCAAAGGAAGGCTCAGTGGGGAGCCATAAGCCCATTGAATGGTTCACTAATCGTATCCTTTGCGCCATCACCGTTCAAATCCCGGCCTTACCTCATCCCAGTAAATCGGGGTCCTTGGTTGAAGGAAGAATTCAGTTGCCTAGGCTCCTGTACCCATCTAGCGATGTGGGCGTGTGGTACAGCAGAGAGAGGCTCAAACTGGCCATCTTCGGCAGGGCCGTACGGCAGCGGGGCATATATCAGGTTTGGCGATGTTGAAAATTCATCCAGTGTTGCTATTTAACCGGGATGACTAAAGACAACCTTTTCATGCTCAAGGCTACCTCTCAACGTCACGTTTTAGCTTCCGGATAGGGAAAGGAAGAAGCTTAACACTTGCCAGATCTCGCTTAGGGTATCTTGCACTCTTCTTGGAGTTCTTGGGTTGGGCGAGCTGGCCACCCCAAGCCGGACGACGGCTAGGACCGACAAAGATACATCTAGATACGATCCTCCAACGGAAGCTTCTTGGCTCAGAAACTCAGGGGCATGGGGTCCATATCCTAGTCCGGCACGGGCTTGTACGCTGCAAGGAGGCCGTATGAGATCCATAGGGCTATGTCACGAACGACTAGCGCACATCTACATACAGTAGCTCATCTCACATCCCCGAGACCAGACAGTACTAGTCTTAGCATGTCATATGGAAGCGACAGTTTCCACAAAGGATTGGCGACTTTATAACGGGTTATCGACACCCCGTTTTGCCTTTCTGGTCGGCGACACAAGACAGACCCCGACCACCGGCGCATGATCGGATCCCTACTATTGCACTCACATCAGGTCTATTACTTCGTGGAAGAAATAGGATAGTTCTTGACAAAGAAAGGTCACTAGAGAGCGTATAATTCTGGCACTGTCAAGCAATCGACAAGTGGCTGTGGTGCACGATACTGTGGCATCGAGCCCTTCAGTAGTCCGTACCATGTCCTCTTAGAAGCTAGCATGCCGATACCCATGACCCGTGTGTACACGGCCTGCTGTCAGAAAGGAAAATGAAGCCCTTCCTATACCAAACCCACATGTTTATGGCACTTGAGAGGTCTTTGTATACCGCAGTCGTGTACATGCGAGTTCCCTCCTTTTACCCCTGTCAGCCCTCTTTCATATTGGCGTTACACGGAAAAGCTACCCACCTGCATATTGGCATGCAGATGTGCGCACCGAATGATCTCCGACTTGGACCAAAACACCCAGTTATGGTCTTTTACTTGGGATAATTGCGGACTGCTTCTCAGGATCTACTCAAAAGCCAGACTAGTGGGTTGCCTGGAGACATTGCAAGGCGAGATGGCTGGGCCACACGGCCTTGCATCGCTGTCACTGCTTTCAACGGGGCCATCTGCATGGGTAATTGGCTGCCAGGCACAGCTAGGGGGAGTAAAATAAACCTCCCCCCTCCGGATGTTTATATAATAACGGGGCCCTTTGGAATTCCGCATGGCAGACGAGTCTTGAGATCCTCACACATCAGGCCTCAATATCCTCCTTGCCTGCAGCAGCAGCTCAACACTTAAGCCCGCTTCTATCTGTTTTAACCAGCTCCGGAAGCATATCCCGAGCGTCCTCCACCGTCCTCTACACGTCAACAACTTCGCAACAATACCCTCACACAAGTCAGCAGTATCCTGTTATGGAGGACTTCAACCACTTCGTCGATATGCCGACCTCTGAGAGCTCTGTTCGGTACATGTACGCGGAATCAGATCAGTATCTGGACGCACACTCTTCGGGATCGCAAAGCTCAGGCAACTCACCAGTAAGTCTTGACGACGCCCATTTGAGTTTCTGGAAAACTAACCATGGCCTGGCAGTATAACATGGCTTCTCTCATGGATCCGAATGTGTGTTCCGGAATTTATCAAGGTCTGGAGTCGGAGGATGAGTCGTCGCAGCAACCGCCACAAGAACAAAAGCCCAAGAGGAAACGAGAGAACCGGTATAAGAATGCCCCTCCGTCTGTCCTATCGGTATGTGATAAATCCTGTATTTTCCCGGTCATATCTGTATGGACGAACCATAGCTGTAAGGACAAAACTAACCCATCGGCCACGAACAGCGTCGAAGAGCCCAAAACCGTGCTTCCCAGAGAGCTTATCGCGAACGCAAGGACCAGAGGATAAAAGACCTCGAGCAGATGCTCAACGAGGCCAAACAACACAACAATGCCCTTGGTCAGGCTTACGCTGCACTCCAGGCAGAATATGAGGCACTCAAAGCTTCTCAGTTCAAGGATGTTGGCTATACAACCGCCAGCAACCTGAGCTACCAACATCCGCCGATGCCAACGACAAGTACAGAAATGAGCAGTACAGGCTTTGATCTGGACTTGTACGCGTACCCTGAGCTGAGCGCCAACGGTGGATATCATATGTGAGGATAACCAAAGGGCATATATCACGCCCACACATCCCATTTTGATGGCTTATTTGGGCGTATCTCACATGACCATGGTATTGGAGCCAAGAGTGATGGCAGGAAAGGAAGATGAGGAAAGATATTGGGGTAGCACCAAACGAAAAGACGAAGGGAACGAATCCGCGGTCGGGAGCTCCCGGTGATTTATCCGCGCACCGAACACATTGACGCCCACTTGCTGCGGGGCTGGCCGAACGAGAACATACAAGGACAGCACACATCCACATCCATCCGAAGTCATCCATCGGTTGAGGCTAGGACTGCCCATCAGGAGGGAGTTCAGAAGCTTAGTTGTCTCGGCGCATTCTTGCTTTTCCTATGGTGGGGTATCATGGTCACAGACAGCAGCACATATCCCCTCCGCCCCTTCATCATGTTCGGTCCCACGGAGTATCATTCCGGTCGAAGATCGGGAAGGCTCTCGTGTTACGGTCGCTGTGATAACTGGTTCCGGTATAGCTTCGCTTGCAGATCGGATTGGATGGGTGTGGTGTTGCGACACATCACGACAAACGTCACCCACGAGAACTTATCAAAGGTACTTGCTTGCCTATCTGCCCTGTCCGTTAGGAGCGGCGGGGACAGTTTGGTGCCGTCGGGTACAACCGACACTACCAATCAAGGAAGAAGTTGCTAGAGGGGAGCAGTAGGTTATCAAGGTAGCGATCGGTCATCATTTCAGTGCTTCGACACTACCACGACTCGCCAGCAAGAGCATAGTACATCTATGTCTAAACTGTTGGCTCAACATCGGTGACCAAACCGGCAATCAGGCCATTCACATTCCTGAGAAGCTTGCACGAAAGTTGGCTTGAATTGGCTGGTTTGTTGTGGAGGAGTGACAATTGTCACTACCAAACACGAACCGACCTTACTATTCAGCCCCCGACCCCGCCGTGCAGCTGGCTGGCCCCCTGATTCTGGCTCTGGCTGCAACCTTATTCCAACACCCTCAGCAACCGAACCGGTTCACCAACAAAGTCACAGGCATTCGATTATATCAGCCGTCTGTCCTACGTAGGGTTCCATTTACTCACGCATCCACCACCCTTGTCTACCTACAGACACCACAACCACACCACACAACACCGAGCCGGGCCCGTACCGGCAAAACGGAAACGCGAGGAAGAGTGGAGTGGAGGGGAGTGAGACCGGTGTTTGGTGATACTGTTTCTCGGGTCTTTCTCTTTTCTGAACTGAACCACCTGACACCCGACATCTCGCTACCGTTCCGTCCCATGAGGACGGCATGCAAATGGGCGGCACGGACTTGTTCTTTGGGACGGGTCTTGCACTTTATTTTCCTTGACAGCTTGTTGACACATGCCTTGGGCACGGCATGAGATGACATAAGATGACTTAAGGACGACTGATGAATTGATTGATGAAGGGTTATGTAAGAATACGTACTATTTTTTTTTTTTTTGGGGGGGGGGGGGGGCTTGGGTATTGGTTTGGTTGCGTACTTGGGCACTTGGGCACTGGTATAAATATGGAAAAAGGGAAAAGTAAATGGTGGGAGGCTGGCTATCTGACTTTGGGTTCCTTTGCGGAGCCTGGTTGGTTGGGTCTTTGATCTTTAGGAGTTTGGAGCGTTGAAGATCGTTTTGGTTTCGGGTTTTGGATTTTGGCTTTTGGCTTTTGGCTTTTCGTGTTTAGCGTAGGCAGTGGGTTGGGTATGAGATATGGAGTGTGATGACGAGAATGAAAATGAGATAAAGAGTTTCGACAACTTCGCTTGCTTATAACTTGGTGCTCTGCGCTTTGAGCTGGGAGTAGAAGTATTTTTGTTCTTTCCACTGGATACAAGATCAGGGGTTTCTTTAATTTTGTCAAGAGACTGTGGCTCATCCAACCTGCACCAAGAGACTATGTTTAATGTCTCCCACGCACTCAAGGAGAACATTTCCAGCATGAGTCCACGGACAAGTCCAAGTCTAGACGAAGAAATTTCTACAATAAAAGGAACATGCACGAGTCACCTCCCTCTCCCATTACCTTCAATGTCGTCGCATCTTTCAGTTATACTGACACTACCCAGGGAGACAACAATACCTAACCAGGTTCCTCAAACTTGTTGCGTCTTAAATCGGGAACACCTGTGGAGCTAGTCTCCAGCTTATCCAAAAAGAAGTCGGCAATTTATATTGCGAAGCTATCTTCCCCTTAATTGACTATCTACAACTTTGGTGATCAAATTCACGGTCCTGATGTTAAACGCTCGTGTGCACCGACCTCGTAACGTTTACTACAACTACACTAAGGTCTTACCCTCACCCCCTATCTATCCCTGCTTCTACTTGGCGTCTTCTATATAGCGAAAAGAAATGGTCATCACGCATTCGAAGAGGAGTAGTTTATGCTGGTTCCCGTCTTCTTATCAGGTTTGTGTTTTCATCTGATCTTTTTCTCTGCGTAGATTGCGGTTGTAGACCGCTCAGACTGTGGCCTTGAGGCTGATAGGTGGTGCAGCTCACACCAAACTTCGTGACATCTTGTCTCTTGCTGCTTTCATACCTAGATCTGAAAAGGGAAGACAAGAACGTGATGGTCCTTGTGAGAATGGGGAATGGTTGGCTGACTGGGCTTAAGTGGTACTGGAAAAGAAGCATGATAAGGGGGTTTCCATTTGAGTTGTCAAAGACGTGCAACCATGTAAAAATTGAAAGAAGATTGCAGTCATCTCGTAAGGTTGAGCTCAAGTTGTGATGACGTCGAGTCTACGGTGTAGAGGTAGGTACGTGATGGACGATTTCAATCCACCAACAGAAACTGCAAACGACGAATTAAAAACTTCCAGGTTACACGCTAACGCCATCCTTCGTATTCTGAATTGTTCACGGCAAACGGAAACCACCCACCTTTAACTCCGATTTTCGATGTTGCGGTCCGTTGGTCAAAATGATATCGTCCAAAATCCATCTCCAACTCCGCCCGAAAATGGCATCACAGAAGGAAAGCCAGGCCAAGGATCGTGAAGCTGGATGGGGGCCGATTGTTGGAGAGAAAATGCGTCGACCCCGCGCGTCCTCAATTGGACGGACGGCGAGGAGGCACTTCAGCCGCGCCTCAGTTAGTGCATACCAGCCCGATGTGACCTCCAGCTTACTTCTTGACAACTCAATCGCGACGACATTGGTACTACCGGCATCTCCTACCCGGCCGCGTCCGCCGCGCGCGACCATGTTATCGCAACCACGCGCCTATTGATCACGCTTGCCTTTGCGTTAACGACAAGCCCAGTTGGGCTGGGATCATTCCAAGTCACCAACACGCTTGTCCCCAGGCGAAATCAAGATGGCGGCCCTTCCGGAGAATTGGGAGATGGACTACGATGGAGCCATCAGCCGTTGGATTTACCGATTCAAGCCTACGGGGCTCACCCAGTATACCTTCCCCAAGCCAGGCGACGAGTATCCCGAATTTGTTGGCGACTTTGGCGGTCCAATGTCACCCGAGGACAAGTTCTTCAGCCAAAGGTTGAAGAAAGGGAGTGCAGGAAGCGAGACAATCCCAGCTTCTCCTCCATTCAACATCAGCACAACTGCGACTTCAGCAAACTTTTCTGGCTCAAGCTACAAGACTCCTCCACCATGGTTTCAGCCAGACGACTTTATGTACATGGGCCCCGGCGCGTACAACGACAACAGCCCAGAGCAAGGCGAAGATGAGGCTGCTCTACCAGCAACTGATCCCAAGACACCAGAGTCCAAGTTGACTAAGCCGTCAACTAGACCATTCATCTCGCCTGTAACAAGCACAGAAACTACTCCTCTGGTTAACAATAGCCGAATCTCTGTCCTGACGATACCGGAACAGAATACGCCAGCAAGAGTTGAAAGTGCGCCGACAACAGGGGATTATATCCAGTCTCCGGTTGTTCCTATGTTGGATGGTCGTCCGATAAACCAAGTGTTCCCTATCGGTTTCGTGGCCGAGTTATACGGCGAGTCGACTGCGAGACCTCGAGAAGAACATCCAACCGCAGCGGAGCTGCCGGGTCATGAGGCACCCATCAGAAACATACAGGTGGCGAACTCAGATCAACATGCACCTGTCGAGTTATCCTCCGAAAGCATCAGCGTGAAGGCCACCTCGAAAGGAACTAACTGTCAAAAGGCAGATCGACTGAGTCTCAATCAAAAGACGGAGTCAACTCCATTCATACTTGGTGCCAATTTTGCCTCCGGGCCTTCGAATCCTGCACCTGTCCGCACACAAAGACATTCCATACAAGGACAGATGCTATCTGGAGTGGAGGTAGCAGCTGTGTCATCAGAGAAGCAGACACCGGAAAAACCTGGGTTGGATGAACAGGAAGGAAAGACAGAGCCTGGAGCAGAGATTGAGTCTAACTCAAAAGCCAACGGAGAGGCGGACAAGGTTATTGCTCAACGGGTACCGTCCATTCTTCAACCTGCCCGCAGACGCCCAAAACCTTTGCAGAATGCTTCTGGCTCTTCGACTACAAACCGCTTTGTCCACAGACCGCTCTATGACCTTCCAGAATTAGATCATCAGACTGTGAAACCACTACACGGCCATCAGTCTATGACTCTGCTCAATAAAAAGGACGTACTGGACCCCCCACCTGTGTTTACGAGGACAAATACTTTACCTGCAGACCTGCCTTCACTGCCTTTCATGGGAAGTGGGTTTTCCTCAAAGACCGAGACGTCTTCGCCAGCTCCAAAGCCACAGCACCAATCTTCACCACCGCCAGCGCCAGGCGAGGAGGAACCACAGATGGGGTCCAGCTTTGCGTCAACAACTAGACCGCATAGGGGAAGCTTAAGCGACTACGCGAACCCAGTTCTTCTTGATATCGGGCAGTCAGTGAACCCTCTGAGCATCATCCGAAAACCTTCTCCAACTGAAGCCCAAGGAGTGGATCAATCGTCTTTAGCAGTGAAAAAAGATGATATGGAACAGACGGCTCCGATGCTAGACCCGGAGTTGGCTCAGGCAATGCGTGAATGGGCGTTTCGTCCCCATTATGAACCAAAGCGCGCTACTGAAATTGTACTGGGGCTGTCTAAAGACGGTCTCACAGCAACCCTGTGGTGTCAAGAAAGGATGCAGTTACGCGGGATTCCAACCGAGGACTTGACTGAAACACTGCCGGCCACTGCTATCCAGGGAACTTCTGTGCCAGGAGATGGTTCGCATAGTCTCTCACAGCCTGAGACCTCAGATTTAGTGCCTCCACGCCCTGAAAAGATCCCACTAGACAATTCCCAGCCCGCATTTACTCCTTACCGTCCTCCGGCAGGGGAACAAACCATCCGCCGAAAACCTATAACTGAGCCTCAAAGTCATGAAATGCCGACTTCCAGTTCAGGGTTTGATCAACAAACCGGTACCTTCCCTCAACAAGGAACGCGAGACTGTTACGTACTGCCTGGTTCCCACGAGCAACAGCCTCCATCGTGGAGTGTTGAAGCCCTGCCACAGCCAGATACCAGCAACACAAACATCCCACAAACCTTTCCAGCACAACAACTGTTCGCCAACCCACAGTCCCAAATACGGGCGTCTACGTGGCCGAAACCAGAATCAACAACTCCGATCGCAGGCCAAATGGACGATCTGGCGTCAAAACCGCTTCCACCCGTTCCTCAAGTCGTGCCCCAGTCTATGCCCCAGGCTCGCGGGTTACAGACTGAGACTTCGTCGCCTGTTGTGAAGGAAAAGCGCGGGCTACTTTCAAAGTTCAGAAGAACTGGCAACACCGGCAACTCCTCGAACAAGCTTCAAAAGTCGGTCGTGAATGGCTATCCCACAGCGAGTACTAGCGTTCCACAGCCACAACCCCTCGTGTCTTATCCGCCGCAGCAAAGTCCACGGCAGAACACTGAGACACAATTCCAGAATCTCCCATTGCACCCAAATCAAGTGCAATTTCAAGGACATCAATGGCCTGCGGCCACACCAGACGCATGGTCAGCATATGGCCACGATCCGCGTGTGTTCACGCCAACAATTCAACTAGGAGGACCCCAACACGAGCCTGAATTTGTATATCAGAGTCAGCCGATGCCAGCCCAGCAGCAATGGGATTACCATCAACAACAGCAGCAGCATCATCATCAGGTGGATAGTAGAAGGGAGAGCGAAGTGTCTAACCTGACTGGCACTTCCTCACCTTCACCCGTTCCCAGCAACGCAGACGCGGTATCCATCGCGGAAAGTTCCAGAGTGTCGATAATTAGCAGTCATCACACTCGTCCTGGAAGCGAGGGTGCTGCCAGTCTCGCCAGTGTCAGCACCATTGGCAGGAACAGTGAGGCCACTCCGCCGCCCAACTTCAACCATCGCAACGGGCCTGGCCCGAGCAGATGGGGAAGTATATCTGGAGGGGGCGGTGGTGGTCAATATGATGGCTCGGGGTGGGGTGATTTTGACTAGAGGATCTTGAGGATATTTCTCCAGCTCTTTGGATATGAAGGCGATCCGAAGTTGACAATGGCACTGAGCTCCTTTTCTGTCGTGCAGCCCAGAAGTCGAGACGAATCAAGCATGGTGTTCGACATCTGTTCCTGCATGCTTCTACACCACTAACACCTGACATGGGCACGCCCCCTTCATCCCGTCCGCTAAGCCCAAAAGTCTCCGAGGCAATTCCCATTTCCCCATCCCCCCAGACATTAGGGGTCCGCCAAAACCAAGGGTCCAGGGTTTGGGTTAAGGATGGCTCGGGGGTCCCCAAGAGGGGCGTGGGCAAACGGGCGGAGGATCGGCAAGGGACGGTGGAACCTCAGTGGGCTTTACAGGGGCCTTTAACGGACCACACGCAGAAAGATACTGCTGTGTGACGTCACAGCACATTCTGTAGTCTTGTGTCGCCAACCAACAACGACTGATCAACGACCGAATGCCACTCCCGAATCGATAACTCGAAAAAATCAAAATTGGAGGATTGGATGGTGGTGTGTCTGCATCGGGAGCCAGACATGAAGCCTGCGTGGCTAAAGGGAAGTCTTGGATCAGGAACGGGATGAATGGATGCCGGTGGCTTTTCCGTTTTGAAACGAGTCAGTCAAGACTCTTGGCTTCATTTAACATGCAGGAGACACTCGATCAAAATCTTAACATGAGAATAGGAAGAGGGAACGGTGAGAGGACACAGTGAGATTCAGCATCTTCACAGCTTGACAAGTTGCTCCTTCACTCCAACAGATCAAGTTGGAATGCTTGCCGAGATGCATTACAACGCTGTCTCGCTTGTGATCACAATGGACAACTGCACGCAAGACAATAACAACATGAATCTCACCGCCGAAAAAGGGAACAAGCAATCACCGATCATGATCATCCACAAAGTCCCTGACACCATCCCTCCATCCCCGCTTCAACCGGCTTACTAACAACAGCCGGACTCTTCTGAAAGGCCGTCTCAAGCCCCCGTGGCCCCGTCCGGCCCCCCGCTTGCTAACCAACTGTTTCGTCTGCAACCGTCCACGGTAGCCACGGGCGGCCGTCCATGCCGTCCCTGCCGTCCAAACTGTCCTCCTGGTCGCACCCGGCAACGCGAAACACGCTTTCCCGATATGCAACCTCTCCCACGTCTTCTTATCGCACCTCCCTGTGTTCTTAGACTTGTTCATCTTCACTTGTTGCCCGCGCTTGGCCGGTGGGTCGCGCTTCTGTGCCAAACCGCTGATCCATCTCCACACCCCGGGATTTCTGAACATTTTCGTAAACACCGAAGCAAGTCAACCTCCTCTTCTCGGCCATGGAGTCGCGGGTCCCCGGTCCCGATCCCAAGGAACAGTGGCCCCCTATGCAACACCAATCCCCACACGTGTTAAAGTGGCACACGAAATCGATTTCAAAGGGTTCCTGAATCTTGCAAGTGGCGTCTTGGATCTATCTTGTCGGTTTCCGTCTTACACGGATGCCCCTTTGAGAGTTTCTTCCAGCTATCTCTCCTTTGCGGCTTTCCTGTCACGGGTAGCCCCCCTTTCTTCCACCCATCTGTTTGATATTTACGCCCGGGCCCCGTCCCCCCCCCCCCCCCCCCCCCCCAATCGATGTTTGACAATGCCCCCATCTATAGACTGTCCATCGCCCCGTAGGATGTCCTCTGCGAATCCTCCACCAACCTTGCACGTCCGGGTGCCGTCCGAGGTTCCGACTCCTATGGACCACGACGATGACTATTATAAACACTCCAACGGTATCGACCACACCCACCTTCATGTTCCCGACTCAGGCGCCCTCAGCCCGGCCTCTTCTGGTCATGGCGACAGGGAGATGGCCAATAGGTTAAACGACGACCTCGAACTCATGCGTGCCGAACGCATGGTCTCCAGACAAGTACGGGAAGACGAGTCGAGGCGGTCCAAATCCAAGAACAGGAGTACCGAAAATCTCGAGGACGTCTTTGATACAGTCGCCGGTGCCGGTGCCGGAGCCGCGCCTACCCCGGCAGTTACTACCGCCGCAAAGACGACATGGCTTACCCGCACTTGGGCACGACTAAGGAAGTTCCCACGAGTGCTGCGCTACATCGTCTACTCGATTCCTCCAGCCATTCTTATCCTCATTCCCATCTTCTTGGATCTTTTCGCATACAATAGGCATCAGGATGTCGGCGAGAACCGGGGTGTTAGGCTCCTCTGGTTCGGCATTTGGTTGGAAGTCGTTTGGCTGAGTCTATGGGCTACTAGGGTTATCACCTGTCTCATGCCATTCGCCGTAGCATGGATCGCCGACACCTTTGGGTCCAGCAACCACAAGAAGTGGAAGGATATTGGCCGTCAACTCGAGTTCCCTACCGCCATGTTCATCTGGATGCTGGTCGTCTTGGTGACCTACAATCCGATCCTAAAGGACCACCGAATCGACAAGGGCGAAGATGCTGGCGACAAGGATTCCGCCTGGATCTCCATTGTGTACAAGATCATTCTCGCCTTCTTCATTCTCGCGGCACTGAACTTTGTCGAGAAGATCTTGATCCAATGGATTGCCTCCTCGTTCCACCGCCGGACCTATTCTCTTCGCATTTACGAAAATCATGCGCAGATTGAGTGTCTCGTCGCTCTGTACACATATGCCAAAACTTGTCTCGAGGCGCAGGATCCGGTCTGGAACCCCAACTCGGTTGGAGGCGACTCGTCCGGGATGCGTACCCCGATGAAGACCATGAAGACGAACGCTCGGCAAGCTTGGAGCAAGGTCGGAAACGCCGCCAACCGGTTTGCCGGCGATATCACGGGCAGGCGCATTCTGAAAGGAAACCATCCCCGCAAGGTCGTCATGGAGCTGCTTCGTTCGACCAACTCGAGTTACACTCTAGCTCGCGTCTTCTACCGTACCTTTGTCCAGCCTGGCAGAGACACTATCACGTTGGAAGACATTCTGCCCGCCTTCCCCAATCAGGAGGAAGCGGAGACCTGCTTTGCTGTTTTCGACAAGGACTTCAACGGCGACATCTCCATGGAAGAATTGGAGATGGTCTGCAGCGAGATCCACCTGGAGAAGAAGGCCATTGCGGCTTCGTTGAAGGATCTTGATTCGGTTATCAAGAAGCTTGACAAGGTCTTCATGTTTATCATTATCGTGATTGTCATCATTGTGTTTATCAGCATCATCTCCAACTCGGCTGCTGCCGCGCTGACCTCGACGGGCACCGTTATTCTGGGTCTGTCTTGGTTGCTTCAGGCGACAGCCCAGGAGTTCCTTCAGGTATGTCGTCCAGGACTGCAAATATGATGCAAAAACACTAACGTGTAAATAGTCCATCCTTTTCGTCTTCGTCAAACACCCCTTCGATGTCGGCGACCGCGTCACCATCTACGGTAACACCGGCTCCCTGATGCGCGGCGACGACTACTACGTCCTCGAGGTCTCGCTCCTGTATACCGAATTCAAGAAAATGGAAGGCCACGTCGTGCAAGCGCCCAACTCGATCCTCAACACGCTCTTTATCCTCAACCAGCGGCGCAGTCAAGGTCTCGCGGACCCCGTCAACCTGACGCTCCGCTTCGGCACCACCGAGTCCCAGATTGAGGAACTCAAGGCCCGCATGCTCGACTTCTGCATCAAGAACCAGCGCGACTACGCGCCCCGCATCATCTCCGAGGTGAGGACCATCGACGAGGTTTATAGTATCAACATGAACATCATCTTCTTCCACAAGAGCAACTTCCAGAACGAGCTGTTGAGGCTTACTAGGCACAACAAGTTCGCTGTGGAGTTGATGCACCAGATGGACGACATGGGCATCCAGGGCCCCCGTCTTATGGCCCCTGGTGGAAGGCAGAATATGCCTCTGTTTTGGTCTCAGGTTCCTGGTGGTGGTGGTGCTGGTGGTGCTGGTGGTGCTGGTGGTGCTGGTGGTGGCGATGGCCAGCTACCTGTTCAGAACGGAAACGGAGGACCGCAGCACCAACAATTCCAACAGCCACCAATCCAACCAGTTCCCCCACCATCCATCCCCTCCCCTTCCCCCTCCGACTTTTTACGCCGTCGCCACCGCGCCGACTCTCGTGCCACGGTAGTGGAATCAGGCGTCGACTTCCAAGACGTCTACATGAACCGCCGCCCCGAACCGCTAGGCGGGCACGGAATCCATCGTCTGGCGTCCATCAGGCAGCGTGACGAGGAGGAAGAAGAGGATGAACTAGACGAGAAGAAACAACTCAGCAATGACATGGCGTCGGAACTAGACCAGAGATTGGAAAAGATGTCGAGTAGGGGCGTCAGTCCCGGCCCCAGACCTAGTCGTGACGGGAGCATGTCGCATACGTCGGGGAGGAGAGCGAGGATGAATATGTTTGGACGCGGGAGGTCAAGGAGTGTGGTGGCGGCTACGCAGCCGCCGGGCGGAGACCAGGTTTAGGTTTTGGGTTGGGGTTGGGGTTTGAGAGGTGCGAGTGGTGCGAGTGGTTTTGGATTGATGATGTTATGACATGATGACATGACATGACAAAGATGGGTTTGCCAGAGCCTTTTGCTGGATATGGGATGTTGGATGCTGGATGCCGCACTGGAGCATTGTTTAATAGGGAATAGGAGACACGACACAGAGTGAATGTGTCGAGCGGGGCGATGGGATATGGATATGGATGGCCATTTAGATATTGTCCTAGAGCGTAGAGCTGAAGCTATTGGAGCGGGAGCGGGAGATGGAAGGGGGACGGTTCAGGACGGTTCCCCGCGGGTGTTTTATACCTTCTTTGCACTTATTTGTTTAGCCGGTTAGTTTTAGATACACACAATTTTTGAATGAAGATGTTAAAAACAGCTATTGGACGAGCGAAAGGTATCAGTCACACTGATCGTAACCTTTTCCGCATTCCGCAACTCTCTTTGCAGGATGATGTTTTAAGTAAAGTAATTGTGGCTGCGAGCTGGACTGCTCGTTTTGTCGCAATACCCATTCACTCTCTTGCATAGGCGAAGTAGAAAAAAGAGGAAAAAGAAGACAAAAAAAAGGGAAGAAAAGGGAAGGAAAACAACGCTGGGAAATCGCTTGGAAAACATAGATAATAATGCTCGCTGGACGTTTCGTTATGGATGGTACTCGGGGCACATTGGTCTGAGGGGCGCTTCGAGCCCAGACGAGTAGGTAGATGTTTCGCTTGTAAATATACGGCAGTAGATAGATGTTTTCGCCATGGATTTTTTTGCGCTGACTTTGTATATTCGCTGTATTTCGCTATATTTCCGTCAAGCAAGCAAATGTTATAGTGAGTGCGCCCACCATAGCTGGGTGCCTAGCACTTGTCCAGACAACTCCCCCCCCTAGTTGCAGATTGCGAGTTGTGTCGACAAGTAGCCCTCGAACATGAATCGAACGCTGACCTCGACTCGAGGTTCAGAACTCGAGAGAGACCCGGGGCGGACCCGAGGCGGACCCGACCACTTCAGGGGAGGCTAGTCCTATTCAGGCATGGTCAAGTCTGAATTACTGTCGCTTGCAAACAACAAAAAAAACGGATGAACACCCGCTCGGTGAACAAACTCACCTACACCTTGCTCACACCTGGCTCGCTACACCTGTTATCTCACAGTTGCAACTTGCAGCCGTGAACAAAAATACAACCACCCGTACCAATCCTCACTCGCCTTGCCAGTGCAATCACGGTTCACAATTACTTCGATCACCACCGTCATTTGAGCCATCCAGCCAGCTGCAATCACCAATTCCCCGAAATCCAACAAAGAAACAACATCAACAACAAAGAAAAACATGTCATTCCGCCCACGCCCAAACCCACGATTCCTCAACCTCGGATTTGGCGCCGGCCGTCCGCGCATAGGGCCCGCCGGGAGTCGGGATCAGACACACGAGCTTTCACAATTCAGTGCATCAACAAAGTCGCGCTTCTCAACTTCATCTTCATCCTCAACGCCGCTACCTCACGCCAGCCCTCGTCCCCGATCCTACCAATATCATCACCCGGGCCGCCAAAAACAGCACAACCACAATCACAGCAACCGCTCCTGGAACCAACAACAACAACAACAAACCCGCCGCAACAGCACCAACTCCAACTCCCAATCAAACCCCAATGGCCCCAACCCCAACAAAAACACCAACAAAAACTCCGAACGACTCTCCCGCCTCCTAACCCGCCTCCCCCGCTTCCTCCACCCCTACCTTCACTCCCTCCGCTCCTCCCCCTCCTCATTCATCGTTGCTTTCTTAATTCTGCACGAGATAACGGCTGTTCTCCCCGGGTTGGGGTTTTTCTATTTCTTTCATTATTACGACACTGGCCACGATGGCAGCGATGACGAGGACAGCGAGGCAAAGACAATTGGCCGAAGATTCGAAAGTTGGGTAATGGGGTGGATGATGAAGCATGGATATTCGGAAGTTATCGACAAGAAGATGGAGGGGTTTGAGAGGTGGTTTAGGAGGAAGGGGTATTTTGGGTTTGATGGAGGGCAGGGGAAGGAGGATGGGGATGGGAAAGAGGAGGGGAGGTTGAATGCGGTTGAGGCAGAGGGTGGTGCTGATGGGAAAGAAGGAGAGGGAGAAGGAAAAGAACAGGCTTTGATGAAAAAGTGGCGGAGTGGGGATGAAAAGTATAGAGTCTTGGTGGACGCTGCGCTGGCGTATGCGATTACCAAGGTGTTGTTGCCGGTGAGGATTATTGTGAGCGTGCAAGCTACGCCATGGTTTTCTGGGTGTTGGGGAGGGTGAGGAGGGTTTTTGGTCGTGGGTTGAGGAAGTAAAACCAAACCACACATATGGGATGTTGAGTGTTGAGGGACACAGTGGCTCCCAGCCTCAATAGAGGAGGGCGATGAGATGGGAACACACTAAGAAGCGAGCGGGAACCATTCTACCAAGACGGCTTCTCGATCCATTAAACCAGTGTCAGTTTCCGTTACTACATCTGCTACTCATTATCATTAAGTTATCCTCGTCATTCAGCCATTGATCCCGAGCAAAGAACCTTCTTACTCTTCTCTACCAGACTCATGCATTATCTCCATCCGTTTCACGTACACCTCAAGAGCCAATGATAGATGAACTCTCAAGCCTCAACAACCCTCTTACAAATCACACCCGTCTTCTCCCCCTCTCCCTCCGCCTTGCACTTCGCCAAAGTCCCTCCCTGTCCAGCATCATAAATCTCCAACATCTTCAGTTCCGTGGCCACCTTCTCATCCGTCAAATTGTATCCAAACCACGTCGCGACACCCATCTCCGCAAACCTCACATCCGTAAAATTCCCCAGCGCACTGGGCAGCTCGGGTCTCTCCTGCAGCGGGAAATCCTCCACAATCCAGCTCGCCTGCGCCGAGCACAATCCCGGCATGTTCTTCCAGATCAGACTGCCCGTGGCAATCGGTATCCTGACTTTACCATCCACGCCCTTGGGGCTCTGCGGCGGTCCAAAGTTCTCCACCAGCACCCGCCAGAGCTGAGCTCCCGTGCGGTCCCGTAGACACGGAGAACCGCAGCTCATCGCCGGGCGCAGCCTCGAAGCCGAGAAACCCCCGGGCGTGCTCGGCAGGGTACCACTGCGCCCAGACGTACGGCGTCTGTTGGCCGTCCAAGGTGCCGTCCCAGAAGATGTCGACTCCCGCACGAAGGGATTGGCCCAACGGGTTACATGTGTTGTTGGTCCCGGGAAGGATGAAGTTGTCCGTGGCCGAGGCCCCGTCGATGCCGACCCAGATCGAGGCAGAGTACTCCCCTACGACGTTGCCGGCTGTGGGGCCCGATTCGGGCATGTAGATCTTGGGAATGACGACGGAGCCGGTGACGGACTGGATCATGTCTTGGTTTTGGGTCGGGTGCTCGGGAGTGGCGGCCGGTGGGTGATAGGCGAGGTAAGCGCCTGCGCGGAGGGATTGCGGCTTGCTGCCGGCGACGGCCTTGATATGGGCATTGCCGGCGTAGGTGGGTGGGTTGTGGGCGAGACGGCGGTTTGGGGTGTGGGTGGCATCGTCCCGTCGGAACTTGAAGGGAAGGGTGAAAGCCGTGGTGGAGGCGGCTGTGGCCGTTAGGGTGAGGAGGGTTGATGGTTTCATGGTTGGTTGTTGTTCGTAGTATTGTGTTGATGGTTGGTGGAGTGAAGTAGTAGGCGATGAGATGATGAGGTGAGTGAGTGGATGGGTAAGAGATCGACAACAAAAGGGAGGGAAACCCTTTGGTTAAATCGAATTCAAGACCTCGTGTAAGTGGAACTTGGACCAGGGGGTTCGACGGATGGATGTAGATCCCTTGGATATTTCTACCAGGGCGCGGGACACAAAGTCGATGGATGGTTGGTTGCTTCCTTCTCTCTCAGTGTTGGTTGCTGTAAAAAAAAATGAAGGAATAAACTCCCTTTGAAAAACTCGCAACCCACAATTTCTAGGTCAGGTAGGCAAGCAGGCAACGACGAAAGTAGCGACTCAAGTATGTAGATCGAATAATCAGATAGAACAGGCAAGTCGATCTCAACCAACTCTTGCCATACCATTCGTCCGGCACGTCGTCAAGGAAGGAAGGAAGGAAGGAAGGAGAGAGAAAGAAAAGTTGTAACAAACAGAAAGAAGGTTACGGGGTTCGGTTTTTGGAAAGATGCAAGGCAAGCAAGCAACGTCCCAAACAGCACACATTATATGTAAATAGCAACCTAACCAACAGGCCTCATCACACACAGCCTCACGACCGACGACCCAACAAAGCCCGTTGGCCCAATTATATTTGAAACTTTGAACAATGCTCCATGTTCCATCCGCCCATTCATCGAGGTATCGAATCAATCCCATTGATTTTGCTAACCCTGCGAAAGACAGGGCACGACAGTCGTAGATACGGCCGCCCGCCCCATGGGGACGGAGGATACATAGCTCCCTTGTCGTTGTTGCTGTTGTTGTGTCATCCGTCCCCGTCCCCAGTTTGATATTCTACTAACAGAGGCAAGTAATACTGTGTGCCACAAGCGTGTCACCCCTCCAGCCCTCCTCGTGAGGTCGTATGTACCTTGCCGTTGCCGTCTTGACTTTCCTCTCGGCCTCCCGAAGATTTCCATTCAGGAGCAAGCAAATGCGAATCATCATCATTCCACCACACTTCGTATCACTAGGGCACTAAGAGGAAAGCGGTGTTTGGCACATATCACGGTACTACCACCTAGTCTACACTACACTAGCGAATGCTGTCCAAGTTGGCTTTTTACCCGTTGCCCGGCGCCGGTTTGGGTAGGTTCGGTAGGAAGAAGGGCCTTTTGACTCTGGGGTACGCTGTGAAACATGGAAAAACACACAGGAAGAGTTAAGGAAGGATTGGAAGAATCGAAGGGACCAGTAGTCGCCCACAGAACGGTGATGGTATCAATTCTCAAAGGCTCGCAAGCTCGGTAATGAAATGCAGGGGCAAGGCACGAGAGGCGCCAGAGGCACCAGAGGCACCGAAGGGTAGGATTCCACCACCACCACCACCACCATCAGCAGCACCACCACACCCAAACTCAAACCTCACGCCACCGATCTGCATCGCTCAACGGACCAGTCAGAACTCAAAACCATCTTCTCGAAAAAGAGAGGCGAACAACTTCGAGGTTACCATTGGCGGAACCAAGTCCTTCCACTGAATGCCAGTGACGGCTCCCGACAGCTCCTCCCAACATTCGGTGCGGCATCTGTCCCGGTCTGTCAGGAACACAGCTTGAAGCGCACCACTACACTACCATAGTGAAGGCAGGGACATACACAGTACACTACTTTCATGCACCGAAGCATTAAGCAATGCCATCATTCGTATTCAAGATCCAGGGCCTGTGAGCACCCGATTCGTTTAGGTAAGCGTGACCTGCCAACCTACTTTGAAGGAGAGCCCACGCCATTTATGGAACTGAACCAACCCAACAGCTGTGCGTGTGTTGTGTAACGGGACTTGCAAAAATCGGAAAGGCTGCTTGCTGAATGGAAGTCGACAAGGAAGCACATCAGGTCACAGGCTGCTTTGTGAACGAAAAGACCTAAAAATAACCAAGAGCAACTAGAAAAACAACAAGCATAGCCATGTCAACCTTTCCTGCAAGTATGTACGAGCTTAGCTTTCTTTCTCATCTGTACTTAGATTTGTCTGTAAGAATATGGCGTTGAAATAAACTAGGGCTGCATTCAGACCGATGCGGAAACACAACGTCCAAAAAAGGCGAGCGGTGTAGTGTACATGAGACACCGCGCAACACCTCAATCATTCATCCAAAGCCTCCTCTCTTCTCCTGTCATGTCCTCCCCACGCCTCCTTCTTCTACACTATGTAAGCCCACCTGCAGCTGGGCCCCGCACCCCATCTAGGCGAAGGAAATCTTCCAATCGGCACCGATCCTCGCGCCAACCTTCTTGACAACCGCAAATGCGGCCCGGCCCTTTCCGGCGGGGGTGTACTCGACCGTAGCAGTCCAGGTCTTCCCCTCGGACTCCACCGTGACCTCCTTCTGATCCCAAGACTTGGGGGCGCCGACGATGAGGATCTTGTCGACGGTAACCTGGTGCATCTTCTTTATCCAGTCGCCCTCCTTAACCTTCTTGCGGTCCTCGCCGTCAACGGATGAGATGGTCTTGGCATCGCCGTCGAGGGTAAACTTGCGGTAGATGTACTGGCCCTTCTCGAAGTCGTACGAGTCGCCATCATCGACGTAGAGGTCGCCCTCAGCGGTTTTTCCGTCCTTGCCGACGGTCACGACAAGGGTGTAGTCGTCCCACTTCATGAGAGTGCTGGACCGACGGGGCCGGTCACGGCGGGCGAAGATGTGGCCACCCTGCATGAGGAGAGGAATCTTGTTGAGGGGAGCATAGAGAGTCACGGTCTTGCCCTTGCCAGAGGGGATGATGTCGTAAGTAAAGTAGTCATAGTAGACCTCGTTATCAGGAATCCAAATATCCACGGTCTCCTTGTCCTTCTGGGTGACAGGCTTGGCTAGCAAACCGGTATTTCCAACGAAGAATTGGTCATCAATAGCGAAACCAGCCTCCTCGTTGGGATGAGTGTAGAACATGGGCTTGACGATGGGCTCGTTGGTAAGGTAAGACTGGCGGAAAGCGGTATACCAAGACGGCAGAAGACTGTAGCGAAGACGGAGAGCGGCAGCAATGATGGTGGTGTAGGGCTCACCGGCAAGGTAAGGCTCGCGGCGGCGGGAGTCAATGTGGGCATGGGCACGGAAGAAGGGGTAGAAAGCACCAGCCTGGTACCAGCGCGTCAACAGCTCCTTCTCGGGGTTACCAAAGAAACCACCGACGTCAGCACCAGAGAAGGGGAAACCGGCAATGTTCTGGCTGAGAACCATGGGGATGGAGCCTTCAAGATGATCCCACGCAGCCTGGTTATCACCAGTCCACATAGCGCCGAGACGTTGAGAGCCAGCAAAGAAGGAGCGGGTAAGAACGAAGGGACGACGGTACTCGCCCTTCTCGCGAGACTTGAGGGCCTCGAAAGTAGCGTTATGGAATGTCAATCCATTCAAGTTGTGAAGGTCACGATGCTCCCAGTTACCGTAGTGAAGGTTGTCCTTGGGCATCGTCGTCTCAGGGCCGTTGAACACGGAGGGCTCGTTCATGTCGTTCCAAATCCAGGTGTTCCTCATGGAACCCTCAAACTTGGCGTACTTGAAAAGCGTGGCCCACCACTTTCGGGCGGCGGCATTGAAGCCGTCAACCCAGTTAGATGAGCCGGGCCAGCACCAACCCTCGAAGATCTCGCCATCCTTGTTGTTGACAGCAAAGTGCTGAGACTTGAGCTCGGAAGAGACTGTATAACCGTCAACATTCTTGATATGGGGATCGATAATGGTAACCAGCTGGCGTCCATGGGCCTCAAGCTGCTTGCCCATGCCAATGGGGTCGGCAAAGCTATGGGCATCCCAGGTGAAGTACTTCTTGTCATCGGTGTACTCGATATCAAGCCAGATGACATCGTACGGAATGTTGTACTTGTCCATCTTGCGATCAACATCCTTGACATCCTCGTCCGACACGTAGTTCCAGCGGCACTGATGGTAGCCGAGGGAAAACTCTTGAGGCATGGCGGTGGTACCGGTGAGTTCGGAATACTTGCGGATAAGGTCCTGAGGAGTAGGGCCCAGGAAGACGAACACATCCAGGAGACCGGTCTCAGAAATCCAGTGAGTGTTGGTGTTCGTCTTGGAACCAATACCCAAGGCGAGTGGGTTCTTGGACTCCTTCTCCTTGGTAATATCAACCCAAGTCTCGGCAGCGTTAAGCCAGAAGATACCAACACTCGAATCCTTGCGATGGGCCTGCAGGAACGGGATGGATCCGTACAGGGTCATAGGGCTGTCAAGGATATACTCGAACACATCGGCGTTGTACATGCGGTACGGCTCGTTGTAGTTGCCTTCGCCGCCACGAGTCTGCCTGAGAGACAAGGGGCCAGTATGCGAAGGGATACCGTAGATGTGATCATAACCGACGAAAGAGATATCCAGGGCAACGCTTTCGGGACCACGGGGCTTGGAGTCGGTGTTTCCGCCGAAGCTCTCGTCCCACCAAGTGTTTTGGTCCTCACCAGGGTACGCCTCAGGAATCTGGGCAGCGGTAGTCTCAGCAGTCTCAGCGGTTTCGGTAGTCTCGGCCTCGCTGCTATTCTCCTCGCCCTCCTTCTTCTCGGGCGCAGGAGGGGACTCGATCCTGGGCCTCCAGTGTTCCATGTTCAACAAGCCCTTGTCGTTCAACTTGATATGTGTGGCACCATCGCGCTTAAAGTCGATAGAGAAGGGGGCGAACTTGATGGTGGCCTCGAACTTGGACTCGGGGCCGTATTGAACGGTGATCTGAGTCTTATCCTCGTAGTCGACCTTGGCCTCCTTGTCGAGGGTCAGCCCGCCGACGATAACCCACTGCTCGGCCTCATTGTAGCGTTCCTTTCTGGCCTTGCTGTCATGGCGAAGCTCGATCTCGCCCTTTTGTCTCTTTTCTTCGTCGACGGTGACACGTGCGGTTCCGGATTCGAGGAAGGAAACGGTGATGGGAAGGCGGACGGCCTCGCCGGCGTCGTTGATGGTCTTGAGAATGGTGGCCTGCAATTGACCGCCCTTGAAGGAAGCCGACTCGGCGATAATGTTGTAAGGCGACTCCCATGCGGTATTGCTTAGAACGTGGTCGGCAAAGGCCCGGTTGCGCTTACAGAAACCGGTCTGGTCGCATTTCTTGAAATCGTGCTCCTTGACGGCAACTGGGGAAGACAGTGTGTTAGTGTTAGGATATAGGGTTTGGGATTGGGAAGTGAACAGGGCAAGCGCACCAGCTGGAACAAACAGGCCGGTCAAGGCAGATGCAAGACAGAGATATGCCGTCCAGCCTCCCGACATGGACAGCTGGCCCGAGCCCAGCATCTCGAGTGGTGGTGCACCTCGCTGAGGTTAGAACTCGCTAAGAAAGTCAAAAGAAACACCAAGCAAGAACAGACAAGCAACAACAAAAGGGGACTGGTTAGAAGCTCGTCTGGGTCATCAAGAACAACACTCCCGGGTTTGCTAAGGTATGTCGCAGAGTCCCTTGAAGCTGTCGTCGACTGCAGTATACTCCGCAGCTGTGTAAGGTAAGGTAGGTAGAGGTAATGTAAGCGGAAGTCACGAGTTGGGTTGACCTGTTGTCGTCAATGGCAATCAATGCCTGCCGTGTTGGCTTCAAGATGGCAGTTGTTAGCTGGCAGCATCGCAACAAGTCCACATCTCGGTGGCCGATGGCGTCGAGTGGCCCCAATTCGCCCCGTGGAAGCCAAGCAGGCCAAGCTGTCCCCTGCCAGCTAGCGCACCGCTTGGCATCGCGGGATTCGTTAGATGCATAGTGGCTCTAGATGATAAACCGCGGGGTAAGTTTTGATATCTGCATGACGACCTCAGCCCACCGTCTCAGTTCTCAGGGCCTGTAGTGTACAACTGACTTGGGCGAACATATGTTCCTCTAATCAGTTGACCTGGTTGTTCGTGATTAATATGGCATTCGAGGGGAATGACTTCCTTTAAATATTGAAGAGCATTGGGGGTTATCTCGGAAAGAAAACCTCAGCTGCACAGGCCGTACAGATTCAATGGGGGGAGCTCTGCGAGCTTTGCTGGCACCCATCGTGGCTTCTCGTCTTTCCGGCCTCGTTTCCGAGACGTTGCGCAACCACTTAAACAGAGACCCATAAGACCAATTGACGGACGGCTGCCTGGTCGCTTGCTGTTCTCTGCTCCATCAAAACATTGCCCCTAATTTCTTCAAACCCGTCGCGTAGAGTTGTCAGCTGTTTGCTGTCCTGCTGCTGAGTCTGGACCAACATTCTTCTAAAAATCAGAGCTTTGAGCTAAGCTTTCATCACCTCACCAACTGAAATAGCTGCATCCAATAAGACCATGTCGAACACTGACAGCTCGGAACATCTGCGACGAGAATCAGACGGACAACGCAGACCGCTGCCGCAAACTGAAGTGCAACAGAAGCAGCCCGAATCGGGAGGCGCAATGGCTGCGGGTGCTGATTCTAGTGGTGCCCAATCTCGCCAATCGTCCCAATCGAGGGGAAGGGGGAGCTCCAGAAGGAGACGAGCCAGGTCACCCAGGGGAACGGGCCCACCAATTTTTTTTCCGGCCGCGTGTGGACTCCTCCTAGCAGTCCTCCTTTTCTATCTCGGCCGCCTCTCCTCGTCTTCCTGCTCGACTTCTCCTTCTCCATCATCAATCATCATCCCATCACAAATCTATACTCCCTCACAGGAACCACCCATAATCAAAATGTCCAACCAGGAGCAGACGTAAGTTATTTTTTACTACAACACGGGAATTCAAACCCCTCGGTTGTACCCCGCCATCTTTATTGCCGTCTGTTACGCTCGCGCCCATCATCAACAGAAGCGCCAGCAACACCATCACCCAGCACTACTCACAATGCAACAGAGTCGATTGACTAACTTGCGCCTCTAACAGCTTCATTGCCGTCAAGCCCGATGGCGTCCAGCGTGGCCTCGTTGGCAACATCGTCTCTCGCTTCGAGAACCGCGGCTTCAAGCTCGTTGCCATGAAGCTCACCAGCCCCGGCCAGGCCCACCTCGAGAAGCACTACGAGGACCTCAACACCAAGCCCTTCTTCGCTGGCCTCATCAAGTACATGAACTCCGGCCCCATCTGCGCCATGGTCTGGGAGGGCAAGGACGCCGTCAAGACCGGCCGCACCATCCTCGGTGCCACCAACCCCCTCGCCTCCGCTCCCGGCACCATCCGTGGTGACTTTGCTCTCGTATGTTTTCCCTTCTCTTCATTCTTCCTATCTATCTGCGCAAGGACAACTACTAACGGAAAAACCAACAGGACATGGGCCGCAACGTCTGCCACGGCTCCGACTCCGTTGAGAACGCCAAGAAGGAGATTGCCCTCTGGTTCAAGCCCGAGGAGCTCAACCAGTGGAACCACCACTCCGCTGCCTGGGTTTTCGAGTAAGCGTTTGCTTACAAGAATGCCTGACAGCACTCTCCTCCCGTTGTTTGCTTGCTTAACCTCGAGCAGCGGCGGGAGGTATATCTAAGGGTATCATGTCTTTGTTCCGGTACATAAATAAAGGAGGAGATATAGAGAGCCTGGATGATGAAAAATAATGAGAACTAATTCCAAAACCTGTCTGCTCCTCTTTGCGGTGATATCGTGAGGTTTGGCGTTGCCATGACAATGCTCAGGTATACATGCAATGGTCTGCATCTTTGGGTGGGATGGGATGTGCTTGACATCACGCCCATCTGCACGAGCCGCAGAGCAGCAATCATCTCGTTAATCCTCTCGGTCCGGGCAGTCGAGCAGCATTGACAAACTGACGGATGGGCCCGAGAACGGCCGGGTAGGGCGGCGAGAGCTGTTCAGCGCAACTTAGATTCCTCTTGACGTGTGCAAGTGGTGAATTTGACAAGTCGAGAGCCTCTCAGCCTGTTAGCTTTTCACAGTCTCCATGCATTATCTGCGGCTGGATCTGGAGCCGTGAGACTATAAACCGCTGATCAATGGGCCCGCAAAATCGAGCGGTGACGGTTATCTACCTATTAGTTGAGGCCAACGTTGGCTTGTACGGAGCGACGTAGTGCGAGTGTTAACTCAGTTTTGCATCCTTCATTACTTGGGCTATGGGGCCAAATCCAACCTCGAACTTGTCCGTTCACGGACTGCCCCCTTGGCACCTGGCGCCATCCACAACTCTGCAAGTCCTATTTTCACTTTCGAGAGCATCAAAATTATTTGGCAGTTCTATACTGCAAAGATTGCAGAAATTGGTTGCTTTCCTCGCAGTTTTCATGGTCATGCTTCTCTTTTCTCAAGGCCTCTACAGCGTTGAACTGAAAAAGCCGTCCATCGATATCTGAACAGTCCGAGCACAAGATCAGTGTTGTCAGTCAGCCCCACTACCCCCACCCTTTTGTAAACGCTCCATATAATTTTTAGCTTGGTGCAAATTCTTCATCAAATAACCATTCGGCGTGGTGGCAGAGTGGTCTAATGCGCAAGACTAGAAATCTTGTTCCTTCGGGAGCGTCTGTTCGAATCAGGCCCACGTCGCACGATTGACCATGATAATTTCTTTTTTGCGTCTTTCTGTTACCAAGTTGCGATTCAAAAACACAGCTCTTCCTTTTTGCTTTCCTGACCAATTGTCTTTATTTCATTTTTGGCCCGTTTTCTGTTCGAAATTTAGCGATCAACGCGATAAGATAGCTAGAGTGCGTTCAAGAATTGTACTGAAAAAACTAATTACAAGACAGTTAAAACTGGTACGCGCCGCTCCCTGGGCCAGAATCAAGGTGAGGTAGTGAAGTAGTGTTGACATGAGCAAAAGGTCTTCCCAATGAAGAGCAAAACAAGCCCAGCAAGTAAGTAAGCCCTGTTGTCGAGTCCAGACATCTATGTATCTGATGCGCCCCCGTGCAAAATAACAGCCATGCGCTATAAAACGTCCCATAAACAGGAAAAAAATACCAGCATGATCCTGTGTCTTCCCCCGTCTAATGCGTCTATATGCTCCCCTTAACGCTTGTTCCGTTGTTTGCTACTTTACTCCGACCGACAAAGTTGGGTATCAAATAGCTCTTCCTCCCTCCTTCCCTTCTTCTTTCTCCCCTCTTCCCCTCTCCCTTACTTCTCCCCTCTCTACAAGCAAACACTACTTACTCACTAACAGAATCATCCGGCTCCCCCCTTGCCCTCTTCACCAAAGTCTCCGCCTCCCTAGCCTCCATCCGATCCTCCTGCACGCTTCTCCGATCCGAATCATCATCGTCCTCATCCTCATCCTCATCCTCCACCTCACTCCGCAAATCAGGATCATCATCATCTTCCTCCTCCTCATCGTCTTCATCGTGAAGACTACTGCTTCCTCTTCGTCCCAGCCCTTGCTCCCGCACTGCCTCAGGCGGCCGTCTCTTCTCGAAATCTTGCTTGTGCGCTTCGGCCATGACCTTGAGAATTGACTTCTTGCCCATCGACTCGTTGTGACGGCGGCGGAAGGTGCCTCCGCCGTTAAGGTTGAAACCGGTTCCGGTGCCCGTCGCACCGGGCGTAGCGTTGGCAGCACCGGGCGTGGCAGCACCGGCGGGAGAGGTGACTGAGCCTTGGCGGGGGCTGGCAGCCCCTTCCTCTTCGCGGCCAGCGGCGGTGGGTGTGGAAGCAGTCCAAGGAGCGGTAGCTCCAGCGACGACGGAGCCGCGAATGCGCTCGCGGATGCTGGCGGCCATGGAGGAGATGGTGCCTCTGCGATCCCGTTGGGCAGCAGCAGCAGCAGCAGCGCCGGTAGTGGTGCCGGTTTCGACGGCCGCTTCTTCGGCAGGTGTCTCCTGGCTGGGACGCTCGATGAACTGATCGAGCTGGTAGGGGAGAGGAGTATCGCGCGAGGCCTTGTACTGCGACACGTTGGCGCAATGCTCGTTCTCGACACGGAGGATAAGCCAAAGGCCACGACGGATGACTTCGGCAAAGGCGACGAAGAAGGATACGATCGTGCTGTGCTGAGTATTATGGGTGAAGATGGCGTAAAAAATCCAGTTGAAGCGGAGGATGGGGTCGACAATCATGATGGCATAGTAGATCCATTTGGACTTGAGTGCGGTAATGTCTCGAAGGAAGGGGTGGCGGACGTGTTTCTGGAGGAGTGAGAAATCCATGAATAGATCCCAGACCGCTGATAATTAAATGTCAGTCTGATATCACAAAGGCCAGGGGAAAGGAATACTCACAAGTATAACAGGCGTTGATGCACGCAAATGTGATGTAGACAGCCAAGTTAGGTTTCGATCCGTTGAGGCGATACAAGCTGAGCAAGACAGCGGTAATGATGGTACACATATACTTTCCGCAGTTGACAAGATGAGGAAACACGTTCTTCGTGTCGTAGTAACGCCTGATACACTGCAGAGCACGCCAAATTGGGGGCAAGGCGTTGAAGAAGCCGAGAACCCGCGAGTGACTAGAGTTACACATACTCGGTTGATCCCACTCATTGGCGTACAGGCAGAAGAACAGAGCAATGTTCTTCGTAAAGTTAGCGTACTGAATTATTAACCAAGATCATTGGAAGCAATCACTTACACTAGAAGCGTATGTCAAAGAGCACCAGATATCGCCGAGGAAGAAATCTCGAAACTCGACAGGATACAAGCCCGCCAGCAGCAAGCGATACTATCAAGGTGTCAGTATGATGAAATTTTCGTACCTTACGAACATGGCATGGTAACTTACATGTGAATACAAGAACCATCTTCTAGCTCTGTGATAGAATATTGGTGCCGGGAAGAACAATATCAGCAGCGACACGCCTATCAAAATGACAGGATAGTACAGATACATTTCCTCCCAGTCGCCAAACCTCGAGAAGTTGATCCATATGAACACGCCAAGAAGCGCAAAGAAGAAGGCTGGAAACTCGGCCAGCTGCTTCCACTCCAGGTTGTGCCTCGTGTCAAACTCGAAGATGAACGGGTAGTTAACCTTGTTCTTGGTCCATATTCGACAAGCCAATGTGAACAGTGTGAAGAGCATGATCATCAAGAAGTAGCCTCCGTACAGCTGCAGCAAATAACTCGTGTTTTCCTTGAGGACGTGATCGTCCTGGAACAGTAGCTCTGCGCCATAAATCAGACCTTGAACGGCAAAGACGGCGCCAAAGCCAATAAGCAGTCCGCTGCGGAAAGCACTGTCCGAAGCGTCTCCGGGGCGTCTGAGAATGTTTCGGAGTTTTCCTGCAGCCAGCTTGTGGTTGCCCTTCTCGAAGTATCTAGCGTACAAGTCTTCGACCGTGCGAATGTGGCCGTCGAGAATGTCGCTGTTGACGAACCAAGTCTTGTTGACTTTCTCGTTCATGTAGCGGTAAGTCGGGCGGGCGTTAACCGCCTTGTCGTACTTCTTGTTAAGCTTACGGAACGCAGTTCTGTTCAGGAGGGCATACGACTTGAGAAGCTCGAGACCACGGTAGAACTCCTGCAGGGCGAGCTTGAGCTTCCGCTTCGCCACACGGTATGGCACGTCGTCTTTGTTTGGCGGTCTCCTGACATAGTCGCGGCCTTCTTCCGGCTTCTGCGGCGCCATGACGGGTGTTCCGGTCATCTTTTGCAGCGCTTTCGAGTTTGGCCCAGGCTTCATGAACTTGGTTCTGATGGGCGCTATCCAACCCACACCATTGTCTTTGCCATTGCCAGCTCCTTCGTCGTCCGAGTGACTCCTGCTGCCACCACTGCCTTCCATCTCTTTTCTCTGCTTGGCATCCGAAATCTCAGTCGTTCGTCTGTTTCGCATTTCGTGGAGTTGCTCGCGCAAAGCAGATAGGCGCTTGGTGGCCTGATCTTCCTTTTGCTTGTAGAATGTTTCGATCTTGTCTAGTTCATTGTCGAGGAAAGAAAAGAACTCGACCTCGGCAGTACGGACGGTATCCAGATTCTGCAGTCCTATCTCGTCCTTGTTTGACATTGTGCGAGAAAGATGAGAGCTAGTGGAGAGGAGTCGGGTAAGACGATGGGTAGGACGTTGAGCAATGCTTGCGCTTGGTGGCACATCGACGGAGGACTCTGTTGCACTAGACTGGCCAGCGTGAGCGGCACCTACCATCATGGACCTGCTGCGTCGTGGTCCGAAACGGTTAGAGACCGGAGAAGTCGGGGTAGTCGGGATCGAGTCACGGCGACCGCCTGTCCTCGAGGCTATCTTCATGGCCGGAGCGGGAAGTTCGAACTCGGTTCGATCGCTCGAGCGCGAAGGGGGGACAATGCTTCCATATCGAATCCCGCTGTCAGGCGACCTTGTCAAACTAGATCGCTCCCCTGCCCCTCGTAATTCGATGCTGCTTCTGCTGTTTCTGCTGTTCTTGGTCGGCGCGCGGGCGAGCTCGGGGCCGCCGCCCGGGAAGTAATCGGTACCAGGCGAGTCTTCGTGAGGGCCTGGAGTGGCATCAGACCAACGATTACGGGTTGCTGTTCGTTTATGATGTAGGTGGTGGAAGAGGGCTCCAGGCGTCGCATGTAATGGATGCTGCGAATCGGGTCGCCTCGCGAGAGTCGGTGTGGTGCTTGCACGCTGGATAGCCCTCGTCACCGACTTGATGAGCTTCTTCCCAAGCTTGTAGTTTAGGTACTTGACACGCCATTCTAGAATTGGGAAACATGGTTAGAATCACGGACAATTGTTTCATTGACAGTCTTTGATTGCTGTCTGAGACTTTGGAGCAGTGTCGCAATCTTGCATGCGTCGCAATTCGTCGTCAACAAAGACATGCCTCATGCTTGGCATCAAAGTCGGTGCGACTCTCTTCAAGATGATCCAGTATGGTGTTTTCTGCCTTCAGACTGAGTCTCTTACCTGGCACAGCCTCCTGCTCGAGTTCTTTGGCAAACCTGGACGTGCGCACATGTTTGTTAGCATCTTCGGAACGGAAGGTGAGCACACGACCCTCGAACCTCTGCGGCGGGAAGGAGGAGATCACATGGGGACAGATGTGGACTGGGGGATCCTTACTTCATGACGTCAAGCTACCAGTGGGCAGCATTCCTCCGCAAAACAGAAAGAAGCGCTCACTAACACAAAAAGAAGGGAGATGAGGACGGTGTCGACGAGGAAGTCCGTCGCATCTCAGGCAGCGCGGTCTGGGAATATGGTTGTTTGAATACAGTCTGAAAAGAAGTTGAAAGGGGGCAAGCATGGAAAAAGATCCCGGAAAGAAATCAGATGCCCTGGAGATGCCGAGTGAATCAAAAAAAGTGACAAAGGGGGTCAAACAATGTGACCACACTCAAGCGATACAGCGCCATCGAGGTTCTCCGGTAGCGAATCTTTCAAGTTTTCACCAAGTCGCTTCAACACCTGCACCTGGGTCAGGCAGCCCTGAATTTGTGGAACTGCTCGCCAAAACGGGAAATGGGTTACGTCCCTGACAGGCCCGGCCACTGCTGCCCAACGGAGCCAATCCCGCTGGCTGTTCGTTGTTTCAGCGACTTCCAATTTCTGACCTGTATGTTACCGGCCTACACAAACGTCGACGCCAAAAACAGTCAAACAACTGAACTGTCCAGATGCACACTTGGTGATGGTTGCACAATCGGGAACCCCATTCCTCTTCACCCGCATCATGGGACCTTTGACATCCAGCAGACTCGACGGCCAAGACATGTCTCTGGAGAACAGAGGCCTTGGCTGTGCGGAGGATTCACATGGCAGACAGATCTCAAAGTCCAGAAAGGATGGTCATGATACATTACTATGGGGAATCGTGATTAGAATGACGGGATCAGCGCAGATCCAAACTATGTTTTATGGAGTCCCTATTTTCACGCTTTGACTTTGAAGGCAAACATCTTCTGGGGTTTCTCCCTTTTTTCATCTCTTTGATTGCCTTGTTATCCGGGCCGAACGCCTAGAATACCCTTTTAGACCCTTTTGTACGACTCCGTCCGAGTGTCCCTTCACTTTTGGTCCCGAGATCATCGGTGGAATTCTTATCAAAAGGTTGCCTTTGGGGTAAGAGAACGTTCCATTATTCGCTGACGAGCGCTGACTTTGATCGTTGTTGCATGACGGAGTGTCATTTTCCACTCGCTAAAAACAGAAATACCATGGCTTCTAGAAACACAGCACGACTCAAGCATATGGTTGGCCGTGGCCGGACGGTGATGTGCGGTGTACATATCCCATGTTTACAATAGCTGACCGTCGCATGGCTGTTTCACCTTTGCTAGCGTCGAGAGATAACATGCTCAACCAGCTCAGCTCAGCTCTTGTGTCACCATTTCGGCTCCGGAGTCGGTAGAAACCACTCACTTCACGACACGACCGTTACGGTCCCGGACCTCGTCCCGCCCGACGACAACGACCACTGAGTCCATTGTCTCAATCCGGCCGGACCAACGGACTGAGATCCGGGTCTGAAAAAGCCACCCGTGAGGACGGTAACTTCCACCGCCGCATGTCGCTTAGCATGCATGTCTGCGGGAAGCTACCTGTCGTGCGGCGCTTCATGCCACGGGGATGGCGGGTGGCGCAACTTTAACACCACTAATAACTGCATCCAGTAGGGGTTGAATGAGCGGTCTGAGGTCCGACAGCGTGGTGTTTAGTGCCGCAAAAGACGTGACATGAGAGCAACGTGGTACGGATTGATGTTGCCAGGTCTATCGTACCATGGCCATTGTTATGTCGTGAACTTCGTGGGCAGAGGTATGTGGGAGTTACCGTACGACGCCGGTGATCTCGATAGGGTAATCTCGATAATGTGCCAGTGGTTTCCTAAACCTTCTGCGCCCAAGACACCTTCCTCTGCACCTAAACTTTGTGACTGAAACCTTGCCCAGCTCGTCAAACGAGCCGCTTGCAGGTTAGTAGGACAACTTATCACGGGATTTCCGGTCTAAGGGTTTGAAGAATTCGTGAGAAAGATATCGAGCGTCATGTCGTATGTTGTTGCTTTGAGAGGCAGCCGGCAGCTGGTCCGATAGTGTGGAGACGACATGGTGCGATACCACAATAGCCTAACCGATAAAGACTGGAAGCGGGTCCCGCTCAATCTCCATACCATCCCCGGAGCGGAGCGGGGCAAGGACGGGGTAGCGGTTCCGTTCGGCTGCATGCCGGGAGTTCATGGCCGGCCTTGGAGCGGTTTCTCATTGGTCGATGCGCACCATATCGAGGGGTCGCACGACTTTCCGCGTTCACTGTCGATGATTCTAACATCTTCTTGTCCTTGCCTACACTATTCCATATAAGCGCATTTTCTCATCTTCGATTATCCTCGGAGATCATTCCGACTCTTGATCGATCGGTTTCCTTTCGAGGCCAAGACCAGAGAAAATTTTCGCTCTTCAGATACGAGAGGGATACGCTATCTTTCGCCGAAAAGAGCCACATCGCCAAGACAGAAAAGCTGCCGATATTCCCGTCAAAATGGAGGCATTGTTGGAGGACTCGGACTCAGCGAGAGCTCCCTTCATCACACACGGCCCGAAATCCAAGAAACAAGGATGGGCATTGTTGATGACTCAAGTGAAGTGTTGAGAGAGTGTTGCGTTGGAGTGCTGCTGGTGTTCCCGTTGTCGTCGACATGTGGGCGCACTGATACATACCCCGCGCTAACAGAACCCCCATCACCCCTCACGGTAATATCCACGTCCCGGCCACTGCTGCAGCCTGCTTCCGGTTCACATGAGACATGCAGCCCAGCCGGTCGGCTCGCGATAGCTTCAAGAAGAAAATCTCGTGGCGGCCCGCGCACATTTGAGCGAGACCCCAGCCTCGTGCAAAAACCTGTGTGAAAAATTGCATCCTCTACCTTAGTTCGCTAGCTCAGTTAGTCACTGCAAAATGCCCTTGCGTACGCTTCGACGGCTGGGGGAGAACTGTGGAATGACTGGTCAGCCGCCAGCAAGATATTTCTCAGTGAGCGCTACTGAGTGAGTACCTCATGTAGACAGGATGAACTGCGAGAGATGATCTTAGATAACTCAAATACGACTTACTTGTCCAGCAGAAAAAAGTTAGTTCAGGTACCGGTGTTGGCGCTGGACGAAACTGACCAGTGGTTTGCTTCGACTCAACACCACACAGGCACACACACAGACCCTCTGGGCATCAGGTACCCGTTCGGCCCAACCAACAATTCAACACCAGAATTCCAAGTTTTTTTTTCAAGACTTCCTCCGGGGTCGGGACGGGCCAGGCTTGAAAGCCACTCAGGCTGCCAATGACCCCAACGGCACTACACTATTGATTCCTTCGACCGACGCTAGAGCATGCTCCTGACTGATATCAACTGAGGTTATATGCACGGGGTGTCACTAAAACAGTTATAGACGGCGCCAGAGCGGTTGCAGATGTTATCCATCCTGTCGGAGGTGGTTAAACAGGGAAATCAGAGCAAAACCAAACCAAACCGGAAGTCGGAATGATCACCGGTGATGTGAATGTCCACCGAGTCCACACTAGTTTGGCAACTGTCAACTTGTCAACCTGGCTTGTCCATGCCAGTTTCGCAAAAGGACCACAACCGTTGACATCACCGTACCGGGCCCTCGTCAAGTGGTTTTGTTTCGGAAGGCGGGGTTTTTCATATAGGGATTTATTATTCCCTGAGTTTGTGGTAGGTGGTCGTGGTCAACATGGATCTTGATCGAGGGTCCCGTCATCCTGATGATACGTCGTTGTTGTATAGTGTAGCCGTTGGTTGCAATCTGTGCCGCACAAACTGGGGTCTTCCCAAAGACCTGGGGTTTGTTTCTCAGTGCGTGCGTTCGGCTGACAAGAGCCGCTTGTGCACAATGCCAATGCCAAATTCCAATATGCAATGCCAATCCATCAATCACGGACCCAGAACGGTCAAAAAATCCTGGAACCAAAAGACGGGGGAAGGAAGCAAATCAAGGTCAGGCATCACGGGTCTTCTGGATCTTCTTGCATTTTTTGATAACAGCCGTTATGCGAAAAAGATCTCGATCTCCGCCGATTACTTGCCCGACCCAGCTACCCTCATGAACGACGAACGACGACCCGACCGAAGAAAAAAAAGAGGCAGTCCCATCACATCAACCCCACTTCCACCTGGCCGCCCGTCCGGGAGAAGAAAAAAAAAGGTTGCATTCAGCAGCCGAGAAAGCTCTAGCGATCTCACTGCGTGGCTGCCCCAGTCCCGGCCTGTCCATGGCCTATCCCCGGTTCCGCCCATCAGGCCATGGGAAACAGTGACAAGGTGTCGGCCTGTTCACACAAGTTCTCTCTCACAGCGAACGACAGCACCGAGACGGACAACCCTCGTGGAAGTGTGATTGGGCCAGGAGGCTGCCGTCAAGGCCCTCGATAACCCATCCGCCCCCAATTTGTCCTCCACTATTGGTGTCTTGGCCAGCGCTCCATTCAGCTGAGATGGCCAGTGGGATGGGGTCTTTGGCATGGAGAACCACGCCGGCGTCTGAAGGGGAATCTACGGTCATTCGTATTGTACCCTATCTTTTTTTTGCGGATTCTGTGGACGGCATGGCGACGAGTTTCGGCCTTTTTTCTTCCATGTGAAGGGATTCCCGAAATCTGAATGGTGTCTTTAGCGATCTACTAACAAATAAAGAACACCAGTGTCACCCGGTGTCCTGGGAAAAACGGGACACGGCAGTCTAGGCAGGGAGACGGAAGCACGACTTGTTAGCTCCGATGCTCACGCTCTCACTCAGCCAGCCTTCCATACAATAAGGTAGTTCCATAGGCTTTGAAGCTTCTCGAGGCTACGCCATCGATGAAAGGCATCTTTTACGTGCAGGACATCCACGCTTGTGTAACATATCTTTGCGGGATGGGGAGATCTTGCACCAACAACACATCCACGCATCTCGAAAACATATTCAGTCACGCACGGACTGCCCAGTCTGACAAAGAATGGTACAACACCACAATCTCCAAAAACTCTTCCAACGGCATGAGATGATATTAAAAAGCAGATCCAACGTTATGTATACTAGAAAGGGAAAAGAAGAGGGGATCCAAACTAAAGTACCTCTTCGGAGAGCCCTACACAAGCGGACCTGTCATGGCCCAGCAAAGACCAACGGCCACGGCAGTGAATCGAGCGAGGTCCGGGACGGGGTTACAGTAGAGGCATGTGTGAGCCACATCTGATTCTGGTCAGCATCACGGAATGCATCTCTGGCCCAAAAAGATTCAACAACAGGCCGTCTTTGTGGATGCCCGTGCTTGTTGGCGCTCGTTGGTGGACCAGGAGCTGGGATGGGATGTGTTCACTGTTTAGGCCGCCCGGGGCCAGACAGATCAAAACCCACCAAAGCCCACCAAGCCCACCGGGCGCCACAGGCATAGCATCATCGAGCAAGGGCCAGCGCGCATGCAACGTGGGAGCGCCAAGTTTGAACCCGACATCGTCCACTTTGTGTGGTGCTCGCCAGTCTTTTTCCTTCCGAGCTCCAAGGACTGGACTTGCATTTCTTGCACTTGCCTTTTTTTGCTGCCCTTTTGTATCCCATCCCGCCTGCTTCTTCCGTCCTCTTTCTTTTCTGCCTTTCTGTTTTTCCCTCTCCCAATGTCTTGACTCGGTTTCAGTTGCAGCAATCTTGCAACAAACCCTTTTCAGTTTCTCTTCAACCTAGTCCGCGCACATTCCACTTCGCGCTTTCGGTCCCGGTCACGGTTCACCTCGCTAGACCGCCGCCGCCGCAGGAGCAGTACCAAGCAGCAGATCCCTCCACTACCGCACATCAATTTGTGCACAGCGACTCCCGCAACAGCACAGCACCAAAGCACAGCACATCGCAGCGCAGCGGCTGTCGGCATCACCGTCGCCTCACGTTGCACCCGGGGTATCTAGCCGCAGCCAGCTGTCATAACGCAGCGCCGTCCGCGGTCCTCCTCCCTAGCTCGACACCATCGCTCCGGTTGCCTGTTCCCTGGAGATAGCGCACCCGAATTCGTACCAAGTCCAACCAACAAACAAAACAAAACCACAATCCTCCACCCCCCGGCCCTCTGCCAATTTCCTTCAGAAACAAATTCCCGACGATCGCGCAGCGGAAATACGTTCGGACTCCTGGGCGCCATTCCCTTGAGGTAGCGGCCCTCTCGTATCCTCATCTCCCCTTCTGGCGCCAGTGGGTGGAGACTGGAGACCATGGCGGATCCCCAATACGCTCGCCGGCGAGCTCCCATGGATTCCTCATTCCACGCTGGTTACTCGCATCACTCGCATTCTCGGTCGCGCACCGGCTCCAATGGCTTCGCCTCTCCTCTAACATCACCGCCGGTGACTGCAAGCTATCAAATGCAAATGCCCATGCCGATGCATGTCGTCCAATCTCAATCGAACCACCAACGACGATCGCCCAGCGTGAACACCTTCAGCACCGTCTCAAGCGGAGGAGGGATGCTGCCCCCGCCCGCCGCCTACCGAACGTCGCCCACCAGCGACATCAGGAGATCTACCTCGAGTCGCTCCGGCAGCACCATCGACCAACCAACCAGCTATGTCGCGCTTCTACGAAAGCAAAAAGCGACGGTATGGTGCGACCGTGCCCAATATGAGGATCCCCGATTGCTAGCACAGCAGCGTGCGGCTAAGTCGCGGGCGGCTATGGAAGTATCGGGCGCGGTAACCGGCTCGGGAATGACCAGCGGCCGCACCACAACCGGTCTGTCTGCAGGAGGAAAGGTCGCCGCAAAGATCCGACACCACGGCAAGCCGACAGTTGTCGGATACATACCAGATGGCCACCACGTCGGCGTGGGAGGTATCCCTCTCAGACTCAGCGCGACCGAGGTGGAAGGTGAAGACAGCGATGACGACAATGACGCCATGAACCGATACAATCACCGAAGAACCGGTAGCTCCAGCCGAAGCAGCACCGCCAGCGGGAGAAAAGGATTGGGCTATCGCGCCTCCGGACAACTCGGTCCATCGAATTCACAAGGCTCCGGGTCTAGAAGGTGGACCCCGGGCGATACACCAGAGCGACGGGGCTCCCTAGCACAAACCAGCGAGCAGGCCTCTGCTGGCAATGATGCCGCTAGCGGGAAGGCCCTGAGCTTTGCCAGCGGGAGCAGCGGCGAGCGCCTCGATGCCGTTCCTGACCTCCAGGCCCACCCACAACGACAGCTGGCTACCAACAGCTTACTCAATGCCGCCTTGACGCGCGAGAAGAGCGTCAAGAACCCCGAGGAGCTCAGGAGGCGGGGAAGTTTGGACGAAAGGACATATGAGAGGACAATGACGCTCAACTCGTCCGGTCGCTTGTTCATTGCCAACCCTGACTGAAGCAAGCACAATCAGGAGCGGATTGACGTGGAGGATTTTACTAACACCGGGTTCCGTACTTGCCAAAACAGAGGGCAGCCGGGACCTGTGATCTACAGCATGGGAATTTGTACCTGAAACTACATGCATAGCTAGGCGCATGGGTGTTCTGCGATTTGTTTTGTCTTTTCTTTTTCTTATTATCTGGGAAAATCTTTGTCAGGCACGGACATGGCCGCTGTCTTGACTGCACTGCACAGCACAACAGGTTCGGTTTTGAACCAACCGATGTTTGGATAGGGTTATTCGAAAAAAAATAATACTTGGCCTTGGGTCACACACACACACACACACACACACCAATCATTGAGATACCACTGAATGAATGCGATCTGTTTTCGAGATGACATACATACCTACATGCCGCAACAACTATTTGACATATGGGCAAGCGTTGCATAGCGGTCAAGTTGCCATCGCTGCGGCGTCTATTCTATACGGCCGATCCTGTTTGGACTTTGGAGCGCTTATATCCTAACAATTCAATAAGTCCCGGCATAATGGGAACTTGTTTGCTATTTCCTTGCTTCTTGAGGGACCCCTCATCCAAGTTTTCTGATGGTAGTAAGGTCCATAGTTCCGTCCGTCGTTACAGGTATATAATAAAGGCCCGGATATAGGCAGAGCTGTGATCTCACTCCTTGTTGGAGAACTTGGTTCCATAACACGGGTTTGTTATAGGAGAAACGGGAAGCCGAGAAGAGGGATGACGAAAGGGCAGCAAGACAACCCTCCTTTTACCATAATTGGACGTAAATTACATGCGGCAAGGCTATCTAAGTGAAACGTTGTCACATTCACTCTCTTGGCTTTGGAAGTTGAGGATGGCGGTAGCAAAGTTCATGATTTGAACCTCACTTGAAGGGGACGCTCCAGGGTTAGGGTTGGTGTTAGTGATGCCTCTGTCCCCTTGAAACTGGACTACAACTACTGCCTGGAAGTTGAGGACAGGCAGCCATGGTAGAGGCAAACCATTCATTGAGAGCAAATGGGATGAAATGCACGAGGCTATCACAGAAGCTTCAAGGTCGTACATGAGCAACAGCTGCGTGCATTCACTGTCAACAGCGTTCGTCACCAGATTGTTGAGGTTCACGATATTTAAGAGGTGTATCAGTCGTCAACCAACCCTAACCTTTCCTTCCATAACTTGAACAGCAGGAAGATGATTCGTACTCATTACGAAACCTGAAATACAGCGGAGGCAGCCCTAGTGTACTTGGGAGAGTGAAGACCTTAAACCATTCACAGATACCGAACCACCAGCCGCTGCCACACTTCCAGCCACAAGAAGTTAAATTGAAAAAGAGTACGAAAGCCACACCCCTCTCGAATTGACGCGAAATCACGCTCCGCTTCCCATAGATTAGAAGTGGGGCACGTTAGGCGCGACAGGGACCCACTTGGGCTAAATTGAAAGGCGCGACCTTGGTGTCACCAAACGCGTCCCGCTCAGGCGGCAGCAACCGCGGACCACTGCAGAAACCAAGAAATCACCAATCGGTTCAAGCCTTTCACTCCCCGCAACAACCAACTAAACCACCAACGACGTCGTCTCGACCTTCTGGGCCTTCTCTGTACACCAGGTTTCGTTCCCATTCACCACACAGACCTTCACTTACGACGCCGGGAAGTAACCGGCAGTGGGCTCATTCCTTTTACACCGCCCAGCGCATATACGACTTGCCTACCTTAATTGTGGGACCTAGACCTTGTCTGTTCTAAACTTTCAACCCCTCACAACTTGAATCGACCCGGCCTTTTTTAAGAACAGACCGCGTCAGTCTGGACCGTACATGGCACGCGTCAACCCAACAACAATCAGGACAGAGGAAGTCAACAACACCATGCCTCTGTTCACGACTTCCACGAGTGGACAGGAGGATTCCTCCAGTCTCAAGAGGTCACACGACCAATTCCGGGAAGAGGTCCCACCTCCAAGCTCTTTCGACGACAGTAAGTACCGCGTTCTGAAATCAGACCGTGGCCTCACGCGACTTGAAGCTAACCACCAACATTTACAGAGGAAAATGTTAGGTCGTCACCACCCCCGTCTTCGGGACCCGTAACTCCCAGAGCCAGAAAAGCCAGTCCGGCATTGAGCGACGCCAGCAGCCCATTGGATCGCCTCTCGCGATCCCCGAGTCTATCGCCCCCACGACTCGCACCTCTCACGATTTCTACGAACAACGCAACCTCTACCCAGAAGCAGACAACCAGCGCCAAGGCTGCGTCAACAACATCCAAGTCAACAACGGGCGAACCGGTCATCAAGAGGAAGAAGCTGACTCCTGAGGAGAAGGCGGCCAAGGCCGAGGCCGACGCTGCCAAGAAGAAGGAGAAAGAGGAGGCCAAGGCTAAGAAGGCTGCGGAACAGGCGAAACTCGAGGCAGAGAAGCAACAAAAGGCCGAGGAAAAGGAGAGGAAGAAGCGCGAAAAGGAAGCGGAGCTGAAGCGCAAGGAGGAGGAGAAGAAGCGAAAGCAGGAGGAGAAGGAGGAAAAGGAGCGCATGAAACGCGAGAAGGAGGAAGAGGAGGCCAAAAAAAAGGGCCGACAGATGAAGCTCACATCGCTCTTCAAAATCAACCCGGCCACACCGAAAGAGAAGCCAGTCGCAGTCAAGGTCGAAAGCAAAGATGTCGAAATGACGGACGCACCGAGTCTCACCAAAGAGGACGAAGCCTACCGGAGGTTATTTAAGCCCTTTTACGTGAAGGAGTTTGTCACGCTAGCCAAGAACCCCTTCGAGGTAGACGAGGAGACCAGGGACGCCAAGACGAAGATATTGGACGAGTACACCGAGGGAAAGCGGGACGAGTTCCCGATACCGGAGAAGTTCGACCCCTTGGAGGCCCTACAAGTGCCCTTCAAGACCCAGAGGCGCGGACGCCCCTATCCCAGTGTGCGCAAGATCATGACGGAGATCTACGGAGAGTCATCAAGCAAGCCTATGGACCTCACCACAGAGAACACTCAGTTCAGAGATGCGCGGGAGGCGTTGAAGGCGGTACCAGTCAAGTGCATCAAATTCAGCCAAGATGTGCGACCACCGTATGTCGGCACAATCAGCGGTCTTCCTCCGGGCGTTAAGAGTCTCTACAAACTCGCAAGAAACCCGACTTCGCGCAAAATTCTTCCCCTGGACTACGACTATGATTCGGAGGCCGAGTGGCAAGACGAGGAAGGCGAAGATGTGGAGGATCTGGACGATGAAGAGGAAGACCTGGAGATGGATGAGGATATGGACGATTTCTTGGATGATTCCGATGATGTCGCTCCTCAGCGTCTCGTCTTTTCCGGTGGCATGGAGCCAGAGAGTACCGGCATATGCTGGGAGAACGAGAAGCGGTGCACAGTGAAGCCGGAGCTGTATCAGTGCCGGATGGAGATCATACTGGGTAAGTCCACTCGCCGATAGTGTTCGTGTAACTATGCTAACGTCGCCTCACAGATGCGCTGGACGAAGAACACAGCATTGACCCTTCTCGACTGATTATTGGGCTTCGAAGTCGAAGACCAGCTCATCAGGTAACGAAAAGTCTAGTGTGATCACATCCACATCCATCACTGCACAGACCGGGTCATCATCCTCATCATCACTTCTTCATCCATCCTCCGCCGCTACTAGCACAAGTGCGAAATCTGCCAAGGCCGCCACTGGCTCTCAGGCACCAACAAACGCGTTTCAGGCACTTACAAAGGGTACAACAGCAGGTAACTCACCTCCTAACAAGGCTGCAGCTACAGCAGCCGGCTCAATTGTTGTTGCTACTGCTCCCTCAACGACAGCAGCAGGCACTGGTCGTAGGCCTCCCGGGCGACAGAAGATGTCTGACCAGCCTCTGCCGGCGGCCGCGCAGGAGCAGCTCAAGGAGCTCATGCACCAGATGCCCATGGTTAGCAAGTTGGGTATCATCGAGGTCTTTGCCTCTCAGCACCCGGATATGGTCCGGGCGCAGATCAAGGCTTCGTTTGAGTCCATGACTGAGAAGCATGGCAAGAGTGGTTGGAAGTGGAAGGAGTAGGGCTTTTTCCCCTCTACATACTAGAGGCAATGGGTGGGGTTTCATTTCGGAGTTGATTGAGTAATTGTGGGAGTATATACCTAAGCATTTCTGTTGTACAAGTTTGGACGGACATATGCGTATTTCAAGGAGGGGAGGAAAGCAATCGCATTTTTATGGTCTCAGCAAGGAGGGCTAAAAAGAGAGCAAAAGGCGAACATATGATATATGAAGAAGGGAAAAGGAAGGAAGAGGGTAACATCTCATGGTTGGAGGGGGAGGGAAGACTCTTATCAACCGTGGCAGGCGAACAGGTCCAGAAGGAGATGGGTTCTGTCATGTTTGACTGGCATGTCTTTATATGCGGTTTGCGGACATACATTCTTTGCAATCTGGTCGGTGGATGGACATATCTTCAAGCATGAGGGCTAAGTGGAAGGAGTTTCGGCACAAAACACCGTGGTATGCATGGTATTACAGGCATAAAGATGGTCTGGTCTGATAGAGAGTCTACCAATTGGCGATGAATTCAAAGTTTAAACGACACGAATCCCAAAACAATTTTAGTGTGATTCTGGTGATTTGTCTCCACGATCGATTTCATATCTCAGATCGATCATGTTCTCCTGCACTGTCGATCTCAGGGTCCAACTCTGAGACATATGATGCTAATGTATTATGTATTATGTATTATGTATGTGGCTGCACGAGTTCGGCAGACGAACGGCAATCACTCACTCCTCGGTGATAATTCCAGAGAACAAACCCTGACAGCAGTTCAGTTCGATGACGCAAGTTCACAGTGTCGCTAACCGTGCCCTTTCACCAGTCCACGTCAACAAACAAAGAGCTCAGTCCTCATTGAATCTGAATTCATCACTCATACGTACCCCAAATCGAAGATTCTACAAAAATGTCGCGATCCCAATATTTCGTTCGTCCTCTAAATATAACAATAACAAACAAGTTGATCTTCCGTTCAGCTCATCAACAACAGCAGCAACATTTCATCAGCAGCGCAGCAAATAAGAGTTATCACCAACGACAAGATTATCGGGTTCGATATCCTAACAGCATCACCAAAGTAAATCGTTCTTCCTGCTGTCCAACAATCAATTACAGACCAACATCGACGGCGACGGCGACATTAATACCAGCTTCAGCAACAGCAGCTTCAGCAACAGCAGCGACTCACACAACAAGACGCAACATGGTTAAAGATATTGAGACCGTCATTCGGTAAGCCTCTCATTTTCTCGAAATTTATTCAGCCATACCACCAGCATCACGCCATGGCATCAACATCCGTTCTTTATCCCTTTAGCTTTTCAGTTAGAGGTACCATGCTAACATCCATACCCATACACCATTGACAGAGAGTTCACCGAGCTCGTCAACATGAATCCCGACGAGCTCGAGGATTGGCTTGAGGTAGGTACAGTTCTTCCCCTTCCTCCCTTCTTTCTTTCTTCCCCTCTTTCACAACTTTTCATCCCTCTCATCATTTCTCGAAGAATTCCCAGACGATTAAAAATAAACAGACAGAAGCATCAACCTCCTCCGGCTGGACAAAAGACGACGGATCAGGGGAATCAGTCGGCCACGAAAGCGGTCGCAAGATTGTGGATATCCTGAGGCGTAACCCGGATAAAGACCCGGAAGGGTTTGAGGAGGAGGATTTGGCGCATATGAGGAAGGTGAGTTTTTGCCAGTTGCCATGTTACTTGTTTGAAATTTCCCATCAAGATGCGTTTGTTTCTTTGGTGCAAAAACGGAGAGACGGGAGTGTAAGACGGGAGTGTATGAGGGTGCTAACACGAGGCCAATTATTGAATAGGTCGTCAGTTATTGCAAGCGACATCTGGCGCAGGAGGAGAAGGCAAAGCAGAATACGGATAGCAAGAGTTATAAGAGTTTGAAGAATTGGGGACATGATGCGTTGAAGGAGTGACGGGTGACGGTTGACGGGTGACGGGTGACGGTTGACGGGTGACGGTGGACGGTGGACGGTGGATTATGCTAGTAGAACAGACAGCTTCAGTAAGGAGTACAGCGAACTGGTTGAATCTTTTTCCTAAATGTGTCTGAGAGGTACCAGGTAAAGAAAGATGTAAATGCCATTTATGTCAAAGAACCCACATAACATATCGTAGCATTACCAGCCCAAGCACCCAATCATGACCCGCTTGTCAGTAATCCATCAACTCATGAATCTCGGAATCGCTACATCGTAACACACACAAGTCAGTTTCCATGTCCATTTTGCTTCTTAGAAGCCTTTTCAAACGGAGAAACGTGCAAATAAAAACCTGCCGAAAACCAAGAAAAACAAACATGAAGACAGGGTAAGGGTAAAGTCAGGGGCAAAACTCACGGATCATACATATCATCCCTGCCATACTGGCTATCATACAGTCCACCCACCTTCTCCCTCGCACTTCTCTTCGCATCCTCCCTATCCACAGACCCACCCAGTCCCTTTCTTTCAATCATCTTGTCGACTTCCGCGGCCGCCAGGGCAGCAAGCGCCTCCTTGGCCACGCCGTGGTGCACCGGTCTGCCCTCGCGCCGCTGCTCCTTCTCCCACATGTGCATGGCCTCGAAGGCGACGGCGCCGCCGAGGAGCTCGTGCGACAACTTGGGCTTGTTGCTGTTGTTGTTGATGTTACGGTCACGGTCATGGTGTCTGAAAAGGTGTTGGGTGGCGGTGATGTTGGAGGGGTCGAAGTCCTCGGAGATGGGGTCGGCGTTGTCGGGGTCCACCGGGTCAGAGGAGGAGGAGGAGTAGAGTTGGGAGTGGGCGGATTTGGCTTGGTCTGTTGTAGGAGAGGGAAAGGAGGGCCTGGATTAGCGCGGTGTTGGGGGATTTGGGAGGGTTTGGAAAGGGCGATCACATACCGAAATCGAAGGGACTCATGGTGATACGGACTATGAGGATCAAGGTTAATGCTCTACGGGTATGATGATGATCAAAGGAATATGTTTAGAATGAGAAAGAGCGATGACGACGGAGTTCAGGTGGAATAAGACCGCGCAGTGAGGACTAAATAAGAGATTGCTTCCCCCGCTCTTCTGGATGCTCTGACGTAGGAGTTGCGAAAATATCTATCCCACATACGAAATTTCGCTCTGAGGTATTCCTACGATCCTCATCCATCAATTATACGCATGCCCGCGCATTCTCATCGATTGCCACGACCTGGACGGACCTGGAGTGCTTCTTCCATCATCACAAGCATGGACCCGAAGGTCTTGGAGATTTTGTGAAATCTTTGTATCATTTTTCATGTTTGCTCATTTCCTCGAGTTTGTGACATTGGAAGATATGGAAAGAACCGACCGGAGAAAACCTCCTGCCTTCTTGATGACCAAAAGGGTTCTTGACGGTCCCCCACGCCAAGACGGATAACCCCAGATCTTGGCAAACCTTATTTGCGTGTCCCGGTGGATTTGCCGGAGGGGCCATCAACTTTGGGGTTAGGGTTCTGATAGTAGTTGGAAGTTGAAGCCCCACTTCGGCTCAGCGCGTTGCCCCGCAGGAAATCTCCAATTTTTGTCGAGAAAATTTCCCAAAGGGCGACTTGAATGAATGCGACTCGGCCTGGACCTAGACCCGTCTTTTTTACCCAAACAATTATTACCAGTCGGACCGCTGAGATACCATTTGCTTCTTTTTCTGGCCAACTCCACGCGCCAAAGAATTCTCTTCTTTTTGTTGATTAGCCGAATACAGTAAAACCACCACAACAATTTACTTGTTCATGACCGGCACCATGACGCGACCAACCGTCTCCCCGTTCCTCGAACCGGGCTTGCATACCAAGCCCCGCTCGCTCGCCATTCTCCAGCTCTCGCGCGACAACCTTCTCCCTATCTACCTTCAAGAAGCCTCGGGCGAACATGATGGCTACGCTGAGGGCGCTGTGGTCAACACCCGCTATGGTTCCTTCCCTCATTCCACCATGCTGAATGTCCCCTGGGGCTCCCAGATCAGGGCCTCCAAGGTTGACACCGGCTCCCGTGGTCGCAAGAGGAAAAGAGGCCCCAAGGACGAAGCCAGCCGCGACGACGCCGAAGAGAACCAGCCCGAGACCACCGACAACAACACCAATGCCACCGAGGCCACCGGTGTCAAGCAGGCCGTTGCCGACGATAGCGGCTTCATCCACGTTCTCCCTCCCACCCCCGAGCTCTGGACTCAGAGTCTTCCCCACCGAACACAGGTCGTCTATACCCCCGACTACAGCTACATTCTGCACAGGATACGTGCTAGACCTGGTTCCACCATCATCGAGGCCGGCGCTGGCAGTGGCAGTTTCACCCACGCCTCCGTCCGCGCCGTTTACAACGGATACCCTTCCAGCGCCGAGGACAGGAAGGGCAAAGTATTCAGCTTCGAGTACCACGAGGAGCGCTACCACAAGATGAAGAAGGAGCTTACCGATCATAACCTTGACGGTCTCGTTCACCTTACACACCGCGACGTCTACAACGGCGGCTTCTTGATCGACGGAAAGAGCCCCGAAGCCGACGCAATATTCCTCGACCTTCCTAAGCCGTGGGAGGCCCTGCCGCACCTCTCGCGGCGCAAGCCCCAGACCGAGGCCAAGGAGGGAGAAGAATGGACATCACCCCTGAACCCCAAGAGAGCCGTACACATCTGCACCTTCTCTCCCTGCATTGAGCAGGTCACCAGGACCGTGTCGGCCATGCGCCGCCTCGGCTGGGTCGATATCGACATGGTCGAGATCGCAAACAGGAAGCTGCACACCATCCGCGACCGCGTGGGCCTCCATTACCAGACCGATCGCGGCGTCAATGTTTCACCGCACGATGTCGAAGAAGCCCTGGAAAGGCTCACCGAGATCGAAGAGCGCGTCAGGGAGCAGGCGGCGCGCCCGAGAGGTGGAGAGGACGGCGCAGAGGATGCGGACACTGCCATGAAGAACGGAGATGATGCTGCCAAGAAGGACGGGGACAAGACCTCGACGGCTGAGCAGCCGCCATACCAGACTCCCTGGGTTGACGGTCGCCTCATCACTAAGGGTGAGCCGGAGATCAAGACCCATACGTCGTACCTGGTGTTTGCCGTGCTGCCGAGAGAGTGGACCGAGGAGGACGAGGCGGCGGCGTTTGCCAAATACCCCTGCGGCAAGGAGAAGGCTGTCGTTGGCAGCATCGACAAGCAGACGAGGAAGAAGGAGAGGCGGGAGCAGTTGCAGAAGATTGGCGACAGGAAGGCGAGGAGGAAGGAGAGAGCCGAGAAGATTGCTGAGGCTGTCGAGTGAAGCACTGACTGCATCTTGATCCTGCTCTTTTCTCTCTCTTCAATTCCCCCACTTAGCGTTTCCTAGAATACTTACTGCATTGATGTCCCAAAGATGGGCGCGGGTTTAGCCCGTAACTAATCGTAACGCATGCACTCATACCTCCCACTTCGCAATCTGACGACGTGGTTGGTTGGTTTTCAATGCTCTCTCTAAGCTCAACTCTGCAGCACCGCAGATAAAGAACTCTCGATCGGATTATCCCGTGGCCTGGAAAAAGCCAGAAAGTTTGGCTAAGTGGGCGATACTATCACCACCAAGTTGAACAATGACATAAAAGAAGGTCGGGACTCAGTGCAGTCCACTTTAACTCCGCTGGGATCTCCCCTGCAGTGGCGATATCGCAATGAGTTCGTCCCATTTGCCACATTTTTGCCTTTTTGAAACTGAAGATTCAAGAACGACTCGAAGCTCGATAGAACTCAAAAGAGTCCAAACGTTGTATATCTTTTAAAACCCGTGGTATAAAGACTGGTCGAGGCTTTTCTGTTCGTAAAAGTGACCCACCAATACGGAGTGCATCTGAATTAGCCGAGTACCACCGACTGCCGTGGTACAATATTCTCTTGTCTCTTGGATCGTCCAAGACCCGAACGAAATCAATAGTCTCAAAGGACGAGAATTCTCTTGCTCGGTTCGCTTATCACCGGGTGGACCACCCTGACAAACCCCCTTCCCCCGGACCGATCTTTTTCGACAGTTTTTTGTTTTGTCACCACCCCGCCGTTCAGAAAAATACACATTCAACCCCCTCGCTTGAACAGAAACAAAAATGAAGAGTCATCACTCATTCTCCCTTCTTCTCAATTGTCGATAGACTTTGTTACAAAACTCGCACACACCTGCATATTTCTCGACCCTATAAAAAGTTGCCCTATCAGACTCTTCACTTTCCTATATACGACTTTTTCACTTTGCAGAACTTAGGTGCACTATCAATCTTCCTTATCTCGAATCTTTAGAATCTTATCAATCAACCCATCTCGCTCCATCAAGGTTCACGGAGACAACACCGCAAAGACTCCACCACATCGACACTGACTGAGTCAACCACTCATCACCAATTCCCAATTCCCCAATTCCTATTATCATCAACACTACTGAACAACAGAGTATGGTGACCCAAACTGACGGCAACCCCCAAGAGAAGGGGGTGTCGTCGCTGGTTGCCAACCACGATGCCGAAGCCTACGTTCAACCCATCGAGGCCGACGAGAGCAACAAGCCTGCTGCTGTACCACCCTCCGGCCTCTGGGGCCACCTCTGTTACTATGGACACAAGGTCATTGTAGCTGGGCGGGTTGAGCTTCAGGGAATCTCACCCATCCCAGTCAAGGAGAGGACGGTTACCAAGACGCTGAATATTTTTACCTTGTGGTGGTCCATGAGTTGCAATATTCTTCCGTGAGTTTTCCTTTCTTTCTGATCTAATAAAGAAAAAGTCAATATGACTAACACGGACAAATCAGGATTACCTTTGGCATGTTAGGCCCAGTATACGGTCTCAGCCTACGGGATAGCTGCCTCATTATCCTCTTCTTCACTCTACTGTCTACCATCTTACCTGCTTACCTCTGCACTTTGGGTCCAAAGTTGGGTATGAGACAGATGATTCAAGCTCGTTACTCATGGGGGTACGTTTCCCGTCTCCTTTCCATCTCTCCACTTTACCTTTTTATCGTCGTGCTAACACCCCCCCAAGCCGCTACATTCTCCCTCCCCGTGCTCCTCAACCTAGCCACCACCACCGGCTTCTCCGTCATCATCGTCATCACCGGCGGGCAATGTCTCTCGGCCGTCGCCAACGGCCACCTCTCCATTTCCGTTGGAATCGTCATCATGTCCATCCTAACCCTCATCATCTCCTTCTGCGGCTACACCACTTTACACATGTACGAGCGTTTCGCCTGGATCCCCGCGGTAATCGCCATCATCGTCGCTGTCGGCTGCGGCGGCAAATATCTTCATTTACAAAACCCCCCTCCCTCCCCCCCGAGCCCACAGGGTGTCCTGAGCTTCGCCATGCTCGTATCAAGCTACATGATCCCCTGGGCCTGCCTCTCCTCCGATTTCACAACTTACCTCGTCCCCTCCACCCCATCCTGGAAGATCTTTGCCTACAGCTACACCGGCCTAGGCCTCCCCACCATCTTGCTCATGTGCTTGGGATCAGCCATAGGCGGCGCCATCCCCTCCGTTCCCGCATGGAGCGAAGCCTACGAGCAAACGCTCGTCGGCGGCGTCTTGCAAGCTATGCTTGCTCCCGCCGGCGGGTTTGGTCGGTTCCTAGTCGTCATTTTATCGTTTACCCTGCTCGGCAACCTCGCAGCTACTTCTTACTCCATCACGCTCAACTTCCAAATGTTAGCCCCCGTACTATTCAAAGTCCCCCGCTACCTATTCGCTATCATTTTAGCTGCCATCTTGATACCCGTGGGCATCAAAGCCAGTGCGGATTTCTTCGACAACTTGGAGAATTTCGTCAGCTTGATCGGGTACTGGTGCTCTGCATTCTTGGGGGTCGTGATGGTTGATCACCTTTGGTTCAAAAGGGGGGATTGTCGAAGGTATGATCTCGAGGCTTGGAATGATGCGGGTAGACTGCCGTGGGGCATCGCGGCGCTGACGGCTGCCGTGGCTAGCTTTGGGCTGGTGATTCCGAGTATGGATCAGGTGTGGTGGCAGGGCCCGATTGCGAAGACGACGGGCGATTTAGGGTTTGAGTTTGCGTTTGTGGTTAGTGGGTTGTTATATGTGCCGTTGAGGATGGTGGAGATGAAGGTTAGTGGGCGATGATGCGGTGAAATACTGGGTGGTAATTTTTGATGAGGTTGGATGAGAACAGTGACTGAAAAAAGAGTGATGATGAAAAAGATGGATGGATGGATGGATGTTTATGAACTGGTTCAACATAATGGGCGGATATACCTACTTATTGATGATGGGCAGGCAGTTAGCAGGAGTTTTCGGGATAGATGTTAGACCCAGGCGTTTCAACAGGCATTGATGGGCATTTTTGGATACAATAGGTACCTATATAGAGGGTCTAGTAGAGCACGACCACCAAAGGATGGATAAGAGGTATACGAAACGCAAGTCGGCTTGCCTATACATCTACTCCCTTAACAAGTCGGCAACATGAACTTTGGTTCCAAAGCAATGCGTAATAGCGTTTCGAGCCTTGTCTTTTTGGTGTTCTTTCATCATCTTATCACGTATACCCAACCATAGGCCTTCATCCACTCAACTCCAAAATCACCAACGCCGTTCCCATCCCTTTTATACCATTCTTCGTCAACTTCCCCTCCTTGACCTCCCACCCCCCATCACCACCACCACTTTCATCCCAAACTACCTTCCCAACCTTACTTCCCACCGGCACCTCCAACCCCACCACCCCTTCCACTCCTTCCTCCCCCGTATTAACCACACTAACCAACATCTTCTCCCCTCCCCCGTCCTTCTCCATCACCCAACCCGCCGCATCAATCCCCTTAATCCCATCCTTGCCCACCACATTAACAAAAGTCGGTCCCCTCCCCTCCACCAAAAACTTCACAACCTCCTCATCCCCACTAACAACCCTCGCCAACCTCCCATGCGCCTTCCCCAAAGCTTCACTAGCCGGCCACACCCAGCTCAAAACCCCTTTAGCCCCCCTATTAACCGCCAACAACACCATCACCCAACTTTCTTCCTCTGTGGGATCTCTAGCCCAGTATCCCTCCCCATGAAAAGCCTGGGGATTAAACATTTTTGTCTTTGGCCACATTCCCAACCATTTTTCATACTTATTCAAATCCTCAAACCGACTGCTAACATCAACGACCGACCCAAAACAATTATCGCACCCGCAATCACCGTAGGTTGTGTTACACGGCGTTCCCCATTTGGAACTGGTCAAATTAGCAGAACTCTCGCGCGTGCCGATGGGGTAGATATCTGCCATGAGAATATCTGCCCCTTGCGAATATTCCTGAAAATAAAAATTCTGGCAGTTGAGAACCACTGCAACGGGGTGGTACGGGTCTATCTTCATTATTGTGTTATAGGTCTCCAGGGGAGCAGAAAAGGGCGCCTGCCAACCATCTGGTTCATCTACGGACCAGTACGCGAATAAAGCCGAGCTATCTTTTGCTGCTAAGGAGACTTGCGAGGAGACCCAGGATTGGTTGGTGTAGTTCTCGCGTAGGTCGAACATGTAGTGCAGGTTTAGGGAGTCTAGGTAGGCGAAGGCGGGGGTTGATTCGGGGTGATGGGAGAGCGGGACCATGGCTGTTAGACCTTGGTCGAAGTAGGACTGGATTGCGGGTAAAGAGGAGTTGCCTGGGAGGCCGAGGAAGGTGTCGTAGGAGGCGTAGAAACCGTAGGGGAAGATGGGGTGGAAGGTGTGGTTGGTGAAGGCGTTGAGGTGGTGGAGGCCGCCGGTTAGGTTGTCGATTCTGGTGATGCTCCCGGAGGTTTTGGTGGGGAGGTAGAGGAGGGTTGTTTTGAGGGATGCTGACGGATCTGATGATCCTGTGTAGGTGAGGGTAACTTCGATGGGCGAGAGGCTGGGGGCGCCTAGGTCGGTGAGGTTAAAGGTGAATAGGGTGCCGGTTGAGTTGAGGAGGACGGAATCTTTGACCAAGACCTTGTCGTCTGTGGTTGTTCTGATTTGGAATTCAACATTGTTGGAGGTGTTGTTACTGCTCCAGTGAGTCCCGTGGAACTGGGAGATCTCGGCGTTGACGATGAATTCGCCTTGGGTCTCGCTTGACAGGTAGAGGCTGTATCGGGGCTTGAACTGAATGTGAAGGAGAGGCGCTTGAGGGTCTGGTGTCGGTGGAAGTGTTTGGCCACCGGGATCAAAGGAGGGATATCTGGACCGGAAGTTAGTTGGGTTTCCGTCATATTCACAGAGCTGTTTCTTACTCTGGTTTATAGACTTTACCGCACCATCTCAGCCAGTCCGGGTGGTTCCCCGTTTCCTGGGAAGCAACACTGATGATGGCACCCAACAGAAGCCAAGCCGCGGACCACATTGTTACCACAGTTGTTTTCTGTGACGTGAGCATACGAAAGGCTTGCGACGTCGAAGATTTCGTGGATACAACAGCCTTTTATAGGTGACATAAGCACCCCCTCCTCATTCCTCAATCGCTCGGTCCCGCCCTTCCAGTTTTCTTCCCGTTCTGCTGTGACACTGCAAACACTCTATCCTTACATCCCGAGTGGGACAAATTGGTCAACTTAATTGACCTCTCATTGATGAGGATAGATGTCTCCGGTACCTCTAGGTATTATGCGTACCAGAGGAAGGTTATATATGCTCGCATTCTTTATGCTGCAAGGTGACAGAGGATGGCCGGCCTTCCCTTCCCGGCAATGATGGTAGCTTCCGAGTTCCGATGTTGTTGAAGACATTATTCCCGTGACGCCTGCCTGCGGTTTGGAGAAGCCGACCTCCATCCCGTCTGAAATTCCCACTTCCAACGACAAACGCATATGGCCGAACATGTTCATCCGGACCGGAGATGCTCGGGCCATGGATGATGGCCTCGATTGTCGACCCATTGTTAGGTTGTACCTGGTTGGTGTTCCGGTGTTGGTTCACTCAATGCCAATTGTCCTTCGGGTAAGACATTTGTGAAAGCAACCCTGGCGTCCTGACATTTGTTCCAGGAGATGGCACTTGTTGATCACATTGCTTATTTCCATGTTGTTGATGTCGTAGGAAGAGATGATGATGCCCGGGCCATCCCGTTCTACCATAGCGCCCTGCTTACAGTGGAGAACCACCTGCTCACTGCCGCCCGTTACCTTAGCTGCCGGTCCCCACCGTCCTGAAACTTCCCGTCCGGGGCGGCGCCGCAGCGGGGCCGTAAGTTTACAGTGGAACATTCCGCCAACAGCGAGCGGCAGTGACTTACAAGGGACCACCAATCATCTCATCGGACGGCAGGGTCACAGCCACCACAGGGCATAGGCCGCGCATCCCAATGCCCAGCGCCAACAACCGCGCCGCAAAGATCACCTCGCCCATACAGCAAGGGTCTCGCGTTCTTGGAAGGCTTGGGTTGGAGGGGGGACGCGCAATCATGTGCTGGTTGTCATCTGCGCAGCCTCTGTAAAGTAGCTAAGGTTTACGAATCTCTTGTTTGTTTGCTTGTTCTTGTCTTCTTCCTTCAACAACATCGGGCTGGCCTGGTAATTTTTAAGCATCTTTCAACTGTTCCCGTTCTTTGCGGATTTGCGAAACAAGTCGACGTCAACTTCGGCAGTCGAACAAGATCCTCGATATACGACATAGACTTATCGAACATCTCGATACTCGCTCGTTTCCAACTAAACAACCACTTACACACATAACCATAACACATCCATCATGGCACCAACAACCCCATTATCCCACGGCAGCCCAAGTCCAGGAACCGCCCTAGCAATAGCCAAACGCGCCCTTCTCCTCGCCTCCACAACCACTTTACTCTCCCGCGACCTCTCCCTAAAATCCGACACCCAAAAAATAACCCTCGGCGTAATCTTCGCCTACATAGCCGCGATAGCCATTCTCTGGAACGTGCCCTACATCCGCTCCATCCTCTGGCCTTTCAAGATGCTTGTGATCGCCTTCCACGAGTTCGGGCACGCCATCACGTGCGTGCTCACTGGCGGTCGGGTATTATCCATCAGTCTCGACCCCAGAGAAGGGGGCGTGACGCACATGCAAGGTGGCCGGAGCGGGCTGACGTTACCCGCGGGGTATCTGGGCAGTTCGTTGATCGGGGCGTTGTTGACGTTTTGCGGGTTTAATATCGTGGCGAGCAAGGTTGCGAGTTTTGTGATCGGGGTGTGTTTCCTGTTGACGCTGTGGTGGGGGAGGAGGGATTGGTTGACCATAGGCACTATTCTGGCGGCTGTGGGATTGCTGGTCGGGTGTTGGTTTATTGCGCATGCGGAGGCGTTGAGGTATGTGGTGCTGTTTATTGGGGTGATGAGTTCGACGTATAGTGTTTGGGATATTGTGAGTACTTTTCCCTCTTTTATTATTTTTTCGGATGGTTGGTTGGTTGGTTGGTTTTGGAAAGCGTTGCTGACGATGGAAACAGTGCGATGATTTGATCTTGCGCAAGGTCAACAGCTCGGATGCCAGCGTCTTTGCAAAGAGATATGGAGGCTCTTCGCAGTGCTGGGGTGTTATTTGGTCTATCATTTCGTTGGGATTTATGGCTTGTGGCATCATTGCGGGCATTGCTGCGTTTCCGCAAACAAGGGCGGAGCAGCAGGATGATTCGAAGCATTTCATTCCGACGAAGTTCTGATGATGGACATGAGCATCGGGAAAGGAGCATCTGTCGGTTCAGGTTGGCGTTAGATCATTGGAAGCCATGACATCATGGAGGCATGAACCAAGAGCCTGGGCATGGAAGGCATGGTTCAAGACTTGAAGTTGATGATACCCGTTGGCTTTTGTTTGGGATGGTTTAGACGGAGGGTTAAACACATACTCCTAATGTAGATGCAGCACAAAATCTTCAAAGAGGTTATATCGAGGTTCAGTCACAGCGGTTTTGCCTTCTAATGGATTGGACCTTGGTGCGTAAGAGAGCCTTGCCAAATCTAGAAACATGCCTCTGCGAAGTATATCGTCTATACCACAAAGTCTTCCTCTATAATGCTAGAGAATCGAACAACACGCTGAAAGCATCACACCTTTCCTCGATTCACCACAATGCTCTCTCTCTCTTATCCAATCAAGTAGCTCATCATTCAGTTCATTACAGATTAAAAACCCATCATTAACACCACGCCATCCCATGCCATCCCAAATTCCATCATAAAACACATCAAATTAGATCGAACACCTAAGCCCTCCACTCGCCATCAACCTTCTCCCACTCGTCCAAGAAGCCCTTGTAGAACTTGACACCAAGACCGGGGTCCAAGCTACCAGTCGTGGCACGGATGCTGTGCATGCTCAACTGGGGAATACCAACATCCGCAGCCTTGACACCCATGGCACTGCTGAGCATGGGGCCAACGGTGCCGCCAGACCGGCTGTCGTTGCGGATCATGTGCCTCTGGTTGATGCAGCCAGAAAGCTCGGCGACGCGGTCGAGGATGGCCATGGACACGCTGTCGGTGGTCATGTGTGCCGAGGCGTCGACGCAGAGGGCCACACCGACGTTCAGGCGAGGAGAGTGACCGGACAGGTTGGTCTGGGTAAAGTTGGGTGGGCAGGCGTGGGGTGACGTCCCGAGGAGACGAGGAAAGAGTTGGCGTAGGTCTGACCCATGAGGCCGGGCCGAGACCGGTGCCGCCGGTGAAGGCGTTTTGGTAAAGAGTGTTGGTGTTGGCAACAAGAGCCTCGACGGTGCGCTCGATGGTAATGGGAAGGAAGTTACCGCGGGCACCCTGGCGGAGGAGAGAGCCAATCTCCTCGTCGTCGAAGAGTGCTACGAGCTTGATGACGCCAGAGTCCTCATCGTCACGGGCGTGGAGGAGGGCCATGAAGGCGGCCCACGAGCAGAGCTTGTCGTCGATGCGACCGGCGAAAATGAACTCCTTGTCGATACCACCGACCTGGGCTGGCTGAGAGTCGTAGAGCTCGAGCTCCCAGTTGAGGATGCTGCTGTAGTCCTCAATCTTGAGCTGGGAAGCAATGAGCTTGACGAGCTTGGGAGGCTGGGTTGAAACGAAGGAGTTCTTTCCGCCAAGGGGCTGCTCGGAAGAGGCGGTAGAAGAGGAGCCAAGATCGCTGTTATCGAGGCCGATGATGGGGGTCATCTCGGTCTCTTGGTTGTTGTGACCGGTCATACCAATGCCGAAGTGAGGAGCCAAAGTAGGGATACGAGCAACTGGAATATGTGGGTTAGCTATTATCGGATGAAATTGGGGTGGGAGGACAACATACTAGGCCAGTCAAGCTTGACAAGCTTGGAAGAAGTCTTGCCCGTCTCGGGGTCCTTAACAATGACACGACCACCAATGCTCAAGTCTCTGTCCCACCATGTGCTGTTGAGAGCGCCGGCATACTGGGCAATGCCGAGCTGAACGTAGCCATCGTGGGTAGGCTTGGTGCTGGTAGGCTTTAGGCGGGCGGTGAGGGCGTCGATGTGACCGGCGACCATAGCAAGACCGTTGCCTGGCTTATAGGCCTTGCCAACAGCCCAGGCGATGATGGAGCTGCCATTGCGAGTCGTGAAGTACTTGCCACCGGGTTGAATCTTGCCAGACCAGGAGTCTCTGCTGTGAAGCTATAACCAATAACACGCTTAGTCAGTTACGGTTCTTGCGCCTCGGTTGTATCAAACTGCGGGGGGGGCTGGGGAGCTGTGACGGCTTACCTCCTTGTAGCCGGCCTTCTCGAGCTTCTCCTTGAAGTAACCGACAGCGTGGAAAACGGTTGGGTTCTCGGTCATGAACTCGAGGTATGGCTTGGTGAAGGCCTCGGGTTTGAGGTCCTTTGCACAAGCCTTGTTGGCAGCAACAGGCTGGGGCTGCTGGGGCTGCTGGGGGCCAGCGTAGTATGCTTGTGCGGCCATCAGGGACTGCTCAAGGGCTTGAGCTCGGAGAGACATCATGGAAGTACGGGCGGCGAGGTATTCGGGAGTGGCGCGAACCATTGTGTATAACTGGGTTTTGAGGATGGATTTGTATGTTTCGGAGAAGAGAAGGAAGAAAGGTAATGGGGAGGAAATAAGAGGACGAGTCGATGACACGCAACGAGAGATGGCAACAAGAAGGAAGGCGGTCGGTCGGTGAAACAGCTTACAAAGGTGTAGGTACCGATTATAGGCTACAGCTACAGGCTACAGTTACAGCGCAGCGAGGGCAGGCGTTGCGATTGCCAACATTCCGTTCAGGTGATGCGCTTATCACTCCGGCTAGGCGGTTCTGGGCAGCTGGAGTCAGCTACAAGGTACTTGATCCTATCATATGAGCTCTCTGATAGGCCGGATTTGGTCATTTGGTGTCCATGCGGCCCCAGCTGGCCCGAACCCCAACTCCTCGTGCCAGGGCAGGATCGGCGCTAAGATACGCTGATAAGCCCTTGGGTCAGGGGTGCATATAAGCCAGTTCGCCCAGCTTCAGTTGTACTCCCCTCCCTACTACGCAAATGGACGCTGACCGCAATGGTGATGATGAGTGGAATACTTACAAAGCACTTCTCAATTTGATCTCAGAGGCAAAGTGCTTGCTCTCCGTGGTGTTTTGTTTCGGTCAGCCAGTATCAGTTTTGTATACCCGACGAGTGTCATCAAAGACATCCGCTTCCGTCCGAGGGTGTGACTCTTGGATATTGCATTTCTGAGATACCTCTCGGAACTGGCAAGTCCAATCCCACCTTGTGAGTTAAAGTTGCTTATTAGAGAGACTCTCATGGAATACAGGAAGACTGAGATGAATACATTAGGACCGATGGTCAGTTCAAGGAGTGTAGGAAACTGGAGTCCATCTATCAGGACTCCGATTTGACCAATTTGACAGCACAACTAGTTTCGGTAATACAAGTTTAAGCCTTTCGGATCTTGTACCCGGGCTCTGTTCTCTTGATGGTACCAATAGCGACATATGCTGTTGGAGCTGAGGTTCATGCAGGTACATTTGTACGACCTTGCCATAGTATCACTGAAATGCGGCTGGAAATAAAGCAAGTATCCAAATGGCTAAGTGAAATAGTACATGTTTCTTCCCGACTCATCTTGGTCCTGGCGAGATACCTCATATGAAGAGTGAAATTGGAAAGTGAAAGTGAAAGTGAGCCCATGTTGAGAGCTGACCATATATATGTATGGCCGTGTACGTCCTATAAAACTTCGTTAGCTATGGGGCATATTTTGGTGTTTATTAACAGGGGAACTCTTACCTACTGATTCCAAAGATCCCACTCCCAATTCCTGTCTTTGCAAACATCGATGGCCCGAGTCTTCAAAAGAATAGATTCATGGTAAATACACCCATCATCTGAAGCTCAGCTTCCCCTCGGCACGCAGATTCTCGATGTAACTGCCATCCATCAACGCCCTGACATAGCATTGCCCGAGAACCTCATAAGAGCCGTCACCATTTGAATGTTTCCGAATCAAACCTGGCATGCGACAGCCGCGAATGATAGCTAAGCTATCATCAGGCCGAATCTTTTGGGATCCCAGTCCGAGGAAGCCCAGGTTCGTGATAAAAAAAAAAGACTTGTAGGCTGTGTATTCATTCGCACTTTGGGCAAACCACAGCGCCGCAGCAAACACAATGTCCTGTGTATTGCAGTTCTGACTATCAGCCTGTTCAGTCTCGTCCTCGAAATATAGAGGCTTTCGTCTTCAGTGAACCCCCATAGTCTGCAAAACCGTTTGATATTTTCTTCATCATGCAAATGTGGCTGTGGCGGCGGTCGATTACTGTTAGATACATGGCGAGTTTTCAAGATAGCTGGCGGTACAGCAACCATCATAGGGTGCATTGGACTGACTGACTGGTGGTTAGGATGGAGCTCATCGTGAGCATCCGGCTGATATTCCTTACACCACTGGGCAACATCCAGCAGGCGGTCCAAGTATCCACAATATGCCATGAAACCTGCCCACAATTCTTCAACGGATTCTCTTTCCCATCGTCCAGCGTCTGTGCCACGGCCGTCGAGCTCGGAATCAATAACCTGGGCACAAAGAACAGCGGCAAAGAACTGCTTAGAAAACAACTTCTCTGGAATCCAACCCGTTGAAGCTGAAGTGTGTAAGTGTGTTCGGTATTGCAAGACAATGTCCATCCACCGACATAGTTGCTCGCCCTGTTTCCAGATCTCATCTTTGTCCTTATTGGGATCGGTAAGCTGCAAGTGGTCAACAATAAGTGTGTCGGCCATGAGCACCTTGCCGTCAGGCGAGATTGCTGCTCTTGCCACTTCTGAAGATGAGGCTCTACAAGACAAGAGGCCTTCCCATAAAGGCCCCCTTTCCTTTTTATTCCTCAAGTCCGGCGCCCAAGATGGAAGACCCGGAATAGGACCTTGGGAATGATCGATCCCACCAGTAAACGCAACCAACTACAGTGACCCTGTGAGCTTGACCATCGATTTCACCACATGGACATAGACCTGAGTCGTGCTTGCATTGTAGTCTGGTACTATAGCGAGGCCATCTCTTTCAAAGAGGTTGAGCAAGGCGTATACTTTGTCTCTTGGATCGGTTGACTCAAAGGAGCAAGACGCCGTAATGATCCTTTCCAATTCAACATCAGTGTTCCGGAAAGAATCGAGCCCCGCAAAGATTCGTACACCGTCCGCAACCGTTTGATAACCCGGTAGGCTGCGTTTAAAGGACAGATTGCAGAAAGTCGTTAGCTTGTTGCTGTTGAGCACATAGAGCAGTCTGCTTTTGTCCGATTTATCGTAGTCAACGCCAACCGAGCTGAAGTGCAGAACTCTCCAAAATATACGGGCATGTTGTATATCATCCCAGTCGATATCTGTCGTCCCGCATGTAATTTTTGCCCGCCGCGACACGATAACTTCTTGAATTACCCATATACGATTCCACTAGGGCCGAGACAAGAACCTCTTAAGAGCAACTTGTCTCGAAGTGCTTCTCACCGCCGCAACGGAGCTGACACTTGCGATGAACCCGTGATAATGTCGTTCTTCTCCGCTTGCAAAAGCACGCCTGTGAAGACAGAGTAAGCTTAATGAGAACGATTGCCTCATCGGTGTACTTGTCGTTTCCCCCCAGCCAGACTGTAACAAGCGAAACGTTGTGATAGATATCTCTCATTAATTGGACTTAAGAAGACTTCTCGTCGTTATCAGACTGTTTGATGCAAATTGCATCCACCCAGAGTGTTGTCGGGAGGCTTGATTTGGATTGTATGCGTCTTAGAGCTGCGCAAAGGTTGTGAGTTGCTTGGAAGGGCAAACCGTTCACAGTGATGGGAGAGGTAGCTGTCGGATCTCCACAGACGTATGACAAAGCAGTGTAATCCGTTTCTATCGATAGCCGAGTTTTGTACAGTCTGCATCGAATGGGCTCTTCGAGACTGTTGGCGGGTAGAAGCTCGAATAAGCGAATCTCTTTTCGGGAAGTGTCAAGACGCGTGGTGTAGGTTGAGGCCATGGTGCTGTCAAGCGACTGCGAGCTTACTGAGGTTGTTGGTTTATGGCCGATATTGGCTGGTAGAGTAGAAGACCCAGTGGTTCAGACGGCGAATCTTTGAATCGTGGAAATGAAGTTCGGGTGAGTGAAAGCGGGAATAAATTGATGGCCTTTGGTTATTCGACGGATAGGATGAAAAAAGACAAGCATGACTAGTTGGTTGAAAAGATGATGAGGTGCTTGTCAGGAAAAAGAATAAGGAAGAGGGGGACAGGCCCCGCGGTCTGGAATGATTAAGAACTTCAGTAGTGGTGAATGGTGGGTGACGACGACCACAACGGGAGCAGACTCAGTTGTTGACGGAAGAGCTTCGGTCGCAACTGTTGATGGGTTGACATGGAAGTCGCCTCGCGGAGTGCCTTACCATTTGGAAGCTGCGACTGGGATTGGATCATAGAAGCTGTTGGAACTGGCAGGCAAGAAGGAGCTGGTGAGAACCTGCCTTCATTGCCCAACGTTCGATTACTCTTCTTCTATTGGACAGTGGTGCATGGAAGGATACATCCCAATCAAAACCCACCTACCTACCGTCCTCATTTCTTCCACCCTGGGTAATATCGGTGCTCAATCATCGTCAGTCAACAGTCTAGCTCAATTACACCCTTGATTATGTCTCTCTCCGTCGACCATTAATGACCAGCTGAGAATTGAAGATAGCCACCGTTTGCAGATAGCTTGGCCAATGTAGCTCTCTACACTGGACTTGAGCCTACTCGTCTGCCCCTTTGTCTTCGGTTGGTGACTGTGTCTGACGAAGCTCGAGCTTGATCCGCCAGTTCATGAACTCATCTGTGATGATGTCTCCGTGGCCCACCTCCTCAACTTTGAACACTTCAATTTCAGCCGACCGAGGCCTTCTCTTGATCCTCCATACACCCTCGTCGGTAATAGTGTGGCGAAGCCCTGTGAGACACCAGTTAGTTCTGCTTTCCGAAGCATAAGAGGCTTTGTTGAACGTATAAAAAGTGAAGGAAATGATAAGACTCACACTCAAGGAAGCCGTTGGCAAAATTGACGCACGTATCGCCGTCCCATTTTGGCCGCCCATTCTTCTTGACCATTAATGGTATCTCCATCGTTCGGAACTCTTTGGTCTCAACCAGGAGACCATCCTGGGTCCGGAAGCCGACGATAATCTTAGGGACGCCAAGAAGGAAGGACTGAATCCAAAACTTCATGAGCTTACGCTCAAAGTTGTTAGCCTGACGGTCGTTTTGAATCACTGCCGACGTCTTGAGCTCCACCCAGTTGATAGGGTCGCCTGGAGTCCTCGGTTTGTCGTCCCATACTAGGTAAGAAGAGATGGAGTGTTAGTTTGGGGTGATGATATGAGTAAGTGTAGGGGAAAAGGAGCACTTACTAGCATCAACCTCGCCACCAATGCAGAGAATGGTGCTGCCAATGCCGGTACGCACTACTGAGCAGTATTGCTCCTTGTTGTTCACGGCATGATCGGGGCGACCTTCGATGAATTCGCGAGAAGTCTCTCCCCATGGTCTCGGCAGTGTGCTAAGGGTCTCAAACTTGTAGCCTAGGAAGCCAGGCGTTATCAACATGTTAACACAACACATGGGAACAACATGGACAGTTTGCTCACCCCAGTATTGCATGACTTCTTGCGGAATCGGTCCATTCCACGGTCGCTCATTTGCTCTCGACTCCTTCTTGTATGCATGATGCTCTTCGATGAATCTTGTGGTTGTCAGTCAAAGTATCACTGATGAGAAACCATCTGATCGCTTACATGCAACCCTTTTGTCATGTTAGTCTAAGAAGGACTCTTTGGGTGAACGGCCAAGTGGCGGGTGTGAACGAACTCTGTAAAGGGTAGCATTCATCTCAAACCCGTCATCATCAAAGGGAGCTGCCATGATCTGCCAGGGTAAAATTGTCAGTGCCAGACACTCCGATAGAAGAGGCTAATTAACAGCTACTTACCTTTGTCATCATACCTCTCCAAGTTACGATGTGAGCATCGATGGGTTTCGAAGTCTTTTGCTCATAGTCGGCAATGGTTGTGAGCAGACTGTCCAGATGTTCGTCTACACTGTCGTCATGCTTGATGAAGCTCTCAAAGCCCTTGGACAGGTCGACATTGAGTTCCGGCGTGTAATACCACTTCAGTGACTGAGCTCCAAGATGGAACTTGTGGTCGGAATCATATGAGAAGCAAGCGAATTCCTGTTCACAAAGTCAATCTCCTTGATCTCTCTAACAAACAAAGCATATAAGTGTCTTTTGTAGGTTGTCAAGTGCTCACCTTTGGCCGTTTGACCAGTTCACTCTTGCCCGCAAACCGTGCTACAGGCTGAATCGGGAAAGCGGCTGCCATTGTAGTAAAGAGGGAATGTCTGGTTTTGGTTGAGTGGAATCATCTACTAAAGCAAGAGTGATCCTGTCCTATTAGCAGGAGGCGACGAGCAACCATCAGACTTAAAAGAGGGAAGAATGAACAAGAGAAGGAGGAAGATACAAGTGGGAAGCATCTAGATCTTGTAATTGTTAGTGCACCTCGCTGCAGTGATCCGTCGTAACTGCTGCGTGAAGCCTGAAAGTGGGGCCATTCTGGGAAGAGAGCTGTACTTGACGCACCCTAGAGGTACCTATAGCTACGGCGGGACCTTCTGTAACAACAACCACTTGTACATCCGCTACATCTTGCCTCTGACATTGGAGCAACACCAAATCGCCCTCATCACCTAACCTTGGACAAAACCCCTGGTGACGAGCCGACGTCCGCCCAGTGACACATACGACCATACCGACCGTAGACCGGCCGGATACACGAAAGCGGCGCACAGGCAGTTGGCCCCATTTCCAATCGATAATGAAGTACCGCGCAACACGATAGCTCCCTCCTCGCGACACCCGGACGCCGAGTCAAACAACACCACCATGGCCGACCGATACGGCCAGCAGTCGCAATCATATCGGGGAAACGGCAGTTACGGTAACCTCGGCCGTCGTAACGATGACTACGATCCCTACGGTGACGGATATGCCAGCGACCGTTATGGCACCAGCCCCAACCAGGCTTCAAGGCCTCCCACTGCCTCTCGAAATGCGCCGCCGCCCCGGTCTGCCCAGCGTGGCCGTACGGCTGCCGGAGATATGCAGATGCAGTCCAACGCCGAGCGCCAGATTGGAAACGTTCTGGATCTGATCAAGAGAGAATGGCCCGCCATGGTCGAGACAGACTGCATCCCCGTCCAGCTGGCCCTACAGCTTCTCGATACCAGCTCCGTCGGCCGCGCCCACGAATACCGCAACTTCCAACAGACACACCAGTTCCTACAAGATTCCCTCAAAAACATTGTCCATGACCACCATCAGGGATTCAACAGTTCGATCGGCACATTCCACAAGATCCAAGGGAGCATACAGGCCTCCCAGAAGAAGGTGCGCGCCCTCAAGGAGTCTCTGGCAGCCTCCAAGACGGCGCTATGCACCACCAACCCAGAACTCAAACAACTACATGCCACGTCACGCATGTACGATGGCGTCCTACAAACATTGAACGAGCTGGATGACTTGCGGACAGTTCCCGACCAGTTGGAGGCCAGGATATCCGAGAAGCGTTTCCTGACCGCTGTCGAGGTTCTGCAGAATGCGCTACGGAAGTTGAGGAAGCCGGAGCTGGATAATATTGGTGCTCTGAGTGACCTGCGAAGCTACCTCACAAACCAGGAGACCGCGCTTATGGACATCCTGGTGGAAGAACTACACGAACATCTCTATCTCAAGTCGCCATACTGTCAAGAGAGATGGCAGAACCTGGCAAAGGTCCAGGGGACTTCTCACGAGGCCTATGGAGATGCCCCAGGCGTGGCACCCTTCCACGGAATTTTGGACTCCGTTGACTGGGAAAGGTCCGTGGCTGAGGATCCGCAAAAGAATCCCGAGGCCGACACGTTTTACTACGTGACCCTCCTCGTTGAGGCTCTGAACAAACTGGGAAGGCTAGAAACAGCGGTCGATATGCTCAAGCAGAGGTTGCCCGTGGAGCTTTTCGCAGTTGTGAACGAAACCATCAACGATGTAGACCAGAAACACCCAAGCTCACTACGCGGAGGCGCGGCTGGGTCTCACGGCCTTAATATCTACGGCCACCGCGAAACCCGCATGCGAGCAGATGTCATTCACGATCTACTATCGACGCTTTACGGCAAGTTCGAAGCTATCGCTGAGGGCCATCGTGTGCTGCATGAAGCGATCAAGGCTTTGATCCGCCGTGAAGGTGCTGGCAATAACAGTGTACTGCTAGGCGGCTTCAAGGAGCTTTGGAATCTCTACCAGAACGAGATTCGGGCGCTCTTGCACAACTATGTCACCACCGATGCGGATGTCTATCAGTTTAGCCGGACACCCAGACCTGGTATGGGCATGAATGGCAGGGCGGATTCTGCCCGCGAGAACCTCTTCAAGTTCTCTGAGGTTGATGCCAAGTCGGCAGAGATGGCTTCGGAATATGAGGCCTTGGACTCCATCATCCGGGCCGCCGTACCAGGACTGACGGACAACACGCGCCGAGATAACAAGAAGGGATCTTTGATTATCCCGCGGTCTGAGCCAGTAACCTCGAGGAAGTCGGCAGGGTACGGTTCCGGAAGCAGCCAGCAGAACAGTGGCACTTACAAGTCCCTCGTAGAGCCCAGTGTGTTCAACATGAGCCTACTTCTACCACCCACTCTCATTTTCCTTCAGAGGTTGAAGAGCATCGTGCCACCAGGGTCCGACCTGGCTACGAGCACGCTGACGTCGTTCCTTGACAACTTCCTCGTCAATGTCTTCCAGCCTCAACTCGACGAGACCCTTGGAAAGCTCAGCGACACTGTCTTCGGTGAGGCAGATGCCTTTCAGCAAGACTCGGACTGGGCCCAAGTCGCGAAGCGGCCAGTGTTCAAGGGAACAACTGCCTTCTTCACCGTCATTACTGCCTTCTGCAGGATGTTGGGCACCATTCCCCATGACCAAGCACTCAGCTCCCTCATCATCACCCAAATGCTCCGTTACTACGACCGCTGCTTCAGCTGGTACAAGGCCCTGGTCACCAAGACACAAGAAGGAGATAAACAGTCCAGGGACAACGAAAAGCTCCGGGCATCTGCCGTCCTCGCGATCGAGCCTAGTGAAGTCCGCGAGACGATCCAGAGGCTGTGGAAGTCGGAGAACCTGGACGACCTGGAGCTGCTCTACCGTGAGGTCAACCAGCTGATCGCGTGGGCTAACGGCCAGGACCTGGACGCGAGCGACATCATCCAGGACCGCGACACGGTCCAGTCGCTGTGTCTGCTCTACACCAGCATGAAGTGGCTGTCGGTTAAGATCCACGGTCTTCGTCACATAACGCGTAACGAGACGGACTCATCCAAGTCGAGCTTCCCGACCAAGGCGGAGAAGAAGCGCTGGACGCTGCTGAACGACCCGAGCAAGGCAACTGGCGAGGAAGGACCCGTCTATCTGCCTATGACGCAGGAGACCGTCGAGTAAGTTTCCCCTACCTTGTTTCCTTTATTCGACCTTGAAAGTCTCCGGTTGCTAACAAATCGCTCCTACAGATCCTTTGACAGCATCCTAACCTCCTACGACGAGCTCGCCTCGACCGCCCTCCTCACGCTGCACCTCGAAATCCGCACTCGCATCCTACACTCGCTCCAAACCGCACTCTCTCCCCTTACCACGGCGCCCTACCTACTTGACCAGGAAGTCAACGAGCCAGACCCGGAGATCCTTAGCCTCAACTCGGAAATGGTCGCCTACGACGAAGTGCTTGTCCGGTGCCTCCGTCTTCGCGAAGTCCGTTTCGTCAGGAACGGTCTCGGCAAGTTGATCAACGGGTTCCTGATCAAGAACGCGCCCATGACGGCCCCAATGAACGCCAAGGGGTGCGGGCGCATGCAGCTCAACATTCTCGTTCTTCAACAAAACCTCAAGAACATCGAAGAGGGCGTCGACCTCGTGCGCGCCAGCAACTATTTCGAGATGTTTGAGCGCGGCATCGATGCCATTCTCGAGAAAGCCAGGGAGGGCGTTGCCTCTTCCCATCAAGACACCGCCACCGCCGGAGACAGCAGGAAGAGTGAAGACGCAGGTGAAGGAACGGAGACGCCCAACTCGCGGAAGTCGGCGGAGATCTTTGGCGACGATAAGGATCGTTTCAGTTATGATGAGCTCAAGGCCCTCGTGGAGCTGTGCTATAGCGAGCAGTTGGCCGACCCGGAGAGAGGTGTCGCGGCGGCGGCGAAGAGGCAGATGACGGATAAGTTGCTGAATTTGAGCGAGTACATGTGGCAGTCTTAGGTGGATATGCAGGACATTTAGAACTTAACTTGGCTGGTATCGGTATCATTAGCATGGTTTAAGAAAGGTAGTAGTGGTAGATAATTTTATGAGTTGTAATTCTTATTTCTGGTCATTTTGGTCTTTTTAGCTGACTGTCTGCTCTTCTGTTGGATACATGTAGTTGTCCACTTCGCACACTCGACATTCATTGTGTTCTCTTCAGCGTTTAGTGAACCAATATTTATCTCACAGCTTGAACTTCGGACCGAACTTCACTCTTTGACACCGCGTATTTCTCTTCCCCGACTCAACGATACCATGAACATCAATCATCTTCCTCACTCTCACCAGTAGGGAGCACGTGCGTCCCTACCATATGTATTTGCACAACCCACAACCGCAAAACTACCACAAGCCCCTCGTGCCGCATTTCCTTTTTTCTCCAAGTGGAAGTTGCCAACATAACGTCGAAGCCAAACCAGACTCTCGGATCCGAGAACCCTCTCATGTGCCTCCCTCGCTCTGATCTGATCTGCTGCTATCTGCACGTTGTCAAAGCAGCATGCATACATATCTTCGTGTATGCACACTTTGATGCATGAAGGGTGTCAGTGCTTCCACCCCAACTCTAGCTGCAGCGTTGGGGCTTTGGAGCGTTGAGGCGTTAGTTAGTTGCCCTCGTGGTTTTTCTCGTGGGTTTTGCGTTAGTTAGATGGGAGTAGTGTGGGTGGGTAGGTAGGTAGAAATACCGGTACGGAGAAAAGTTGGTGGGAGAAATATCAACGGAGGTTGTTGAGAGGTGCTTTGATATCATTATTTTATGACGGAAGGTGGTCGGTCCCGCGTGGTGCATTGTCATACTTGGGTAAGACCACATCATGGAAAATCAATAAGACAGCGGTCGACTGAATTGAATAGTTGATACATCGGCTACGCACATAACTAACCAACAGTATTGACCGGCCTCGCTGATATCGAGGATATTGATAATATTTAGTAGATTGGTCGACTTTTTTTTTTTCTCAATTTCAACGGTCATACAGCACCTCGCTGTGTGGCAATGGCAGTCACACACATGGTTGCGGGGGTCTTTCTGCACATATATAATTGTAGCAGAACTGCAATGCCTTGCATCCGAAGGACAACATGAAGAATCTAGGTAGTGGACGTTAAAAGGAAGACAGCCTAGGCGGACGGCAGAATGAGTACACGGAATTCAGGTCCAAGGTCCGTGATTCAGGGGGAATGGAAAGGGAATAAGGGAATATGGGATCCATCTTTCAGTTCCTACACTATAAGAACATGGATCTGGAAGGACCGCTTGTTGAGGTTGAAGGGTGAATGAAGGTGATAAAAAGCGAAATAACGTGGAGGTAGGTAGGTAGGTGGTACTATTTATGTCTAGTCCACTACACTACCTACCGTACACTAGTTGCGAGACGAAACTAACCAATGTCTTGAACCGATGGACTAACTTTGGGGCTCGGGCGGCGGTTGAGCCGGGGATGCCGTATGTGGTGGATGGGGAAGTTGTCTGCAACTGAGGGAATCCTGGTGTAGTCTGAGGAAGCGGAATAGTGGATGAGGTCTGGACGGTTCGCGAACCTTGATGCTTTTTAATGCTGTGGATGTGAATATGAGGGGGGAAAGGGAATGGATAAGGATGGAGATGTTCTGGCCGGCCGGGACTCCTGGACTTCTAGGAGAGTCCTATGTGAATAAGGTGAAGGGAGTTGTTGTAAAGTGCAGGAGGGAAAGGTGAGGATTTCCAAGCCGGCAGCCGCCTCCCGTGACGCACACACTGATCAAGAAATTTTGGATGACGAAGAAGACGGGCTGGTTTAAATTATCTTGTGTATAAGTTGAGGGAACACAACATGACGGGAGAGCAGTACCGAAGAAAGGAGCGGGTATCTGGTTGGCTGACGGCTTTTCTGTCTGCCCTGTCTTTGCTTGTCTCTGGTCTCTGTTCGCGTGTCCCAAGACTTGCGCTCTCTTTATGAAACGAGATCACCCGTTCATCTCATTGGACGGTACGGGATATGGGATGGTGCGAGGCGACTAAGTGCGAAAGGGCGTCATGGAAGGGATCACCTGCTCTGTTTTATTTAAGAGACGTTTGCCGTTGCCGTTGACGTTGCTGTTGTGGCCGTCCGGCCGTGTAAGTGAACAAGGGCGAGGAGAATAATGAAGGGTCCTGGACCCGCAATGGAATCTTCTTCTTCTCTTGGGTGCCCAGCGGTTATTTCTTGTAGTAGTATTTGGTCAGTAATTAAAGGGGCGTTGAAGAAGACCTGGGGCAGGTGGTTAATATCGAGAAATAACAGAAGTGGAAGTGACGTCCCTTGTGTTGTGGTGGTGTGGGTGGTTGTCCCTGGGAAATGTCGTTTGAGCAAGGGCCAAGGGGCAAAGCTTAAGAATGTCTTGGCAAGGGGCATTGTGTGCCGCAGGAGGGATTACGCACGATAGTAAGGTACCTGAGTGTACGCACAAAAGTGACAGCTAAGACAAGTACTGGGGCATCGTGCTGGACTGCAGGATGATGCTTGCACCTTGATGTCCCTGAATACTGGAGACACGCCCAGTTCCGGTCGCAGCGCAAGTCGCAGTCCAGGGCCTGTCGAGCTGACGGAAGAGGGCCCGGCCGGACAGGTCATCGTCGTCGACAACCACGGCCGGTTTGCTCTCGTATGTTCGGGGTTTTGCGAGCAACGATCACCCGGGCGGACAACGGATGACAGCCGTATCGTGTCGGAGACAAACATGTGCAATCATCAGTTGTCTGCCGAGCGGTGCGGTGGATCATCTGTGTTCGAGTGTTCGTTAACCATGACCGATCAGCACTTCAGCGATCATTTGTCAGTGTCCGACAAGTCCGCACTTCCATTCTACCCGTCCCCCCGCTGAATGCTATCCCCACCATGTGAAGACTAGACGGGACCAAAGTGGAAACCCCGGATAGTCCAGCTCAACAAAGGCCGGGACGGGCCATTGTAGTTATCCGTCCATGTCCAATATGTGCTACACTAGAATCAAGGAATCTGAAGACGGGAGAGAAATCAGCCTGGTGTTTCGCATTTTCACTACCCACTCACTACTTGTAGTGTAGGTAAAATACCACACTGGAGAGATCTCAGGGCAATGGTGAATGCCCTCTGGGCAATGAGCGGGATGCCGGGAGGGATGGAGAAGCAACCAAAATGGACAATGCAATTGGAAGGGGCAGCAGTCGAATTGGAAGAGTGGAAAGGAAAGAAAGGGGTGGGGTGCATTGCCAACAAATGATATCTCGTCCCCTTGGAAATTGGCCCTCCACGGTCCTCCGCTCCTTGTTTTTTTGCTTCCATTTCCCTCTTTCGTTGCTGAGGTGTCACTTTGTCACCGTGACTTGCACTTTCCCTTCTTTGGGTCGCCCAGACTTTTGACTTTCCACCCACAACGCTTGTGAAGCACCTTGACCGCCCGCTCGGCATCCGTCCAGCGTCCACTGACTTCACTTGCATCCCACTGCATCATCGCCGCTTTGATTCTATCTGTCAAAGAGCCCGGATGCACCGCTCGTTCTGATCTTTTCCCGCTTTTCCACTTCCACCTTGCAAACCCACCACACAGTCACTCTCGTTCATCCTTCGCTCGTTGTTTTGTTGTTTTTGTTGTTGTTGTCCCCTTGCTGTTGTCCTGTGCACCCGACAACAAGAGTGGAAAGAAAGTCTTCAAATAAAAAAGACAGACCATTCTCCATCAAACACCCCCCTGCCACCTGGAGCTGCACTAAAAACCTGCTACTAAAAAAGCCTCTGCGCGCTCGGGTAGCCCCGTACCAGGTACCACCTGCGCTGCAGCAGCGACATTTGGTCCGAAAAAAAAAAGGAGGCCGCTGCCATCCTTAGCTTCCTGCAGACACACTGCAGTAAAAGGTACCGCAAAGCCATCCAACTGCCCTTACACTTTTCAACTCGGCGTTACGCCACGGCCGCCCTTTAACACCCATCCCACGAAACAGTCCAACACGAGTACCGATTCACAGGTCGACGACGAATTCGGAGAGAGAGAAAGACCACGACAATTACACCTTTTTAGGCCACCGATAAGCATCATAACTGCTGAAAGTGCGGATTACGGGGTCCACCATCTTCGACGTGGTTTCCGGAGCCTTCGACACTTGTTCCAATCCGCCGAGCAACTTCGGCCGACGGCGCGTCGACTGATCAAGGGAACCCCCTTGAATCTCGACTCTTGGTCCTTTGTCCTCTTCTCCTGTGACAACGACGGATTACAAGACCAGCGCAATTCCTTCTACAGACTTTGGGCCTTGACCGCATACACCCCCCCCCATCTGATTGCCCAAGATGGCTGGGTAAGTTGCACTCCGCTCGCCACCGCTTGTAGCAATTCAGTTGCAACGCGAGAGTTCCTAGCTGACAAGCGTCATGGTTTCTTCTACCAGCTTTTTTAAGGACATCTGGCATACTATGACCAGCTATGATCGACGTTAGTTACCCCTTCCTTTCACCCTACCACGCACTCTGTTCGATCGCTTACATGTGATGGTTGCGAAACAGATGCCGGAATCGATTCTCCTTACAGAAGCGGACGCCATGTCCCATTGAACCGGAACTCCGGCCTTGCGGGCGTTACTACTGCCTCCGATTCCCGTGCCGACATCAACTCACCCTACCTCCAAGGAGATGGCCGTGGTTCAACCATGAGCTTCGACACCTCATACGGCGGACGCGCCATATCCCCCATGCCGAGTCCCGCCAACGGTGGCCCCTATTCCCCCGGGTTAGTGAGCCAACGACAATCTTCTCACCAAGATGCCTTCGATATGCAGAGCCCGACCGGCGAGATCCCCATGCAGAACTTCCAGAATGGCGGCCCGCCTCCTCCACCAGTTGCCAGCTCGTGGGAAAAGATTGACAGTTGGGCCGAGGAGCACTATCCCGAGTTGTTCGACCAACTTGGCGAGGGGTGCACCGTCAACGATCTGAACGAACTCGAATACCAGCTCGATTGCACGCTTCCTCAAGATCTCAGGCAGTCGCTGCAAATTCACGACGGCCAGGAGCGCGGTGGTCTCCCTACCGGCATTATTTTCGGGTCCATGTTGCTCGACTGCGAGGAGATGGTTCAGGAGTGGGAGAACTGGAAGACAGTAAACCAGGAGTTCATGTTGGATCCTGTGCTCGTCAAGCGACAATCTCAAGCATTTGCCGCTCAAGCCTCATCATCAAAGGATGCCCCTAACCGCAACCAAAACTGGCGACAAGAACTTCTGAACAAGCAGGATTCCGTCCCCCCACTCGCGATTCAGAAGGCGTATGCGCATCCTGCCTGGATTCCCCTTGTCCGTGACTGGGGCGGCAACAACTTGGCTGTCGATTTGGCGCCTGGGCCAAGGGGCCACTGGGGTCAAATCATCCTATTTGGTCGCGACTACGATGTAAAGTACGTTGTGGCCCGGTCGTGGGCGCACTTCATTGCCATGGTTGCGGAGGATCTTAGCAGCGGGAGGTGGTTCGTCGATGAGGAGACCAACGAGCTCAAGCTGCGTGAGTTTAAGGCGACCCGCGTTGAGCCGTCTTATTTCGAGATTTTGAGGTGGAGGATGGATCAGAAGTACGGCCGCACCGCCAACAAGCGCAAGTCCATGGCGCCTTCCATGGCTTCGGCTTCCGGCATGCGCTCTCCTCCTACTCCCGGCTCTCCCTACCAAAGCCCAACAGATCACAACGAGCCTCGTGGTCGGTCACTACACCGTCTCACTGGCACTTCGCCAATGTCGAGTCCCATCCGACCGGGTTATGGAAAGCCAAGCCCATTGGCGCGCGTCGCTGAGGAAGCGCCTCCTACCACCTCTCTTACGGCTAGCAATGCTTCCACCGAGGCCAAGGGTGACAACTTGATTGAGGTAAACACCCCAAGGACAAGCGGAGAGCACAGCAGGGAGGACATCAAGGTCAATGGTGAGGAGGAAGCTCCCGCGAAGGAAAGGACAAGCGAGGATAAGGAGAAGAAGCCCGAAACTGAGGCGAACGGAAAGGCGACAGAGTCCAAGGGCAAGCAACCAACAGTGGAAGACGGCGAGGATATGAAGGAGATCGAGATTTGAAAGAGGGATAAATCGAAGCAACCAAACGGACTCGTCAACTCTTGGGTTACCATTGAATCGCTGGCCCGGCAAACAGCTGCCTCGCCATGCGCAGGGCACGGAGTCAGATGGTGTAATGCTTCCCCATAATCTGATATCTGGACGCCTCCTGGAGACACATAGATGTCCTTTCTCGGCCGAAACAAGGGCCATCGCATGATGAAGGGGCATGTCACGAATCTTTCTTCCGATTACTTCTTCCTCACCACACGATATGATTAGTCTCTAATTGTCTAATCGGGTTCTTTGATGTTGCAGAGATTTCTCCCTCGCTTACCTCTTTTGCTTAGTCAAGGAGAGGGATAGCCGAAGGAGGACCTCATTGCACTGCTGGAGTTTGAGTATTGTATGTACACTAAAGGGGAATCATTTGGTTTCGACTGGTTGGATGGGGGGACCTCCTTGCTGTTCTGCCCGTCCAACGCCCGCAGAAGACATTTTCAGCTTTGCACTATTGTTTACTATTACACCGCATAGCGTCATAATAACTCTTTCTGTCTTTTTTGCATCCGCGCTATCTGTCTTGTCTTCTGGAGGGAAACCATGGCTACTTACTTACCATGGTGTTATCGCTGGTTGGCTGCTGGTCGCGGGTGGGGAGAGGTTCATACGCGCATGTTTTGAATTGGTACCGTCGGCTGTGTGTTTTCATCGAAGTCGGAAGGCGTTGATTTGTTTGGAACATTTTATTTGGGGGGATTCGAAGAAGGTGCTCGGGAGAGGGAGTGCTTTGTATGTACATAGGATGGGAATAGACATGGTAGGTATGGAATTGAATTAACAAAGCGTAAAACCATTCTTTGGCCTCTGGTCCATATTTCTAGTGAAATCAACAACATCGACAAGAATCACTCCTCGAAAGTGTCACCAAAAGGGTGTCACGTGCCACTTAAACGCTTAGACCGCAGCCTTGGGACGGCTGACCCACAGTCATTGGACAGCGGGTCCCTGCTTTCAGTGGAGCATCTGCCCGCCAGCCCGCCTGGCACCACGGCGTGCGGACGTCGTCATCCTCCAGGCAGTTCCAGATCGAGCTGCGCCGTGCCGGCAAGCTATCAACAGCCTCATTGTCAATAACTTGCCAGACTAGCCGACTTCAAACGTTCACCTTTCACGTCAGCTACGCTACCGACCGAACCGACTGATCGATCGATAGACAACGATTGTAATCGCGCGTAGTTATCTCTGTAAAACCAGTGACCGATACCATCGAACGTCGAACGACGACAGGCAGCTCATCGACTCAGCTGATAACCACAACCACCACAACTACCACAACTCTGTCGCAACCAACTCGCGATCGCATCGCATCTACATCTACACCAACACTAGCCTCGTGACACCCACCGAGAAACAAAAATATACATCGAGCCTTCGAACCCTAGCATACACACGAGAGAAAGATACACACAAGACGCAAAAACAAATGACAATGTCGGAAGAACGCCTCTTCAGATTCTCCAAGCCTGAATGGCTCAACAGCGCGTGGGCAAGGAACGCGGGGGTTTATGCTGCTGGTGCTTTTGTATGTCTTCCTCTTCCTTTCTTTCCTTCTGGACGGTACAAGGAGTTGGAGTTGGAGTTGGAGCCGGAGTTGGCGAGCCTGGCGTGATCTTGCTTGCCCATGATCTCTCGCTCTCTTCGTTAGTCATGGCTAGCAGATCCAGCGGGACAGCTTCTTCCTCTCCTCCCATATCACATCATACATCACCACACAACCATACTTCTCTGCGCCCTCTTGCTCCCTCTCCCCCCCATCCCCCATCCTCCTTCACCTCCGCATCCACATCCAAGCACAACTCACTAACACTTCTCGCACCAACCAGTTCTCCCTAGCCTTCTACACCCTCCTCGACTCCGCCGTCTGGTCCCACTCCCCGCTCAATGCCTCCGACATCCACATCCGCTTCATCGACTGGCTGCCCTTCATCTTTTCCACCTTGGGGATGTTGATCATCAACAGCGTCGAGAAGGCGCGGCTATCGTCCGACAGTTTTTCGTATAGCGGGTCCGGCGTGGCCTGGAAGGCACGCGTGGTCCTCTTCTTGGGCTTTGCCAGCTTGGCCGGTGGCATGGCGGGTGGCGTCACGGTTTTTGTGCTCAAGTATGTGGTGCAGAATGTCGGCTTTCCGGCGCTGAGGATGGGGGTGGAGAATTTGGTTGCGAATGGGTTGGTTGGGTTGAGGTGAGTTTTTTTTTGCATTTTTTATTTGCTTTGCTTTGCTTTGCTTTGCTTTGCTTTGCTTTGCTTTGCTTTGCTTTGCTTTGCTTTGCTTTGCTTTGCGGTGACTTGTGGGTGGGTGAGAAGGTGGTGAGAATGGGAGGTGGAGAGGGGGGTAGAGGGGGTGAAGAGAAGGTTGAAGAGGAGCTGAAGAGACTCTGAAGATTGGGTGACGAGAGGACGAAGAGAAGACGACAGAACATGATCTATGGAAGAAACACATGCTAACCCACCCCCCTCTCAAAAACAGCGCCGTCGTCCTTTGGATCTCCCAAAACATGGAAGACGAATACTCTTACAACCTCGCTCTGTAAGTTAGTTAGTCAGTCAGTTGGCTTACGGGGACGGGTGCTATCGTCACTATCACCAGCACCACTGCACACAAACACAGACACACACAGACACAGACAGCACCGCACATTCAAGAGAAGGGGACGGAGAGATGGGAACACCCGGCTACTTACAGCTAGCTACCAAACCCACCATAACCCTCCAACTTCCAAGAAGCGGATCTGACAGAAATACTCTCCAGTCCGGCACAAGGGTGAATGGAATGGAATAGTGTAACGTGGGTGAGTAAGTAGCGGGGATAGATGACGCATCATGCGGACTCTCTGATGAGAGATGAGATTTGGAAATCCTTTGGGGCTTGGTATCATATCATGGTTATCGTTACGAATTGGACGGGATGATGGGACGGGACGGAATGAAGTGAATGACGACGTATGTATATTTATCGGACCGGACTGGACAGTTTATTGGACTTCGGAGGCATTCGGGAAGATCGTGGACGAGAGGGTGAGTTTAAGTTCGCGTTGGATTAGGTTAGGTTCGGTTATGCTATGTTATGGAATGAAATCAAATGAGAATACTGCTTGACTCCAGATAAAGGCTGTGTGTGATATCTAGTGGCTAGCGATTTGAGGTTACTACATGTCTTAGATGGCCAACATCATTATCTTCAATCTCAGTTAGTCACCATCATCACAGCTCAACACCATAAGAGACAAGCAGGCAATCTTTGAACTAAACATTCCATTTTATGTACCTCCTAACGCTATGAAAACAATCGGCCCTTTATTTGATCCGAGCACGAGAAAAAAGACCAACCCTTCAAAACCACCAAATTGTACTATAGCCCGTTTCATTAAACAAGGCCTTTGCTATACGAATTTATCATTAGACGCAACGCACAATCCTAAGCCGTCGTCTCAGCAGCCACATCACCAGAATCAACAACCATATCGTCGGCCGGTGCGGGCGCCTCCTCCTCCGTAGTAGGCTCCGCAGCAGCAGCAGCCGCCGCCTTCCTCTCCCTCTCCTTCCTGGCCTCGACAATAAACGCCTCCTCAATCGCCGCTCTGCGCTTGAAAACCCTCAGCCAGCGCTCGCCCCACCTCTTGACGAGCTTCTCCGTCTCGCTGTTCCCATCGCCCTCGCCGAGACTATCGCTAGCCTCAATCATCTCGTCCTTGGATCCCGTCGCCCAAGCGACCAGGGCATCCTCGATGGCGCGGAACAGCGAGCGCATGCCATTGATCTCGGCCTCGATGGTTTCGTCGTCGATCATGGCCTCGGGCAGGGTAGCCTTCTGGAGCACCTGTCTCAAGCGGGAAGTAACCTTGACGACGGTGTTGAAGATCATTTCGTAGACGAAACCCCTGGCGAGGGCCTCGCCGCGGGTAGCGCCGGCGTACGTGGTGATGGCCCAGTTGATGACGGCCTGGGGGGTTAGGATGCTGTAATTGAGCAGCTTCTCAATGATGGCGATGGCGACGCCCGGGTGGGCAGACCAGTACTCCATGACCGACGAGATGATCTGGGTGCGGGCAGCCTCCGAGGTGGCGCCGGCATCGGTGAGGCGTTCCTTGGTACGCTCAATGGCGGCGAGGACGTGTGAGAGCGACTTAGAGCCGACGTGAAGGACCGAGGTCACGAAAACGTCGGTGCTGGCGACCAAGGGGTCGAGATTGTTGTCGAGGGCGAGCGAGTGGATGCGCTCGATGACAGGCTCAATTTCCTCCTCAGGGGCCTTGCGTCTGAGAAGAGCGGCGATCTCCTTACCCTCAGCGGCAAAGGGGGTTTCTGTGATGGTTGTTAATATTGAAAAACACATAGCATACACGGTAACGATTCGACTTACTCTCATCAGCAAACTTGAAATCAGGAGCATCCTTCTCCTTCTCAGGTCCAATCAAAGACTGATAGGGCTCGGGAAGAGTGTTCTTGATACGCTGTGCGAAACTGAGACGGATCTCCTTATCAATGGCTCCCATAATGAAAGCCTTGTCCGGGTGCAAGTTGGACAGATAAACATTGTCCACCCACTCGGTCCACTTCCAGGTGAAACCGAAGTTGCTGAGATGGTGTGAGAACCAGTCCATGAAACGGTTGGAAAGCTCCAGGTCCATGCGGTGACTATTCCTGTACAGAAAACGGATGGCACGACCTAAACTGGGGGCAATGGCTGCCGGTGCCAGCTTGCATGCCTCTGTAAGAACAGCGTGGTAGTAGACAAGCTTGTGCTCAGGGTTGGGCAACGAGAAAAGCTGCGAGAAGACCGCGTCGACGGCAACATCCTCCGGCTTCCAGCTGGACTTGGGAGGCTCAATCTCTCTAATCTTGTCGAAAGGTGTCGCTCTGGCGGCAAATGTTCGGGGAGCAAAGTAGCAGTCGAGCTCGATGAGGAAACGAGCAGTGACGTTGCGGTTGAAGTTCAGGACATTGATAGTGTCGATGAGAGCATCGCGAATTAGGGATGCCGCAATGTTGGTGAGAGGGGGCGTCGACTCGACGTCCTGGTTGACGTATACGGAGAAGTAGATCTCGGGGAACAGCGGCCGAGGTCCAGCAACAACTGTCTGAGGGATGGCAAATAGCGGGAGGGTGTGCTTCTCGGCGTTGGCGATCTTCTCTTGCTGCTCGACCTCTTCGACTGGGAGCTCCCAGGGCCTCGGGAGGCAGGTCAAGGCCCATCCATTGTTGGCCTCGTTCTGGAGCTGGGACTGCAGCAAGCTGATGAAACTCTGGGACGCAACAGGGCTCTCGTCGCCGGCCTCGGGGTGGTATGGCTCGATCAAGGCCTGTAGAGGGTGTGCTTCGCCGGCGATAATCTCGGTCTTCTCCATCAAATCCGCCGCCTTCTGCTGCCACTGGGTCGGGCCAGTGACCATGACGTATGGTAGGGTAAGGAGGATGATCTTAACAAGCTCCGTACCAATTGTCTGTTACGATACTCGTGTCAGTTATCTGTTTCAACCAAGGAATCCATTCCAAACCAAGCAGAAAAGCTCACATCCTCGGAACTGGCAGTCTGCAAGTCCACAGCGCGGCTGAACAGCTCCTCCAACACAGGGAAGACACCATCACCCTCCAGACAGCTCTGCAAGCAGCCGGCAAGCTTCAGGTAGAGCTTCACATCCCGCCAGTCGCCCTCGGCAATCTTAGTCTCGAGGGTACTTGTAAGCTTGGCGAGAAGGATGTCGACGATCTGGGGCTTGTCAGTGTTGGCGACGAGCACAACGGCGGCGAGGAAGGGCGTTTTCATGGGCTGCTCGACGGCAAGCTGGAGAATGAGGTCGACAAAGTTGGTTCGGAGCAGCTCGTCCTCCCAGTTGTCGGTAAACAGGTTGGCAATCGATTGGACCTCTTCGTGCCACGGGCGCATGGGGTTCTCGGCGATGGCGAGCAGCTGCTTTCGGACGCGGACGTGGGGAGGAGCATCGAAACGTCTTCGTGGGCCGCCGCGACGGTCGCCCTCGTCATCGTCTAGTTGGGTTCAACGCGTCGTTAGCTATAATCGGTTCAAACCATGGCATTGCCAATGATCTGACAATAACTGAACATCAAAGCCGCGCAAGAGGCGAGGCTGAGACGGACATGATTTATAAGTGTAGGAAAAGCAGCCCGGGGTAGTACTTACCACGATAGCGACGCTTCTTGGGGTTGTAACCACCGCCGCCTCTGCGATCGTAATCGGCCATGGTGTGTGGAATCTGGTAAATCAAATAAAACCAAGGCGTATCCGGAAGGAAAAAAGAACGAACAGTTAGGAGGACAGAACAAACAAGTGTCCTGGCAACGATTATGGTGGATATTTTGGGGTTACGTGACGACGAATAAGTTCAAACACGGTTGGTGGTTGGCGGCTGGCAGGCTTGGATTAATTGATAGAATGGAACGCTAACGGGGAAGGGATGCTTTGAAACTTGGGCCTGCCGCGCCGACGCGATTGGTGTCTTTTTGAAACCTAAGCGTTTAGTGCACGGGCCATGTTATAATTGCGAATTGAACTCGTGCTTCACAGCCCAGTCGTAGGGCTTGCAAATCAGAGGACGCTCAAAAGACATTAAAGATCCAGGTGCGGAGGTTATTAAGCTTCTTTGGCTACAATATCTTTGAGATGACAGTGGAATCCGGCCATTACGAAGTTGTCGAATCAGTCCTTGTCTACAAATAACATCTCAACATGCCCAGTGGTTGGCTATATTCGCATAGGGGCACAGCTACACCATTTACCACTTTCAAGAGCTTATGGTGTAGACAACGGGATTCCGCGAAGCTTCAAGCAAACCAAAATGTCAAGTAAAGGGAAATCATAAGAAATCTCTTAAAATATTTATATGAACCCTAATGACACCAAAGCAACGACACGACCTAGAAGAGAAAGTTGGTGATCAACAGAAAGTCGAACCCGAGTATGAACCCCACTGCTTTTACCGTCTACCCTTTTTCCTAGAGGTAAACAACCTCATGATGGGCCTGAGCCGAAACCGTAACACACCGGTTGTCATCCAACTATCTATCCATCCAGTTCTTTCCCTGCCATCCATTGATGCGAGTCGCTGATCCGTTATACTCCTCGTAAAATATTCACGCCCTTAAGACCGATTGGGAACCCCCTCAGCAGCCCATCTTGAGGATACAGGCACATGAGACAAGCACAGAGACACACAAGAGACACGCAAAGTGGTACCACCCATCCTTCTCATAACCTCGCTGACACTCGTTATAGTAGGCAAAGCTTACAACGTCGAAAGCCAAAGCCCACCTCCATTCATCACTCCGTAGGTTATCACCCACTCCAACACTGTTAACCTATATGCCATAATCCATCACATCATTGATGCCGCTCATCTTTCTTTCATCCTTCCATCAGAACCCAAAACAACCAGGCGAGTGGCCAGTGTCCGAAGGGGCACACAAAGCAACAAGCCATCAAATCCTACCGCCTTCCGCCTTCCATCTTGTGGACACCTGCCACGGGAATAAAGAGCGCCCCTGCCGAACGAAAGATCTGAGGCAAGAATAAGCAAAAGCCATCCCGGTCATGCAGAAAAATAAGAAATCTAAAAAAACGTGTAGTCCATAATATTTCTCGAGAGAACCCTCCCGTGAAACCAAGCGAATTGTGAACCAGTCCCTTTCGCTGGGAAGTTGCTCGTGGACGTCCCTGGCTGCCCCGGGCTCTTTTCGTCCTCGAGGCCGGCACGAATTTTCTTCACGATTGTTCCAGCGTACCTGTGACGAGGGGTATCTGTGTGTCGGATAATGCCGTGGTCTGAAATCGTTTGCGTCTCGTCCAGGTGGACGCAGAAATATCCGGTCTTCGGTTTTGGATCATAATCGGATCGGCGAGTCAAACCGCTTGCTTCGAAATCTTAGGCAACGCTCTGCTGATTGGAAAACACAGCGTAAATCGTCCACATTCATATTCCGGGAATGGATCGGCGATATTAAGTATCGAAACAAGATCCGCTTCAATCTAATTTCGCCACCATGTCCGACTTGTTCATAGGAGTGAAGTTGTCGATATCGAGTCCTCTCGACGCAAGAACCGGCCTCATGTGGGGAGGAACAAGCTTGTGGTTGAGCTGCGGGGCGATGGATAGCTCTGTAAAGGGATGAAAGCGTCAGTTCCTCAAGTTTCTTCAAAATAAGACGATGCGCGAGAAAAGTACGTACCATGACGGGTGAAGTCGAAGAGCGGTGGCAGATCCCTGACGGTTCCAGAGTTGTGCCTCGAGTCGGGAAGTCTGGTGCTGGGGTCCCGGAGTTCATCGAAGAAAGGATGGACCATAGCGTCGACCGCGGCTAGACGCTCGGTGGGGGTATACTCGAGAAGGCGGGCGATGAGGTCGATAGCATCAGCGTCGGCCTTCTTGAAAACCTTATTGAACGGGTGAGGCTTGATTTGAGGGAACTTGTGTTCCATGTAGTTCGGGTTCATGGTTCGAATTTGCTCCCGAGTAGGGTGTTCCGAGGACCTTGATGATCTCGACAAGCTGGTCGATGCCAGACTCTCCAGGGAAGAGAGGCTGTCCGAGCATGAGCTCGGCCATTACGCAGCCAGTAGACCAGACATCTGCGTAACAAGGTTAGCCAGTGTCTGAGACATGTACAACGGGGCTGGTGCTCCCAGCAGAACTTACCGATCTTGGTTGTGTAATTGGTAGCACCGAAGATCAATTCAGGAGCCCGGTAATACCGCGAGCAAATATAGGACACATTAGGCTCATTCTCCACCAGGATCTTTGCGCTGCCAAAGTCGCACAGCTTGAGTACACCGGTAGTCGGGTCAAGCAAAAGGTTCTGCGGCTTGATATCGCGATGGCAGATTCCTTGCGAATGGATATATGCCAAAGCTCGGAACAGCTGGTAGGTATAGAGCTTGACTTCCAAGATCGGCATAGTGGTCTTCATTTTGTTGAAGAACCTTGATGCTCGGTAAACGGTCTCTGGCACAAATTCTTGCACCAGGTTGAGGTAGACCTCATCTTTCTACAAAAATAGTGAGTATGAAGCATGGTCACGAGCTCCAATGTGTTGGGGACTTACGCGTTCACCATTCGAGTAGTAGAAGGCCTTCAGCTGGACAATGTTCGGGTGGCGAACGATCCGCATGATTTGAAGTTCGCGGTTCTATGTGCCTGTCAGTTTCATAGACCTCGAGAAACGTTCAGTACAGACTGCACCGACCTTGAAGCGCTTGTCCTGGAGAACACGTTTGATGGCAGCATCTTCATTGGAAGGTGACAGCTTGGTCTGAAAGACGACACCAAAAGAGCCATTGCCGACAATCTTGCATTGGGTGTACTGGATCTCCCTGGTCTCTCCTGTGACGCCGTCCTGTACCTTCTCACGGATAACTTCTGGATAGCATATTTTGTCAGCAATTGGCCCTGCCTCTCAACTCGACCTTTCACTCCATATGCTCACCTCCCATCCGGAGGGTGTTGAAAGCCGCTGGGCGATTCGACGCCATTGTGAATTAAATTTAGATCGATTCGGTGCTATCGCTCGAGACAATCGTCGATGGAGTTGCTGGCGACAATGCGCGAGTGAAGGAAGGTCGCTGAAGGGTTGATGCGGGCCGTGTTGGGCAACAGGTTGTGTGGAGACCAGGCAACTGGGTTCACGGCTGATGGGTTTGACGTCGGGCCTGGATGCAGCAGTGATGTTCCCTGTTCCTGCGAAATGGAAGCAGAATGCGAGGCGGCGCGATGTGATGCGGAAGGCTTTGCTATTGTACTGAGTCGGTGATAGCTCTTGAGCCGGTGGTGGTTATTGGGATATTTTTGTTGTGTGCGGGGAGTTGTCTCGAGCTGTCAAGCTGGAAAGGTTGTAAGACGGAATGAAGTGGTTTGGCGGCGCGGGAATGCGAGGAGTGGGCTGGACGCACCAGTAGAGGTATGGTAATGGACGCGGAATGCGGCAAGGTGCGCCAGGGCTGGCCGATGGTGGTGCGTCAGGTGTGGTATGAACTGTGACCGTGACTGTGGGCTGACTGGAGGGGTCTGTCGCTTGTCTCGACTGTCTAGGCGGCAGCACAGGCGATTAGAAAAAAGGGTCTCTTTGTTTTTGGTAAACTCGTACTTGGTCGCGAGACAGGCAGAAAACAAGGTCGTCTTAGGAGAAGAGGCGGGCGGGTAGGGGAAGTGGAAGGACTAGAGGTAGGTAGGAGATGCGAATCGAAGAGGTCAGGAAGGGGAGTGGAAGTGGAGACGGGGACGAGGACGGGGAATGGGGACGGGGACGTTGCGAGGGAACGTCAAGCGGGATTGGAATGAAAGGAGAGTGCGTGTTGTGTGCTTGTCCGCTTGAGCAAGGGAAAGACTGAAGGAGTGCAACGTGCATACAATCAATGCCCGGATGGAGAGCAAGAGCAGTAACGACCTCGAAATTCGGACGTCAACTCAATCGAACTGGAACTGGAACTGGGACAGGAACTGGAACGGAGTCGAAGTGTGAGTGAGGTAAGGTAGAGGTCGGCAGGTCTTGGAGGGGCGGGCCATGTTAAGGCAGGTAGCTTAATGAAATGACGGCGGGGAATGACAGGGCCATGCAGTGGCGACCATACACAAACCTAGCTTAGCGTGGGCAGAGAGGCGCCCGCACGCCAGGTCAAGTGAGTGGCCTGCAGAAGACGTCCATTGATGCAGGGCCACCATGTATGCACTCGAGGTGTGATCGAACACTGAGCGGCCACGAGGCTCGCCGGCCCTTCTTCTTGCTGCTGCTGCTGCCGTCGAAAGAGGCGGACAGCACACTGGCAACTGTTTGGACCCGACGGCGACATACTAAGTCTTGAGCAAGAAGGCATCGCCATGACTGGGCCTGGCCTAGATGGGCTGTCTAACAAGATGGGAGCCGTGACTCGGCAAGGGGCCTGTTTAGAGTTTTGGGGTTTGCGACTTCGTTGCGACGGGACTTGTGACTGTTTTTGCGACCAGCGAGGAAAGGAAAACCTGCCATTCGTGGACCAGATACGGTAAGGTAGGTACCTGTCTGTGCCTGGGTCGGGTGTCGTGGTGGGTTCGATCCCTCTGATGAGCATTGGGCCAGCAGCAGCAACCCGGACAGTGACAGGGTGAAACTGGAAGTGGGATGGATGGGGATGGGAATGCCATCAACCGGCGCAAGATGAGGGGCAAGGGTCACAATCAACAACAATGCCAGCAAACCGCCGGAAAGCAGCAGGAGACTTTGGCTTTTGGCTCATGACCACGGCTTCTCTTTGGGAATTTTTCCCGTTGTCCATGACAAAGCCCAAAGCCTTCCATTCCTTCTGGCTGGTGTCTTGTCGTCTTTTGTTGAAATTGGACTTGAACCTTTGTAAGGCGCTTGACCAAAACCCGTCCCGCCCATTCACAATGCCATGCAGTGCTACTTGCACGTCTGGTGAGGTCAGATGGCCCAGTGACTTGGCGCGCCGTACCGCGATGCAGCCAACCAGAGAAGGCAGAAGAGGGGTTGGGGCTGGGACCTGGGAAGGAGAGGCAACAAGACGGTGGAAGGCAGAATGAATTGGCAGTGGCCGTGACAGTGACATAGAGGTGAGAGGGAGGAGAGCAGCTCCAAACGCAGGACTGGGGGAGGAGCCAGAAGAGGAATGCCAGAACTAGAATGCAAACAAGAAGAGCGCGCCAGGAATCTCGGCTTCGGCTCGGTGCCAGATGAGGCGCATATGAGTGCAGGAAGGAAAGGGTGAAGATAGGTAGGACTCGGAGTTGAGGTTGAAGTTGTAGAGGTAGGTATGGAAGCTCTAGTCAGACTTACCGTTCGTCGTCGTTGGTGGTGGTGGTGTTTCTCCAAATGCGATGCGGGTTGGCTGCTCGCGAGGGGAAGCTGAAGCGCAAGCAGAGCCTCGTCGGTCTGGTCGTGAATTTACTTCTTTTTTTTGTTTAGTGTTCGCAGGGCAGGGTGACGCGACGTGAGCGACGGGGTCTTTTGAAGGTGTGTGAGAAATGGTAATTGGCTTTTGATCTTGGGCTACTGCTTGGGAGATCGGTCGTGGCTCGCGGTGGTGGTGAGGGGTCACGATTGCCGTCGTCACTCCTACCCGTGAGAGGTAACTTCGACCTGGCTCGAGCCTGTCGAGCCTGGGTGGGTTTTGGCACCAGAAACAGCAACCAGACGCACGTCGTCCCGGTCAACAGGTCGTGCAATGTGGGGCCTTCCAGCGCAAATGCTAGCCCTCTGGTTGGTCGCACCGGACGGGGCCCAAGCAATCTAAAAACAGACTAAAAGAGCGAAGGGGGCCGTTTGGTAGGGGTAGCTGCTGCTCTGTCTTGCCTGCCCTGGAGTTTAACAACATCAGCAGGCAGGGTCCATTTGAGACGACGTCGTGATGTCGTCTGGTGTTTTGTTGTTTACAGATGGATGGATGAAGCCACGGGGCAGAGAAACGCTGGACACTGGGGAGCTACAGAGGGGAGGCACTGGAACTGGAGGCTATCACAACCTATCCACCGAAGCTGCAGGTCAGTCGCTTGGGAATCGGTATCCCAGCAGTGGAATTGAGGATTCGCAAGAACCGCACGAACATGGATGCCCGGAATGTCTTGGATTGACGGTGGACGGGGGGGCTTCACTGCCTGTCGAACCTGTCGAACCTGTCGATGCCGTTTAACGTTCAGGGTGCGGGCCAAAAGAGGCTGCATCGCTCCTTGCTAGTGGCCAGTGCTCGCTGGGTGCGGGACTGCGGGTAGCGTAGCAAGCTGCGGGTGAGCAGGGGGCTTCTTATTTGTTGGCGGGTGCCGCAACACGCCAGGAGGCTGGAGGACTGTACCGTGTGATGCGAAAAAAATGATAAAAAGTGGAAGCGTCCTGCGTCCAGCGGGGATGTTGAGCAGCTGTGACGTGAGTCCAGGATTCATATGGAATGTGAGTCCTAGATTTCCAGGGGATTCGAGGCTACCATCTCTCGAGCACTTATCGCCCCCGCTCCGGAGCACTGGGCGGGCGGACCTAGGCGGACTCTGTGGCTCTAGCGACTCCGTCTCGAGGCGGGGCCGAGAAATAGCCTCAGCGGCCAGCGGCCAGGGACGGACTATCGCCAGTGGAACACTCTGAAGCTGCCTCTGTCTTGAGACCGATGGCCAGACCAGGGGCACTTTGGGGGAACCCGTTTTGGCCCGGACTCGACTTGGCTGGTGATATGTAGATGACTCCATACATATTAGAGAGCTGGATGCTCAGATTCAGGTACCGATTTCGAGATTTGGGCTTTACCGAGAATAGGGGTTGCGTCTTCCGTGATATCACTATGTAAGTGCTACCCTTGCCAGTGCCTGTCCTGAGATGCGGCTCCCGTAGTTACATGTTGCCCATGATCATTGCTCTTTGTTCTTCTTCCTCTTTTCTTTGTGAGTGAATCTTCCGGGAAACCGCCGGCAGAGTAGTTGTTTTTGCTCTCGATATCTTGGCTTTCCCTTTCTGTATATGTAAGGTAACCATCATCGCCGTGCATGTCCAGTTTATCCCCGGTTCCCCGGTGCAGCGTTTCGCGGCCGTCTTAGCCGGTTGGATGATTATTCCATACCTCTACATATGGACCATCAATTTGCCTGCCTGCAAAACTCATCCGTTGTCATGCAATTTGGATTTTGGCCGTCGTGGTTTTGTACATTTGTTTTAGCGGAACGAAGGTGGTGTTAGTTGTTGGTTGCCGCAAACGACCCATCATAGCAGTTGCCTCACAATCACGATCCAGAAGCCGGGCACGTGCCGGGAAGAAGGCATCTAAAACACTTTAACAGGAACCAAAAAAAAAAAAAGATATGGGTCAAAAAAAAAAAAAGGAAAGAGCAGAACGCAATGTGGTGCATCTTCTTCGGGACAATCCGTCCAATACACAGATTGTTCGAATGCGGTGCCACCGTATGTACGGGCGGTGCCTGGCCTTTTTGTTGCAGAAGAAGCCCGTCAGTATCAGTCATGTGCCCTTTTCTGAGACGAAAGAGCGGGCGCTAACTGTGCACACTCGGCAGCCGCAACGCAGGACAAGAAAAAGGAACAGCAAAAAAAAAAAAAAAACAAAGGAGATTTCGGGCGACGGGTTTGATCTGCTGATGTTCAGCAACATGATCATGCACTATGCAGGGTCCTTGGCGTTCTCGTTTTTGGTTTTGGTTTTGCCTGTCATTTCTTTTTTGACTTTTCTTTTATACAGGGTTGAAGCTTATTGAACTCCAACAAGATCAACATGTCCAAGTGGGTGCGATGTTTTCGCTAATGGTTGGTGATCCTTTCACTCTTGTAACTCTGACCTTTTCTTTGATCTTGGGATGGTGCAAAGTCATTGATCATGTTGCTGTCAAAGGTAAGGGATGATCGGGGATAATTCAGTCTCTCGTCCCGTCGAGTTCCTGTACGGGAACTTTGCAGATTGCATGTCTCAATCAATCAGCCTGCAGACGAGATCCGTATGGCTTCGTTCACCGCACAAGAACGCCACGATGTGGTGACAATGTCTTTCGTGGT